CGCGCCCCCCGCCGCACCTCCCGTCACTGACGCAGCGTCGTCTCCCATGCCGCAGCCTGCCTTACCCCCGCCTGCTGTCAACAAGGCCAGTGGGAAGAAGCGCAAGGCTGATCCCGTGGACATTCCCGCTCCCCGTCGCAATCCGAAGCGTGCCAAGGCCAGCACTGCTGCCCCACCTCAACCGTCGCACCAAGTTGGTGGAGGCAAGCAGCGTCAGGAGTCGACACCGGCCTCGGAATACGTCCCAACTGCGTCTGCTCTCTCGGAGACATCGGATGCTCAAAAGGAAGGTCCTGCCGGTCAGTACCTCGCTACCCTATATGGACATGACAATCTTCCCCTCGGCTTCATTCTCCCCAAAGAGAAGCGCAGATCTAAATCATTTCCAGTAGTTCTGACGCGCAAGCTGCCGCGACAGAACAAGCGTCGCTATCAAGAGATGAACGCGCCGTCCCCCGAGCTCTCTTCCCCTGAGAGTGAGGAGGAAGTGGCAAAGACACCCCCACAGAAACGCCCTCGCCCCCGCCCTCGCCCCCGCCAAGTCAATGCAGTTGCCAGCAGCTCACAGCAAACGCTGGACGATCCCCCTGCTGCGCGGGCGCCTCGCGCTGCCACCAAGAAGCAAGGGGCTGTTGTTTCAGCTCAAGCTCCGACGTTGGTGTCACAGTTGACGCCAGCCAACGTAGGAACGGCGGCACCCTCTTCAGCACCCCCCGCGGCACCCCCCGCGGCACCCCCCGCGGCACCCCCCGCGGCACCCCCCGTCGACACCTCCGCCGATACCCCCGCGGCCACTGCTGCTGCACCCACAGCGTCGACTTCCACGGCAGCGACTGGATCGACCGAGACTGCCGCCGCTGCTCAAGTGACTGATCCCGCCACCGCTCTGCTTAGCTTTTTCTCTGCCCCGTCCTTCCAAGCAATGATGGCAGGTGCTATTCGCAGCGCAGTCCAGGAGGAGCTCGCGAAAAAATGAAGGTGTTACGTTCAATTTTGCATGTCCTTTCTTGATCGTGGGGTTTATCTGCATACATTCATCCGTATATTAGTTTCGACATATTTTTTTACAACGTCCTGTTGTACATCTTTCATACACGACATCGATCTGCCCCCCCCCCCTCTTCTGGCTATGGAATTTTAAGGGATGGATTTTCAGAAGCTGAGTTGCACCATTACATGGTCAGGTAATGAATGCTTGAATAGTAGTGCCTTCTGACCCCACCCAAAAACATACTGTTCATGCTTCCACACCTCCCTCAACATTCATCGAACTTGAGGGGCCTTTAATTCTCTCAAATGTCAATCAGCAGTATTCAGTGCACGGAGTTCAATCATGCAAGCTTTCACTGACCCCTACCAGTCCCTGACAGTGAACAGTTTCATTGGGAGCTCTCATTCCAGACCGAAGTGGTGTAACGCTGTTTGTCAAAGAAAATTTCCATAACCGTCCTCTTCACGCTTCTAGAGCAAGCCAGGCCAGCAGATTACTAGGAGCAGCCCAGCGCTTACCCCCGCACGCACCCCCGCGCGCACCCCCGCACGCACCCCCGCACGCACCCCCGCGTGCACCCCACAACAACAACAGATTGTGTACAACACCAAACTCATAGTCAAGGGCGATTTAGGACAAGTTGAATGGTCTAAAATTTTGGGATTCCATGATACAGAGCCCTGAATCATGTGGAAATACCACTAGGATTATTTTACCCTGGTTATTTGAATTTCTTTCTGTGATCAACATCATAATCCCCGGCGTGAGGCAGAGTTACACAGTGCAAAGCTTCTCAGGGAGCAGAGTAGTACACTCTGTAAAAGCTGTTGTTTTTCCTCAAAAAGGCGGCTACAATGCAACGAATACCACGAGTGGTTAAACATGGAACTGATCAACCGCACGGGTGACCCCGCAAAATGATGGGAACATTCCCATCATTACCGCAGTGCGGCGGGCATTTTGCGCTCAGCGCTTCACTTTCTTAATTATCGAAGCTAGACACAATTGGGATAGCATCGGAATTTTTTCCGGCAGCCATTTGGTTTTTTTTTGCGCCCAGTCACGTGACCGTTTTGGCCGCCATCCGCTGCATTGTGCGCCATCGTGGAGAGCATGCAAAAACCCGACCAAATGGTGGCAAAATGGCCGGGATGAAGTCACGTGAATATGCGCCCGCCACCCGCCGTGGCATGCGGGAGGTCGGTAATGACCCCGCCCGCACCCCCGCCAGCCCCCGCCAGCGTTTTAAAATTTTTGGTTCCATCTGTCACGTGCTTTTTTCGCCCGCCATCCCGCCCGCTCGGTGCTTCCACGTGATTGATTTTTTTTTCCCGCCCAGCTACCCGCTCTTACAGATGTAGACAAGTCACATGTATATATTTTCGTTCACCCCCCCCTGCTGACCCCCGCATATGCCCCCGCCCCCAAATGGACCAAATCCCCCCCGCGGGCCCCGCAGGGGGGTACCTTTTAGGTACCCTCAGAGCTACGTCTGAGGGTACCCAGGAGGACCCCCGCGGGGGTGCAACCGGGTGATGGCGGTGGTAACTGAGGTGCGCTCGTCACCGGAAAGATCGGCGACAACTTTCAGCTCACCGTCGTCGATCAGCAGCAGGACAACCGCATGCTAGAGCCGACGTCCATTGTACGCTGAATCTACGTCCTTCTTCGATCGGATCGCTGACTCGCTGCAACTTGCAGCACTGGCACGGGTTGTTCCAGAATGGGACGAACTACATGGACGGGCCTGCGTTCGTCAATCAGTGTCCGATTTCACCTGGAAACTCGTTCACCTACGATTTTACGTCTCAACAAGCTGGGTGTGTGAACTCCGTGTCGTTTATGCTCGAACTTCGTCTGAATCCGATCAACCAGAACATTCTGGTATCACTCTCACCTCGCTACCCAGTACTGCGATGGTCTGCGCGGCGCGATGGTCATCTACGATCCGGCGGACGCATACCTCTCGGAGTACGATGTCGACGACGAATCGACGGTGATAACCCTGTCCGACTGGTACAACGTCTTTGCTGAAACCGTGGCGGGTGTCGGGTCAGTGCTTGGACGTGCGCAGCTTCGGGATCGAGCTCTGATGTGCCCAAACTACAGTGTACCATCCTCCATGCTCATCAACGGTCTTGGACGGACCGCGGCGACGCTCACGAACACGACCCTCGCGGTGGTCAACGTCAAGCAAGGCTTGCGTTACCGTTTCCGTCTGGTCAACACCGCCTGCGACTCCAACTACGTTTTCCAAATCGACGGTCACACCAATTTGACCATTATCGAGGCGGACGGGATCCTCCACCAGCCGCTGAGCGTTGACTCGATCCAGATCTACGCAGGTGAGCTCGACTTCGCTCTTGCGTTTCGAACGGCTGTAACTGACTCTTTTTTTCCAGCCCAGCGGTATTCGTTCATCCTGACTGCCAACCAAGCTGTCGACAACTACTGGATTCGCGCCGCCCCGAACACCGGTCCCGCTGGTTTCACCGGGGGCATCAACTCTGCGATTCTCCGCTGTAAGTCAGCCTTCCACGAGCGATCTCCGTGGTTCCGTTCTGAGCAAGCACGATTTTTCCAGACGAAGGAGCGAACTCTTCCGAGCCCACGACCTCGCAGGACACCTCAGTCAACGGGCTCGTCAACGAGGTCAACCTCCACCCTCTCGTGAATCCTGGTGCTCCCGGCGGTGCTTTCATCGGTGGTGCCGACGTCCAGATCAATCTGGCTTTGGCGTTTGATTTGGTGCGCTCCAGCGACGTTGCAGGGTGTGCGCTCGACTGCTGATCACGCCTGCCAGACGACGTTCAAGTTCACGATCAACGGCGCATCCTTTGTGCCACCCACCGTGCCCGTGCTGCTCCAGATCCTGTCCGGCGCACAGAACGCACAGTCGCTGCTCCCCAACGGCTCGGTGTACACCCTGCCGCACTTTGCGTCGGTCGAAATCACGCTCGCAGGAGGCGTTGTTGGTGGTGGCGTCAGTTCTCTCTCTGTGTTTCTCTGTGTGTCCCAGCGCGGAAGCTGACGACGGGCTCCCTAGCACCCCTTCCACTTGCACGGACACGCGTTCGATGTCATCCGCTCCGCCGGAAGCAGCACCTACAACTACGTCAACCCCGCCCGCCGCGACGTCGTTAACATCGGCAACGCCGGCGACAATGTCACCATCCGCTTCTTCACGGACAACCGAGGACGTCAGTCTCCGTTTTCCCGTCCCGCCCTGGGTTCTTGATATTCGATCAGTCGAGCTGATGATTGTTTTTATGCAGCGTGGTTCCTCCACTGCCACATCGACTGGCATCTGGAAGCCGGTTTCGCGATCGTGTTCGCGGAGGACGTGCCCGACTGGCAGTCGGAGCTGATCCCGACCTCCGAGTGGAACCAGCTGTGTCCCATCTACAACGCGCTTCCGGCTTCGATCACGTCTCTCGCTGCCTGAACCGTCCATCATGTATATGCGACGCACTCTATCTATTGTAAATTAACGGGTTGTCTATGCTATATATAATCTCAGAATCAATTGCACAATTTCGTCCATTTTTGTGGTTTCAGTCAAAAATTCAACATAGCACCCCGATACACTTGGCGGATTCTCTATATCATCTTTCAGTTCAGAATCAATTACAACATGTTGTCCATTTTTCGTGGTTCTCAGTCAAAGGTTCAACAAAGCACCACGTGCCTGCGTGTGGGATCACCACGTGACCATCCATTTCCATTGTCCGGTGGGCTGTCTCATTCCGGGTTTCTATGCTTGTGACGACCTTTGGGATATTTTTATTCATTGAAAAATTCCTTCGAATCGAATCGCGGATGAATTCTCTTTGTGAGGTCGCCGAGACGTTCTCGATTAAGTCCGAGCATGCTCTGCCAGTCTCAGAAATACTTGCTCATGATCGTTCATTGTCTAATCCTAGATTCTACTCGCAATGATGAATTCTATGAAATTACCTTCCAAATCATTTGGGAGCCGGCGCGAGAAATCCGACGAAGCAATGGTATCTTACGACTCCAACCGCATTTCAAGGTCATAGATACGAGTATTGGGTAGAACAAAACTACCATGAAATGTGACACCGGGCTGCTGACCGACTCCCCGACATGCCCAAACCCACGCCGGGGAGAGGCGATGAAAATGAAATCGCTAATGGATACAATATAGACACGACAGTTACTACACATGTGGGAGACGCAGAGAAAAGAGAACGAAATAACACCGCACGTTGAAGTACGGATGAGGTATTCGGAGAAAAGCCCCATGACATTCATCTTCACAGGCTGGGATCACCGGACTGATACGTCGTCGCTAACCCGTCAGTGTTGCCATCCAGCCCACGTCGGCTCAATACGCCGAGCAACAGAAGCGCACTGACGGCAATGCTGATCAGGCGGACAATGCTGTCGTACTCCATTCGCGCAAAACGACGAGTGGCAGGAGACTCAATCGTAACAGGTGGTGAGGACGAGCGCGAGCGCGAGAGGGTGCGGTTACGGTCTGCGGAGTGTGATGCCAGTGAAGAGGATGACGAAGCTGAGTCGATGGCGGGGACCATGCAGGTCTTCTGGCACGAGGGACAGAGTGGTGATGAAGCAGGACCATAGAGCCACTAGTAGAGATTCGTATAAAACAGTGGGGCGAGAAGGAAGTGTCCACGTACGTCGTTGATATGCTCTCGGCAAAACAGCGCCCCGCAGCAATCGGTCACCAGAGGCTCGGTTGCCACTTCCTCGCTGTGGACGACGGAGGTCAGACGCAGGAGTAGGGCCGAATGACGCGTGTATTCTCACCAAATTCCACAGTCCCGCAAGGCCTCGAGTCTTCCCCGCTCTGCCACCTTCCAGTGCCCTTCCTTGTCGTAGGCGCTAGACCCGTGCGTCTGGTCCCGCTCATGACTCGATGAGCGCCAATTGCGTTTCCGCGTCACCTCGCGGAACTGGGGGACAGGCGTGATAGGACGGGATTCGGAGGACTCGGCGCCGAGGTTAATGGTGTATTCGAGCTCGGGTGTATCTGCCACAGCTCCGTAACGACGACCTCAGGTAGAGAGGGTGGAAGGGACGTACATTGAGGCATGCTCAATTTCATACCCGATATCGAGGGTTTCTTGGGGCTCGTAGACATGGATATTATCGGTGTAAATGAGGTCTGCGTGAGGTGGTGGAAGTATGTAGTGAATCAAAAATGTAAGGTGGAAAAATGGCGCGTGATTTTTACCTGGGCTACATTACATCACGAGGGTCTAGAGCCCGCTGACAGGTGACAGGCGATGCGGCCATGTTCGAGACCGGCCGCGGACAGGTTTTTTTGGCCCATGCAGAACCCTTACACCGGCAAGGACTCCCTGACCTGCAGGAGCGATCCCGGTCCCGGCTCATTTATCAGCAGTTTTCTCAGCTACCCATCCAACTGGGCTGTCACGTGCCCTTCTTTCATCACCACAGTCAGAGTTGCATCCACCTCAGTTACCACCGCCATCACGCGGTTCTCCCCCCGCGGGGTACCTACTGGGTACCCTCAGACGTCTTGCTGAGGGTACCCAGTAGGTACCCCCTGGCGGGGGGTGGGGGGGCCATTTAGTCGATTTAGTAGCGGGGGCATATGCGGGGGTCAGGAGGAGGGGGGGTGTATGTAGCATGTGACTTGTCCATAAGAGCGGGTAGCTGGGCGGGAAAAAAAAATCCAATCACATGACGCGCTGCATGGGCGGGATGGCGGGATAAAAAAATCACGTGATGCGCTGCACCAAATATTACCAAAATGCTGGCAGGGGTTGGCGGCGTCATTGGCGGGGTCACTACCACCCCCCCGCACACCATGGCGGGCAGTGGGCGCATTATCACGTGACTTTTTGGGCGCCTTTTTTGCAGCATTTGGCATGATTTTGGAAATGCTGCTTGATACATTGCATGCTGTGGCAGACAATGGGCGCAAAATCACGTGATTTTCCGCCAAAAAAATGGAAGACTCCCCAAATCATCCCAGTATAATTTCCATAGGTAAATAGGCTAGTTAAACATGAACTTGAGCTTAGAAAAACCAAAATGCACCCTGCACAATGGGATTGGTGACACACTTGATCCCATCATTTGGCAGGGCCTGCCGCAGGGGCTGCCGCAGGGGGTGCCGCGGGGGGTGCCGCGGGGGGTGCCGCAGGGGGTGCCGCGGGGGGTGATGCGGGGGCTGCCCCAGGGTTGGTCTGTTATGATCCATTTTTGTTCATTGAAGATCTTGTAGAGGTGAGCAGGGCAACAGGCCAACTGGGAATTTATAGGAAGACATTGAAATTGATGCAGGGGTCAGATGCGGGGCCCACTGCAAGGTCTACTGCAGGGGCAGGGGTGCGTTATATCAAATTTCGATGTATCTATTCTGGCCATGGCCATAGAATGTCACATAATTATCCTTCAATTTGGCAGGGGTTTCTTGGTATGGTCTGCAGCTAAAGATATTTGATTCCCTTGTGCTTTAGCAGAGCCTGGGATATTGAAAACATGCAATAGCACCTGTATAATCTGTCTATGTAGGGTCAAATACAAGTTATAACTTGGTACATTTGGGCATGGTCTGCTCAAGCTATTAGGTCGAATTTAATGTTTGAAAAATGCGCAACTTGATTTATTTGGCAAATCCCCCAAGGGAGTTTTCCATGTGCAGCCAAATTGATCGCCAGGAATAGCTACTGCTCCTTGTCCCTGTCTGTTTGCTTCCAATAGTCTGTCTGCTCCCAAATCTTCCTCTCCATTTTCAGGATATCTGATACAGGTGTTAGGATTGTTGATTGATGGATTTCATATTCCTTGTCTACACACCATTTAGACACTTTAATGGATGTGATAATACTGTGAACACTAACAATTGATTAGGCAGCACTTTTGTCCATCCAATCCTTGCAGGGGCTGGGGCAGGGTTGATGGTGGGGGCTGCCGCGGGGGCTGCTGCGGGGGGTGCCGCGGGGGGTGCCCAAGCCTCTGCCAGCCTACCCAATGTGGATCAACTACAGGATCACTTTCCAAAGCTTCTGTACTGCAACCCGAGTGACTTCCAGGTTACCTTTACCCAATTCCAGTGACACAACTTGCCTGCTCTTGTTTCTGGCCGACAATTGATTTTATAAGCTTGAGTGTGTATGTGCACTTTTTGGTGGGAAAGGAGGCCATTTGGTGAGGGGCAGGGCACCGAAACATTGTCAAATACCACATTAAACATGACCAGTGGCTTACATCTCTTCAAACTGGCCCCTATCTCATGTTTATCAAGACCCTATTTTTCGGACCCATTTCAAGTTTTTGAATGGTTCCAGGGTCCAGGGCTCTCAGAATTTGTTTCAGACACTGCCAAGGGGTATATCATTCAGCTGTATTGAGTTGTTCATTTGTAGAAAATATATTTTTTGCAATACCCAAAGTGAACTATGTTGAACCATTATCTATGTAGGAACCTTGAGCAACTGTGAACTGTTTTCATGTTTCGAATTTTGGATGGACAAATGATATGAAATACCTACATATTCAACAAGAACAGCATAGGGAGACCTTATTCCGATGGTTTTCAGCTGCATAACTGTAGAAACAGTGTCAGAAGAGCAGGAAACACTTAGGTACGACGTTTATACAGGTTCTGATTGGCTGGTGACTTGACGTGTTCCGAGCTGTCAGATTATGTAATCTTACATATGAGAAGATGGCAGGGGCAAGGCACCGGTGCAGCGGGGGGTGTGGCAGGGGGTGTCAGCCTGGCGGGGGTGCATGCGGGGGTGCAGTGGGGGGTGCCAGTTTGGCGGGGGGTGCCTGCAGGGGTGCCAGTGGGGGTGCAGGTAGAGTTGCAGGCAGTGAGTTATGGCAAGAACGTATACAGTCCCAGTAGCAAAAGCAATCATGTATGTTTCTGCAGTTTGTCTTGCAAGTATCCAAGCTCTAAGTGGAAAGAATTTTGTATATGAAATCTGAATTCATGCTCAATCTCTGGCTATTGTGAGACAACTTATTAGTGAGTTAGTTCATCCTCTTATATACGACCCAGGAATGAATTGAGGGCATGTCAAATCCGCTATGTTCCATCTGTTCATGTTGCAGCTTGAGAAAATCATTTGCAAAGCATCACAGAACTTCTGATTTTCAATGAGTCCCAGTCAGGAAGTGAGACATTCAATGTGTACTTGACATGTGGTACAATGTGCTGCAGGGTAAGATTACACTGTGCTAACAGTGTGAACAATTGACTAATAGCCATGTATGTAGAATGAGCGCACCAAAAAATCAATGAGATGACAGTGGACCCAGTGCAGCCAACCTACCCACCCTGCCGGTCAACACATGAACAAATCATAACTTGTATTTGACCCTACATAGACAGATTATACAGGTGCTATTGCATGTTTTCAATATCCCAGGCTCTGCTAAAGCACAAGGGAATCAAATATCTTTAGCTGCAGACCATACCAAGAAACCCCTGCCAAATTGAAGGATAATTATGTGACATTCTATGGCCATGGCCAGAATAGATACATCGAAATTTGATATAACGCACCCCTGCCCCTGCAGTAGACCTTGCAGTGGGCCCCGCATCTGACCCCTGCATCAATTTCAATGTCTTCCTATAAATTCCCAGTTGGCCTGTTGCCCTGCTCACCTCTACAAGATCTTCAATGAACAAAAATGGATCATAACAGACCAACCCTGGGGCAGCCCCCGCATCACCCCCCGCGGCACCCCCTGCGGCACCCCCCGCGGCACCCCCCGCGGCACCCCCTGCGGCAGCCCCTGCGGCAGGCCCTGCCAAATGATGGGATCAAGTGTGTCACCAATCCCATTGTGCAGGGTGCATTTTGGTTTTTCTAAGCTCAAGTTCATGTTTAACTAGCCTATTTACCTATGGAAATTATACTGGGATGATTTGGGGAGTCTTCCATTTTTTTGGCGGAAAATCACGTGATTTTGCGCCCATTGTCTGCCACAGCATGCAATGTATCAAGCAGCATTTCCAAAATCATGCCAAATGCTGCAAAAAAGGCGCCCAAAAAGTCACGTGATAATGCGCCCACTGCCCGCCATGGTGTGCGGGGGGGTGGTAGTGACCCCGCCAATGACGCCGCCAACCCCTGCCAGCATTTTGGTAATATTTGGTGCAGCGCATCACGTGATTTTTTTATCCCGCCATCCCGCCCATGCAGCGCGTCATGTGATTGGATTTTTTTTTCCCGCCCAGCTACCCGCTCTTATGGACAAGTCACATGCTACATACACCCCCCCTCCTCCTGACCCCCGCATATGCCCCCGCTACTAAATCGACTAAATGGCCCCCCCACCCCCCGCCAGGGGGTACCTACTGGGTACCCTCAGCAAGACGTCTGAGGGTACCCAGTAGGTACCCCGCGGGGGGAGAACCGCGTGATGGCGGTGGTAACTGAGGTGGTTGCATCCGCTTCCTGCGTGATCGGATTCGGTACTTATTTTGACCCAATCAGTTCCCATTCATGCACTAGTAATTTATAAAACAGCAAAAACTCGCTGGCTCGCGAAGTCCGCCTGAATACTTGTTCACGGTCATACCAGAAGAACAGTGAACAGCAGAATCAAGAGGCACATAGGCGATAGCGCGTTGAGGCGCGAAGCACTTCCCGCTTTTGCGTCGGGCATGACTACGGCGGCCGCCGCGTTTCCGTTCGGAGCTGATCCAGCTGCATTGTCCTTTTCCGAGGGTCCCTGCCCGTAAAGTCCCGCTACTGTTGGGACGGGGACAACACTTGTAGCCGACGCTGATTGGGCTCCGACCGTCGTCGCCGCTTTCACGGTCACAGTAAAGGTGGGGGCGACCGAACGGATCGGGTTCGGAGTTGCGTTGACAGGCAGGTTGGTGCAGTTGCGTGATTGGGATTGAGCGACCGCTTTGCCCAGGAAGCCTTGTGCCTGCACAAGCAAATCAGCATGCACCGTGGAGGAACATTTCAGCAAGCTAAGCGTCAAGGAATCATTAAAATCTGACGCTGTGACATTTTTAACAGCATCCCGGGCCTGGGTCAACAATCCTTGCATCTGAGGGAGCGTATCCGCCAGAGGCTGCGCTGCGAGCGTAGGAAAAACAGCGATGCTCTGTAGTCCGTCAGCGAGAGTAAAGGCATTGTCGAGGAGCTTGTTCGCAGTGGTAACGCTGCAGAATGGCGTTGAGATTTTCTTTCAGCATCGGTAAGAGAGGAAAAACCTACTCCGAGGTGGCATTCGAACGTCCCAGCAATTGCTGCGTCAGCTGGATGAAAGATGCGAGCCTCGTCGTGTTCTGTTCGCTGCAGCTGGCGATCAGAGGGCCAGTGTCGAGACGGGCCTCAAACGCCAGCTTGGGAGCCATAGCACTAAGATTTAGGCTAATGTCTATGGCTGTAGCCATAGAAAACCTAGACTAATCCATGGCTAGGGTCATTTTTTTATTGCTCTGTAGCTAAATGTTAAATGGGGTTTAATGGGGGAGTCGAACAGGTGACCTCCCAAAAACTATCCATGTCCAACACATTAGCACAGTGAGCCAAGCTGCTGATACTATCAGACCATTCTTTCCCTCCACTTAGGGTAACCCGCTTGCGGGTTACCCTAAGTGGAGGGATAGCTTTATCCTAGTACTGTTCATTTCAAACCCTAACAACCCAATAAAAATGGTTCAAACCCTAACCAATCCTAACTGAGCCTACAAATGTATTTTTTTTGCTTCCTGGCCCCGACCCTAACTCGGAAAAAATAATATCTCTGGGACTAACCTTTCATCAACCCAAACCACTAACCAGTAAAAATAACACGATTCTTGGGACCCTAAGCTCTATCCCAAACCCAAACCCTAGCCCAAACCCAAACCTGTCCTAAGTCTGAGAAGGAGGGACACAGTCGTGGGAAGACTGAAGCCAAGTTGTCACACCAGTATAATATCTATGGTATCCATTTTTATTGCTGAAAATCGATTTCTGACAAGCAGGATCAAACACAAAACAAGCAATAGAGGCAAGAGTAATCATTCCATCAATAGTCTTTCATAAATACTTATGTACTGATTGACATTTTTCGTCACATGCCATGTATGATTGATGGCATCCGTTAGCCTTGGGACCATGGCTGTAGCCATGCCATGGCTACAGCCATGGATTAGCCTAGGTTTTCCATGGCTACAGCCATGGCATTAGCCTAAATCCTAGCACTACGGGTGAGCTTGGGACCTTTAATCAAAAGTGAGTCTCCAGAAAGATTGATCTCACAGAGCGCGAACCCAACGGAGTCGCGAGAACCGTGGTAAGGATGGAGCACACAATGCTGAGGACGACAGGGAGAGAAATGAGCATAGTTTGTGTGGATTATTGAAGAAATGGAAGGAAGCAAAGAAAATCAGCGACGAAGAAAAGGGAGAAATGACACCAGTGACGAGCTCGGGGTCGCTTTGACTGTGTAACCAGACCGGCGCTGATTGATATAACAGAGGTCACATCACAAGCTGTGCTTCATGCAGCTTACCACGTCATTCCACGTGCCGTTCAGCATCAGTGGCGATGCTCCCATCATCCATCATAAGCTGTGCTTCATGCAGCTTACCACGTCATTCCACGTGCCGATGCTCCCATCACCCATCAATACTCAATATTCGGTCTCTCATAACGATCCACAATCCCGGTTTCAAACACTCGTCAAACGCGGCGCTACGATGCAAGACCGCCACAGAAATGGTCCCCAGACTAGGACTGAATTCCTGGAAGGGCCCAGGCAGTTCCAGAGGGACGAGACCGGTCCAGGATTTCTCTCAGAATACAGATTCCCCAGTTTCACATTCCGTTATATTATAGGTCTCATGTTCCTTTTATTTCTTCTAGCTAACCAAAATTGGACTCTATTCATCTACCTACAGTATAAATACACATGTAACAGTCCATAAAATGCAGGTTGATTTTACTCCACTTCTCACAGAGTCTTCAGGAAGCCTTCACCCCAAGATTTGTCTTCTATTCACCCCTACGTCGTCGTTTCACTCCCGTCGTCGATTATTTTCATCCCAAGCCGCCGCTATTCCTCTGCGATTTTACACATCGAGTCTGACCCAGCCCGACCAAAACCCCTCGAATTCACCGCTATCTCTACGGCCACCGTCCCGGGTGATCAGCAGCTCATCGGCGGTATCTACGCCGTCCCTCCCACCTAGTTCTGAGCCCAGGAGCGCCGTAGGCGCGTCATTTTGGAGCCCACCGCGAGGGGGTTTTTCTGTCCATCATTGCGTCAGACTCACCTCGCAGACTTCGACCTAACGCTCGCCGGAATCTTCGACTCGAGTTCCGTGCCCTCGCGCAGAATCCTCTTGATCTCACCGACACCTCGAGACACAGCGATTCGTCTTCAGACGATCTACTGGTCCCGGTACCTCATCACCTTTCGCATCATCACCACCTGGATCTAGTTGATCCAGATTCACCGACGCTTGCCCGATTTCGCATCACGCCATCGTTCTCTTCGAGATCATCCCATTCGCCTCAGTCTACACCATCGACCTCATCGAGCCCTGATCCGTTTCGTCTCCGACCCGTCACACCGCCTCTGATAAACGCACCAATGGCTACCAACACCAATATGCCAGCACGGGGCGCCCGAGGCGCCCCCGAGTTCGACGCTAAGCAGCCACGACAGCTGCTGCGTTTCTTCACCGACCTGGAGTTTCATTTCTCTCTGGCAGGCGTCACGGCAGAACAAGAAAAGAAGACTCACGCGACACGCTACCTTTCAGTGGACGACCAGGAGATTTGGGAGTCGCTGGACTCTTTCCTTGCGCCCCACTCCTACGCATCGTTCAAAGCTGACGTCTTGAAACTTTACCCAGGCACGGATGCCGATCGCCGGTACACGCTTTCAGATCTACACACCCTTATTGGGGAATACGCAAGTGTCGGGATCTTGTCTCGTTCCGACTACAGCGAATTCTATCGGAAGTTTTTGGTCATTACCAAATTCCTCGTGGACAAGGCCCGACTATCCACCGCAGAACAATCTCAAGCCTTTCGTCGAGCAATCTCGCCGCCGAGCCTTTGGAGCCGAGTCCACCAGCGACTACAAATCAAGAAGCCTGATGTGCACCCAGACGACCCCTACGACCTCACAGACATGAACGAAGCCATGGAGTTCGTCCTCGCAGACTCCTCGCATGGATCAGCCATCTCAAACACGGCATCGCCGAAACCCGTGGCAGTCAAACAAGAACCTGATTCAAATATAGCCGAGTTAATCGAGTCAATGAACGGGCTAATGAAGGTACTTGCCGCACAAGCAGCAGTCACGGCGCAAGCAGTCGCCGCCCAGCAGAGCCGGCCAGTGAGCACGGGAGCGCCATCTTCAGTCCAGAATACGCCACGAGACCTAAACTGCAGCTATTGCGGCGAATCGGGGCATTTTATCATCCGTTGCCCGCGTGTTGACGAAGATACACAGGCTGGAAAGTGCAAACGAAACGTCGAGGGCCAGGTGGTCCTGCCCAGCGGCTCATACGTTCCCCGGCGTGTCATGGGCACCAATCTGCGTGCACGGATCGAAGAATGGCATCGCCAGAACCCAGGACAAATGGCGGCGTCGCAGAATACAGCTGAAATCTCCACGCATTTCCTCAGCTCCAATTCCGGACCGAAAATCGCGTCGAGCTTCACGCTATCAGATACAGAACGCCTTCAGTACCTCGAACGCGAAATGATGGCCGTACGTACCAGGGCACAAGCGCGCGCAGCCCTAGGTGCGGGGCGTTTGTCCGAACCAGTCGAGGAGCCCGAACAGACCGTCCGCCCGAATTCGTCAGCAACGAGCGCCCCGGGAATCGATAAAAACGCACCGGGACCTGCAGCAACGCGCCAGAAGGACCCACCAGTGCATCCCGCAGCGGAACACCCATTTTCAAAAGCCAAAGACGCGGGGTACGCCCCACCACGCGACCGGAACGTGGGGGCACGCATCCCTGCTCCACCAAAGAAAGCCGAGGGCGCCTATCGAACCACAGCACCTATTTTCGACGATAAAATCGCCAACACCGTGTTTGGACGTCTCTTGGAGTCGAAAATCGAAGTCAGCGAGCGGGAACTCCTTTCGCTATCCCCAGAGCTCCGCACCATGACCAGGGACGTCACCAGTAGCCGCCGAGTCGTCCCAGGGACCGAAAAGTCGCCAGTAGCCGCCAGCAAGCCCACAGAGCAGTTTTCGTTTGACCTGGCGCCCCAGGAGGCGTATATCAAGACGATAGAAGAGCAGCGAGATGGCGATAGACGGCGGGAAGCGTTTTTCGATTCGATGCCCACATCCTTTGGTCAGGCGACGTTACCGGCCAACGCCACTGTTATCCCTGATCATTTCGAAACCTGATCAACAGCGGCGCTCAAGGAAATGATTTATTGGTCTCCATGGAGTCATCAGCCATCCGTTCCGTCCTGCCCGTAATAGACAGCCGTCTCCGGGTGGAGTGCATCGTTGATGGAGGTTTTCAAATTATCGCTATGTCGGAAGCGATTTGTCACGAAATTGGTCTCTCCTATGATCCCACCATCGTTCTGCAGATCCAATCAGCAAATGGATCAGTGACACCGTCCTTGGGTCTAGCCCGAAACGTTCCCTTCGCTTTCGACGACATAACCTTGTACCTACAGGTCCACGTCGTCCGGAACCCACCATACGACGTGCTTCTGGGAAGACCCTTCGATGTTCTCACAGAGAGCATAATCCATAACTTCGCAAACGAGAATCAGACGATCACAATCCGTGATCCCAATTCGGGCAAAATTGCCACAGTCCCCACTGTAGCTCAGGGATCGCGTCCAAGAGCGCAGGGTTTTCAACCCTCGAGGAATTGATTTCTGATCAAGGAGAGGTTGCATTGCTCATCGAGTCAGAGCCAAATGACCGTAACAAATTCTCTATCTATTCCTATGCCTCGCTCCCCTCGTCCTATTCAAGCGCTGAACTCCAATATTTCTATTTGACAGGTTGCACAAACCTGGGCTCGTATTCTGATACAGTTCAGTTCGCACATGCAGTCGTTCAACCGGCGTTTGTCGCGCAAGATAGGGGCGATTCAACTCGCCCCTTTGGTTTTGAAAACTACCCTTTTTCCCCTCGATACAATTCTACAATACCAGTCTACGTCCAATCGACATCTCTCTCAAACCCTTATTCTCCGCGTGTTGACGTCCTCGCCAAGAAACTATACAAACCGGTTTCACGAAAAATACGACCAGTTCTCGGTACCTTACCCGAGGAATTCCGGCTTATACGCGAGATCCACGGGGACCCATTGGCTACACTACCACGTCTTGATCCGAATCCCCCGCCTTTTACCCCATCTGGACGATACACCACCGAAAGACGCGACATAATCGACAAGCTTCACGAGGAAGATTTCCTATGGCCAGAAGAACAGCAGCTCATGCACCACTTCATGATGCTTCACGAGGACGGCTTCGCATGGACTGACCTAGAAAGAGGGAAGTTTAGAACCGACTTCTTCAAACCGGTCACCATCCCCGTAATCCCACACGTACCATGGGTGCAACGAAACATCCCTATTCCACCGGGAATTCGTGACGAGGTTTGCGAGCTTATACGTCGTAAGCTTGCAGCAGGTGTCTACGAACCGTCAAATTCAGCATACCGTTCTCGATGGTTTTGCGTGGTGAAGAAAGACGGAACGAGCCTACGTTTGGTGCACAGCCTGGAACCACTAAACGCGGTCACGATCCAGCACTCGGGAGTGCCACCTTTCACCGAGCAAGTAGCGGAGCATTTCGCCGGACGATCCTGTGGAGGAATGTTAGACCTCTACGTGGGGTATGATGAGAGAGTTCTCGCCGAGGCCTCCCGGGATTACACCACCTTTCAGTCCCCATTTGGCGCCCTTCGACTGGTTACCCTGCCAATGGGCTGGTCAAACTCGGTACCAATCTTTCACGACGACGTCACCTTCATCTTGCAGCCCGAGATTCCCCAGTTCACGATACCGTACATTGACGATGCGCCAGTCCGAGGACCGAAGACGCGTTACGAGCTGGCCGGAGGAGGGTATGAGACCATTCCGAAGAACGATGGGATCCGCCGGTTTGTCTGGGAACATTTTCAGACGCTCAATCGCATTGTACAAAGGATGAAGTACTGCGGCGGCACCTTTTCAGGACCCAAGGCCATACTCTGCGCATCAAGATTCCCCGTCCTTGGTCACATGTGCACATATGAAGGACGAATCCCTGACGAGAAGCGCGTGGAAAAGATCGTTAACTGGGGTCTATGTCAGAACCTGTCTGAAGTACGCGCCTTTCTAGGAACCATCGGCGTAGTGCGCATGTTCATCCGAAACTTTGCCCAACGCGCCAGTCCCCTGATCGGTCTCACACGGAAAGGTGTCCCGTTCACCTTCGGACCAGAGCAAGTCAGCGCCCAAGAAGACTTGAAACAGGCACTACTGAGCTCACCGGTGCTTCGCCCACTTGACTATACGTCCACATCACCCGTCATCCTTTCCGTGGATACATCTTACATCGCAGTAGGGGCCACTCTAGCCCAGTGCGATCCGGACAAATTGACAAGACGATTCTACGCAAGATTCGGGTCAATCACCTTGAACGAACGGGAAGCGCGGTTCTCACAACCAAAACTGGAGCTTTACGGGCTCTTTCGCACCCTTCGTGCCTGGAAGATCCATCTGATAGGACTGCGCAACCTCGTGGTGGAAGTCGATGCAAGTTCGATCAAGGGGATGCTATCAAACCCCGACCTGGCACCAACAGCAGCGATGAACAGATGGATTCTAGCGATACTCACCTTTCACTTCGACCTTGTACATGTGCGAGGAGTAAGCCATCGACCGGATGGATTATCTCGACGACCAAGACAGCCCGAAGACAAAGCAGAAGAGGACGACGACTTTGAAGATTGGATAGATCAGGTGCACGGATTCACGCATATGATCAATCACTCACCATACGTTACTTGCTACGGGCCGTGGACTTCCTCCGTATTCATGGCTGGAACCTTGGACGAAGAAGAAGCAAGGGAAGCGTCGCCTGAGATACCAAGATCGGCGACAGCGTTACGAGCAGACTACCGGGTGGACCAAGTCAGGATTTGGCACGACACATTGGAGCAACCCCGCGATATGTCGGAAATGGAATACCAATCGTTTGTCCGATACTGCATGGAGTTCTTTCGGCGTGGCACTGTGTTATGGAGAAAAGACTCACATGGGCGTCACAAGGTGGTGGTGCAGCCAGAACGGCGATGGTCTGTCCTGGAATTGGCACACGACGATGTTGGTCACAAAGGTTTCTATGCGACGCGAGCCCTACTCACCGAACGGTTCTGGTGGCCTCACATGGCTGACGATATTGCGTGGTTTGTCCGGACCTGCAACCTGTGTCAGCAGCGGCAAGTACGGAAGATACACATACCTCCGACGGTTGCGGTACCAGCGCCCATCTTCGCCAAGATGTATATGGACACGATGCACCTCCCCACGAGCGGCGGTTTCAAGTACATTGTCCAGGGTCGATGTTCGCTGACGCACTACCCAGAGTGGAGGATGCTCCGTCGAGAAAACGCGTCGGCCCTGGCGAACTGGATCTTCCAAGACATCTTGTGTAGATGGGGGACCCTGCTAGAAATCGTCACAGATAACGGTACCCCGTTCGTGAAAGCACTTACACACCTGGAAAAACAATACAAGATACGACACATCCGGATATCGGGATACAACTCGCAAGCAAACCTGTCCGAGCGGCCGCACTTCGATGTACGAGAAGCCTTGTATAAGGCAGCAAGCGGAAACCAGTCGAAATGGCACACCGTAGCGCACTCCGTCTTTTGGGCAGACCGTGTCACAGTCCGGCGGCGCATGGGATGTTCCCCGTTCTTCGCGGTCACTGGCGCACACCCGTTACTACCACTCGACATCTCGGAGGCCACTTATCTGCTTCCCCCTCCCGAAAAAGTCCTCTCCACCACCGAGCTCATTGCGCAGCGGGCCATCGCACTGCAGAAACGACGAGACCAGCTGGCCCTACTCCATTCCGAGGTCTTCGAGGCCAGAGTACAAGCGGCGATCCGGTTCGAACGAGACCACGCATACACCATCCACGACTATGATTTCCAGCGAGGGGATTTAGTCTTGATGAGGAACACAGCAATCGAAAAGTCACTCAGTCGCAAGATGCGTAAGCGGTACCTGGGGCCATTAATCGTCATTGCGAGGAACAGAGGAGGCGCCTACATCCTCTGTGAGCTAGATGGCGCTGTTTTTCACTGACCCATCGCAGCGTTCCGTGTGATCCCATACTTCGCAAGGAAGACAATCGAGCTTCCCCCCCTTGAAGACCTGCTCGATATATCGATGGAACGGCTCAGAGAGATGGAGGAGTCGATCCTGGAGGACCCGGAGGACGAATCAGACGAAGAAGAAACGGGAGAGAAGAGCGAAGAAGCCTTGGCCATCGAAACGGGACCCCGAGGGAAAAGTCCTTGCCCGACGGCGCCATCACCCAAGCCAGCTGTCACTTACCACCGCAATAACCCCTCATATTCACACGGCGTCGACGGACTGACAGGGGACTGTCAGGATTTAAGTTGGAGGGAGATGACAAGCTCGGGGTCGCTTTGACTGTGTAACCAGACCGGCGCTGATTGATATAACAGAGGTCACATCACAAGCTGTGCTTCATGCAGCTTACCACGTCATTCCACGTGCCGTTCAGCATCAGTGGCGATGCTCCCATCATCCATCATAAGCTGTGCTTCATGCAGCTTACCACGTCATTCCACGTGCCGATGCTCCCATCACCCATCAATACTCAATATTCGGTCTCTCATAACGATCCACAATCCCGGTTTCAAACACTCGTCAAACGCGGCGCTACGATGCAAGACCGCCACAGAAATGGTCCCCAGACTAGGACTGAATTCCTGGAAGGGCCCAGGCAGTTCCAGAGGGACGAGACCGGTCCAGGATTTCTCTCAGAATACAGATTCCCCAGTTTCACATTCCGTTATATTATAGGTCTCATGTTCCTTTTATTTCTTCTAGCTAACCAAAATTGGACTCTATTCATCTACCTACAGTATAAATACACATGTAACAGTCCATAAAATGCAGGTTGATTTTACTCCACTTCTCACAGAGTCTTCAGGAAGCCTTCACCCCAAGATTTGTCTTCTATTCACCCCTACGTCGTCGTTTCACTCCCGTCGTCGATTATTTTCATCCCAAGCCGCCGCTATTCCTCTGCGATTTTACACATCGAGTCTGACCCAGCCCGACCAAAACCCCTCGAATTCACCGCTATCTCTACGGCCACCGTCCCGGGTGATCAGCAGCTCATCGGCGGTATCTACGCCGTCCCTCCCACCTAGTTCTGAGCCCAGGAGCGCCGTAGGCGCGTCACCAGGTCAGAAACTTGAAAGTGGAACAGGACAGACAACTCGCTGCTCTGCGTCGCTATCTTTATACGCGCTCCATCACATTTCTTTCGCCGTAAGGCGCTCAGATGAACGCACACGAAATCTGCATCGAAAGCTCGGAATCTATGACTCTCGGTTGTCGTCAAGCGATCTGAAGCCGTCTCTGGTGGTAAACATCCTATCTGTAGATCACCTGCTCCACGGATGAACGGACACTCGTGAGCAAACAGCTCGTGGCAGAAATTCTGAAGGCGCATGATCGCGCAGTGCATAAGCCTGGGTATACCATAAAGAAATGTTTGATGCTTCTACCAGTCGATCTCACGGAGAGACATTGTCATGTCAGAAAGGAGGATTCTCGATATCAGCACGATAGAGATAAGGAGAACGAAGGCATAACCGTCGAATCCCCTTGACGGATTTCAGGGCGAGATCGAGGGAAGCCAAAGGTCGATCATCAGCATATTCGAACAGTGTTGTTGATAAGTAGTTAAGGTCTTAACTTGACCAGGCTTATTATGTACTTAACTTAAGATAAGTTGAACCCTTAACATCGGTGTAAAACATAATAAGGCTCTTAATAAGTCTTAATATAGAATTACCTACACTGGCAGCAATTCCCATGAACAGACAACATCCACGTACCAGCTCGTGGCTTCCAACCACCCTCTCATCTCTCTTTGGGGGGAAAGTCTCAAACCCCATTGTGATGGCCTGTTGCGAACGCGTGGTGTCAGAGGAAGCACTGTACATGGAGCTGTTAGCTGCCAAACATGACAATAAAGCACCGGATGCAGGTGCTCTTGAGGGCTCTGGAGATGAATACGCGCCGTAGAAGTTTTCTTGTAATGTTTTGAACCAGTATTGACGCAAATAAACTCATTTGGGACTTGAATACAAATCGGGTAATAAGCCTTATAAAAGACCCTTAAAATAGGCACCCTTAATAACTCTTACCTTGTCCTAAGACCTTAATTTCAGCAGACACCCTTAATAACACCCTTATCTACAACACTGTATTCGAACCGTTCAGCCGGGGTAGGCATGCTTGGTCAGCAGAAGATCTGAGCTGTTGCACGTGATGTCACGTGACAAATGTTGGACATGTGCTTGTTCGATTGGAGCTTGTGACAAGAATTTTGCTCGAGTTAAAAGAGAGTGGGGGGTACGTGTTTTCCGTGAAAAAATATTCAAGAGCTTCCTGAAGTCTCAGCTGCTGCTTTATCTGCCTCCGCCTCGCGCATGGTAACCCACAATCCGCCCTGAAGTTGAAATCGATCAGACAACTCGCCGTTGAAGCAAACGAAATATGGCCTACATTGACGTAAAGCGTCAAGTGCGACCTCGGCCAAATCTTCTCTTCCTTCTTCCAGCCGCTTTCATCGTCAGTCTTCCACGAGGCGGGGGGACGGGTGGCGGGAGGTTGGGCTGCAGGAGCGAGGGATATCTCGGAGAACGACTGGAGGAGCCGCACGAGGAAAAACGAGGCTTCGTGGTAGGCAAACTGAGGTGAATATTTCTCAGTGCCCGGGACATGTTTTCCAGACACAGAAAGATGTCCTACCTGTTGGCCGAGGCAGATTCTAGGACCAGCGTTGAACGGGAGGAAGATGAATGGATTCGGAGTCACTTCGGAGAACATTCATAATCAGTGGGCGGAGGGGATTTTTAGAGGTAAGGCGCACGGTATTTGTGAACACGTTCATCCAAGAACCGGGCTGGATCGAATTTCAAGGCATCTGGACCCCAGAGATCCTTTCGGCGGTGCATCACGATAGGGGTGAAAACAACCCTGTCTGATGTTAGGGGTGCTTTAGGGCACGAAAACAAAAATCCCACCTCGTTCCAGTTGGCACGTGAATCGGGGGGCCATCTGGACTCGATCTGAACAGGGCAGGTCTGCGGGCAGTTCGGACGTTGAAAGGACTGTGGGTAAGATGTGAGATTGCGAACAAGAAATAAACGGTGTTGGTGATACGAACACCGGTGGATATAGTCGCAAAGTCTCGTTCAGAACCGCCTGCACGAGATCAGTGGAGTGAAAAAAATCGATGGAAGAGAACTCACGCGGAGGTATTTCATGTTGCGGAAGTCGTCGAAGGTCGGGGCTCGGGTCGGGCCTACGCTGTCCATAATCTCCTGGCGCAACTTGGAAAGCACCTCGGGATGCTCTGCAAGCATATACACCGTGAATGTCAGAAGGCACGCGGTCTATTGGCAAGGTTAGAGCAGGAGGAAAGGCAGAGAAGGTGCTGATACGGACGGTATCGCGTCCAGCGGTGGTGATGTTCAGGATTTCGTCACGGAGGATGGTATGATCTGGCAGCTTTGAGATGGGCACGTCATGCATCAGCCAACTCACCCTCAGTATAGTTAACCAGATGCTCCAACAACGTCTCTCCCTCTTGTACCTCTCGATCCCCATTCACGTCTGCCTTCTCGAATGAACCAGAGCGTCTCTTTTTCTCGATCGCTTCTCGGAGTATGGGATCCAGATAAGCGCGAACAACACTCATCGGCTCCTCCATAGTGTCCACCCAGAATTCCTGTAGCGGCCAATGCTCGCCGAGTCTGTTCCGAGCGGAAGCAATGATCTGAGCCTGCTGAAAGGCAGCCGCGAATGCGCTGGACGGATGAGATTTTCCGGCTGCAGCAGGTTCCGCTGCTGGGGCATAGAAGGGGTAGGGAAGCCCGGCCTCGAGAGTGTTCACGTTGGTGCCGAACAGGAACGTAGTCGCGGCATCCATGGTGAAACGAGAGACCATATCCTGGGCCGGGGTCAGCCCAGATGCGGTGCGGGTGCGAGCCCAATGCAAAGGGAGCATTACCTGAAAATCTGCAGGATGACCTTCTCTGAGTCTTGCTTTGAATTGTCCAATCGCGTTTTCTGCGTGATGGTCAAATAGCTCGAAATCGCTGATCCGTTCGCGATGGAAGAAAGGACGGGTCATGGCCCGATGGAATCTACGGTACGAGCTTTTAGTATATTCATGTTGAATTCACGCTTTTTCTCACTTCCACATGTCGCCTAGAAATGCCGTGAGCGGTTTAGGTAGACATCGAGAGATGATATTGTGACACACCGTCCGCCGCGAAGACTCCTGTGCCAAGCAAGGGCCCCAATACCTCTTGGAACTCCGAACCTTTCTCGAAGCTATTGAAATCTGTGGCAAGCACTGTCTTTATGTTGTGAGGGTCCGCTGTGATCGTCTTCATGAAAAATCAGACCCAGTGCTTGCATGTATTCCAGTCAGAGATGTGCGCTCACCCGATTCTGGAACAGCAACCGCACTCGCGTAGTATAGGCGTCCTTGGCAAGGACGATGCTCATTCCCTCCGCTGGCAATGAGTAAATCATTGAAGATGAACTGGAGGGGGGGAGTGTTCGACGCACCCGGATACATGTCGATCATCTTGACGAAAAACATCTGAACGCCGCCAATCCAACCGGGAAGCACAGGACCCATGGTGGCGCCATTCTTCGCCGCCGCCCGTGCGTCCAACCAGTCCCGCCGCTGGACGATGAGCGTAAGGACAAGAGGGCCGCTCAAGAGGCACGCAATCCAGCTCGGAAACGGCAGTTGGATGTCGAAAGCCTGCAGGACATGGATCGACGCATATGTGAGCAATGCCGGGGAGAGCAGTCTGGGGAGGTGTTTGGATATGTATCGGATACCCGGTGGGATGGATGGCATCGCTGACTGCTGTCTGGGAAGAGACGATGGAGAGCGTGAGCACTCTGGTCCAGATATACCACCCACAGCTGACAGTGATAGCCGGATATCCGTCCATCCTATCCATTGGTCAGCAGTCTCGACAAACATGTGATGGCCCGGCCAGGCCAACCTTGGCCCAATCCAAATGAACACTTCGACAGGACTTGCATAGTGAATCCCGACGCCAAGAAGGTAACAGGAACTGTTTAAAACAGCTCCAGATAAGTAAGTAACAAGACATAATTTACATACACATTGTGTTATTTAACGTTCGCGACCCCAAAGAGAAACATCCTCCGACTCAAACCTCAAGCACTTTCCGCCACCTTAGCCTTGATGACATCGACGACTCCTGGTTCGGCAACGGTGGACAAGTCACCTAATTGATCCCCCTCCCCAGCAACGATCTTACGCATAATTCGGCGCATGATCTTGCCTGAGCGGGTCTTGGGCAGGTCTGGCACGATGTATATCTTCTTGGGCGCTGCGAAAGGGCCAATCACTTTGCGAACTTGCAGAACAAGCTCCTTGATGAGGCTGGCCTCGTCGGCGGAGTCGTAAGTAAACTCGCTACAGAACCATCAGACCGCAGTAGCTCCACAGGAATCATGAGCTCACGGTTTGAATGTGACGAAAGCGTACACCGCTTGACCGGTTAGTTCGTCAGCGGTACCGATCACTGGGCAACGCATCAGAGTAGTCAGAGCGATATGACGTAACACAGGCTAACCGGCAGTTTCAGCGACGCCCTTGTGCATTATCAGCGCGCTCTCAATCTCCGCGGTGGAGAGTCGGTGACCAGAGACATTGATGACATCTGCGATCAACAGGAGATTAGATCCGATCGACACCATCAATAAGAGATAACAACATACCATCGACACGTCCTTTGATCCAGATGTATCCATCCTTGTCCCGGGCGGCGCCGTCTCCCGTGTAGAAGAGACCCGGGTACGGCTTCATGTAGGTATCCAAGTACCGGGCGTGATCCTTCCAGATAGTTCGTGCGATAGACGGCCACGGAACCGAAAGCGTCAGCACACCGGAGACATTGTTGCCTTCGAGGACTTCGCCGGACACGGCATCGACGATAACCGCCACTTGGCCGAAGAACGGCACGGTTGCCGAGCCCGGCTTCGTCGGGACCGCACCCGGGAATGGCGTGATGACGATCGAACCGGTCTCGGTTTGCCTTTGCAAGGGGTAAATGGTGAGCTTGGTTGCTTCGACCGCGGACGAGAAGCTACGAACCAGAAAGTATCCACGACAGCACATTCGCCCTTCCCGACGTTTTCGTTATACCAGTCCCAGGCCTCCGGATTAATCGGCTCGCCGACACTCCCGAGGACTCGCAAAGTGGAAAGATCGTGCCCGTCGACATGGTGGGAGCCAAGCCTAAGTTACTTCTGAGTGTTTGTCGGTGGTAACGTCGAGTGAAACTCACCGCCTAAGCAGACGGATAGCCGTTGGCGCACTGTAGAACTGGGTCACTTTGTGCTTGGCCACCACTTCCCAGTATCGGGCCGGGGTTGGGTAAACAGGCGTGCTCTCGAACATGAGCGTGGTGACGCCATTCAGAAGAGGACCGTAGACAATGTATCTGGGCGTTGCGATAAGCAAAAAAAGAAGAATCGGACACCGAGAAGGAAGACGCACGTGTGGCCAGTAATCCAACCAACATCAGCCATGCACGCGAAGACATCTGTTTCGTGTACATCGAAGACGTATTTGACGGTCAATGCAGCGCCAAGAAGATAGCCAGCGGTAGTATGGACAACGCCCTTTGGCTTTCCGGTTGATCCAGAAGTCTTGGCGAAGAATAAGCCATGAAAAACCGAGGAATAACCGCTCGGCACTCACGTAGAGAATGAACAACGGATCCTCCGCGGCCATGACCACCGGCGGACAGTAGCTGGGGACCTTGTCCATCTCTTCGTGCCACCAGCTGTCGCGGCCTTCCGTCCAAGCGACCTTGCCTCCCGTCCGCTTCATGACCAAGACATGCTCAACAATCTTATCACCCTCGTCGGCAAGAGATTGTAACGCAGCGTCCGCGATGGCTTTCGTGGCGATCGTCTTGCCGCCGCGCTTTCCTTCGTCCGACGTGATCAGCACACGAGAGCCACAGTCGCGGATGCGGTCGCGCAATGATTCAGCTGAGAAGCCGGCAAATACAACCGAGTGGATGGCACCTGCGAAAATGCAAATCAGTGGTCTGCCCGACAAGGAACGCGTAATGATCGTGGGTGAGATACGGATCGAGCGGCCCGGTGGTAGAACGGAAAGATAATGATAGGACAAGGGAGAAATATTCAAGGCATACCGATCCTTGCGCAGGCCAGGAAGGCCACTGCAGCGTGATATGTCATCGGGAGGTAGATGCTGACTGTATCTCCCTTCTTCACGCCGAAGGTGCTCGAGAGCACATTGGCGAGCGAACAGACTTCGCGCAGAAGCTGCCCGTACGTGATGGATGCACCAGTATTGGGCTCGTCAGCTTCATAGATGATCGCAACCTAGAAGAGGGGGAGAAACGCAATCAGCAAGGTCGTTGGGGGTAAAAATCCCTGGTCAATGGACAGCGCTAGGCGGCGCCAACCCATGTTGAACTAGAATCTTCGTAGTTCCATTTAGGGTAGGCGCCACCGTTTAGATGGGAGGAATTTAGATGTGAACGTACCCTGTTCGGGTCCTTGAAAGCCCAGCGATCAACACAGTTGTACGCGGCGTTCAGTCCTCCTTCCGGAAACCACGCGATATCGCCGGTTTCGAATCCTCCTGCGCGCACAGTTTGGAAAGGGCGGTCCCAGTGCAAAGTCTTGCGCGCTTGCTATTGTAAAAGATTAGTGCCTTATCACAGGGCAGCGAAACGGAGGAAAGGATGGAGAGTGGTTGAATGGTGAGTACACCGTGTAGAGGCGCACGGATAAGCACAACAGGACATGTAACGTACGTCTGCCCACCACTCGTCCGATACTTCGCCAACGGTGAGCGCGTGGGCCGCTTTGTACGCCTCCAAATCAGGCCCGACGTGCGCGGTATGCCGACCTGAATCGGGCCTCATACGTGTCGCAACGGGGTATGTCGGTGCAGTCTCCTCGGGGTGATGCTCCTCGTTGCTCATCTTCGTTTAATCGGTGGGTAGGTGCTGCGGGGGGAAGGAGAAACGGAGACGGGTGGTAAGAAACAAATGTCAGGCGACCGCTGGTTTTATATCAAAAAGCACTGCCACCCCCGCCCTGTCCATATCGGGAATCAATCACCGCCTACCCCTTTTCGGCCGTGATGTTCCCACGTGTGGGCCGAATAGCCAGCGAAGGCAAATCGCGTTCGTCTCCTGAACATTGAGGCGACAGTCAGGCGCGGACTTGTTGCCGAGGCGAACGGTTCGCGAAGAGTTGCAGAAGGAGAGCCTGAACGCAGCAGCTCCCCACTGCCGATCTGTGCGTGACGCGGATGTGGAGTGTGGGGAATTTGATATGTCTCGGCCGGGACTAAACTGAAAGCTTGGCAGATCCGAGTAAGTTTCAATGGACGCATTTCCGACAAGATCGTTGTGTTTGAATGGACTGGGGACACGACGATGGCATCCATCAGACGCCACAGTCAGCACATAACCACACTCTGACGATCGCCCTCAACATAAATAGAGTCGTGTGATTTCCGTGCGCTAAAAACGCAAAGTGAGGAAGAAAGTGAGGAAAGCCATTTGGAAACAAGTTGAAAAGAAGGCAGGGCGCATGGCAGAGATCACTGATCATATCACACCGGCGGTGTTCCTGTACTGATATGAAAATGACTCTCTTGGGACGCACTCGCTGGCAACGCAACATTCGGCAATGAAGCGACTATGCTGGTAAGACTGCGATCGTCGGCCGAGCACCTTTGTGAGCCCGAGCCTCGCCGCTTCCGCCTCATGCCGCTTGGTGAAAGTCGGCCCCAAGTCGGCCCAGAGTTGAATTCCGTTCGCTCCGTCGGCATGTCGGGCTTCTATCAGGACTCCGAGGCCGGAATGAGTTTCAGCCCCCGCCGCCGAATCCCGACGCCGCTGTACAACTCAGATCCACCGCCCCGGCTTCTTGCCATGCGTCTTCGAACGTATCACATAGCAGCAGCAGAAGCCAATCAGCACAGCAGATAATTTGCAGTGTTCCTTGTGCCAAAGGGAGTTGACAAATCCCAAAACCGAGCCGAATGCGCCGCGATCACGAGCAAGTCAGAACGCCTAAGCAAAGCGAAGCAAGCCAAGCGATATCAGGCATGGAGACGTATTAGAGCTTTCTATTCGCTCTCAGGCTGGGGAAATACGGAGAGAACTTCCAGAGGTGTTCGGGAGCGCCGGCCCGGGATTGACCCGCCGTTTACCTTTGGCTGATTCGCGGAGTAATCCTTCCTGAAAGCTGGTGTGGACTGAGCCTCCAAGCGTATAGCAAATAGACCACGAATGAATCTGGGTGGTCATGAACATCTGACAGCGAAGCGTGACTGAAATCGTCTCTATACGTATTGTACACATTATACATGTCGAATAGGTCATCTACATAGTTGAAGCTTGTCTGGCTTTTCAGATATCGTCTACTTCTAATATCCTGACGGGTAACCTTGATAATTCTGAGGTGGGTACTGCGAAACGTCCGTTACTGGATACTGGGGTGCATAATGTCCGCTGCTATGTGTGTGCATGGCGTGAGGAGCCGAGCCGTATCCGAGTCGCTGATCCCAGGTTTGTGTGAAACCTGGCTGGTGGAAAGCAGCTCCGTGCGGCTTCGGCGTCTGCGATCGCGAGTCGGCTCGCAAAGACAGATCTGGGTATTTCCCATTGGCGTAACGAGGATGGGATCGGGAGGGTGGTGGACCGGTATATGGAAGTTCGGGAGCTGCTTGGTGAGCGGGAGCATTGGCGTGGGTCGGGCCAGGCTCCATACTCATGTAGTACTCGCATTTGTAGCCTTTACGCGCGCATCGTCCGCAAGGCGCGTAAGTCTGCTGATAGTTCGCTGGAGGAACACACTGAAAATTAAGTTTAACATAAGACTCGAAAATAGCAGTGATGTTTTGTTACCTTCGTCTTGTGCTGACGACAATGTAGGCAGGCAAAGGGGAAAACTTCCGCGTCTGGAGTGTAATTCTGATAGCTCGGCTGCGGCGGAAGTGATGCGTCGTAATAGTAGCCCATTTCTAAGGATATTCAATGAGCTCGAGAGTGTGCTGCAGTTGCTTTGTTGGACTGAAACCACGCATTCCTGCGAGTCTTTATTCCAGCATTCCGCAGAGTACCGAGTCATTGCTTGTCTTGGAAAGTATCTGGGGCCAACTCATTCTGAGCCAGACAGCGTACACTTCCAAGTACAGCGTAATTATTCGCGTCGAAGATTGGCAGTGCTAGGCAGATGTCATGTCTGAGCCGTCAAATCAACTTGAATCGCTGCGGTGCAGACCGTGAAGCTGGAGACGCAGTAGTAAAATAACTCGACTCGGTCGATTCTCACAATAGCGCGTCCTCATTTTTCATGGAAGAACACAAGTAGGATGATGTTAGGATCATTTGTGCGACAGGAGGTAAGATATTTACCCCTAATCTTGTGCTCACGGTCACATGACTCGATGATCGATCATCAAACTACGTCCACTTTTTTCCACCAGGATGCACAATCGACCACTTGGTGATGATCACAGCCACACGATGTCAGGTTCTCAAAATCTTACACTCAACCGACAATGGATCATCACTCATGGCAGCCTCGTCTCAAGTCTCCGGAAACCTACCGATCCGGCACGAAGATAGGATGAGAGGCGGCTGGGTCGCAAAAGCGAGGTCCCAGCACCAAAATCGGTCTCAAAGTGCGAGAACCTCAAGCGATCGCTCATTCGCATCGTATATTGCACCGCGTTCGAAGCGAGTCACTCCAGTAACACATGTCTAAAACCTGCTGCGACGTGATGAGCTTTGCTATAACGTCGACAGTCCCCGGGCAACACAACATACCTCGGTTCGAATCACCGGAGCCGCGGTGGCGCTTTGACATCATCAGAGGGCTCAGCCTCCACCTTCCCACCAGCCGCACCCTCCTCCGAGTCTCCCACGGGCCGGCGCGCAGTGGACTTCCAATGCGCCCATCCGCACACGATCGCGCTCCCCACGAAAAGGACGAAAAAGATGCCGCCCACGACGATGCCGGCGATGGTGCCTCCCGTCAGTACGCGCGTGTGGTCAGCGAAAGCAGTGGGTGTCGGGGCCGGAGTCGGCTTGGATGCCGTTCCCGAGCTCTGAGCGCGCGGCTTGAGCCAATGGGGGGCAACGAGCGGCGCGGGATCTCACCTGGGCCATCACTGCTGAGACCGAGAAGGCGGCCAAGGCGCAGCACAGGAGGATTGAGTGCCACATCGTGGGCCGGAGGGAACTGGGAGCGAGAGGGGGATCCTCAAGAGATGACAAACTGGCTGGCTATCCACGTGGCGCGGAGCGAAGGATGATGAGATGTCGGTCACTTTGTTATAGGGACTACTGCCAAGCTTACTTTTACTGAATGACGGCCAGTCTCTTTCCCGCTAAGGAAAAACAGATTAGGAAGCAAAGAACGAAAATGAATGAAAGCGAAGTGAGGCTTGGATGTAGAGAGAGAGCGCTGACCGGCAATGTATTAGCGTGAAGATAACGAAAAAGAGCCCAACAAAACAACGACACGAGTGCGATTCGAACACACGCGGGCAAAGCCCAACCGCTTAGCAGGCGATCTCCTTAACCACTCGGACATCGTGTCACATGATCGGGTCCCTAGGGGTATCATTATCTTGCTTGAACCAGGAGGGCCAACCTTCGGACGACGAGATTTAGGACGGGATCATGACGCATAGGAACTGGGTATGAAGCGAGTGAAGTCCTACTTGAAGCCTTTGATGCCATCCCACTGTCGCAGAGATTTCAAGTTTAAACAAGCCTGTCAGCAAAAAAGGACGTGTCAAACGGTGCGGATGTCTGTCATTGGATAATTGTCTTCGCCGAGGGACCTGATCGCCCGATTTATTTGTTCCCAGCTATTATCATACTTCTCCTTTTTTGGGTTCCAGGTCGGCGCGTTTTCGTCAATTCCGTTCGATGTTGTGTGCTTTGCTACGACTTTACGAAGGAGGAGTGCCTCTTAAGTTGCCACCGCATGGTGATACATGACCATACGTTTCATTTGGCCGCCGCCCGTTGAGCCCGGAGCAGTGTCAATCCGAGCTGCTGGCGCTAATGCTGTGTATCTGCTCCTTTTGTTCGCCGGCTATAAATGCAGACAGTAGCTTTATTCTCCATCCATCCTCTTTTCTGACTGTGAACCTTGCTGGACGACCTTCTCATTCCCTCGCCATCTCGAGCAACTCACCTGTATCATGTACAAATCACCGGCTCGGCTTCTCTCGGTCCTCGTCCTCCTATGCACTCTGTCAGCACAGGCCGCACCCTCTCGGCGCCAGGCTATCCAGTGCTCTCCGACGGACAAGACCGGCTCGCCGCTCGTCAGCAGCGAAGGCAGCGAATCCTTCGTGACCTGCACGTATGAGTCGGCCGGGCCGTGCAGCTACTTCCCTGCGGATGGCTCGTTCTCGTCTGGGAGCAGTGATTGCCCCCAAGGCATCGCGCAGGCGGACAGCGCTACGTGCGTGCTATTCAATCCTCCGCCCGCCAAGTCTCGCCGTGACTGATCATGCAACCGCAGTACCGATTTGCTGTCATCTGTGGACGCCACTGCGACTGGCGCGACATCGGCATCGGACGCCTCGGTGACTGCGCCGACCACATCTACAACCGACACACAGCTGGCATCCACAACGCCTGCTGTCTCGACGCCCACAGCTCCGGCTGTCACGACGTCTTCGCTGCCTGCCGTCTCAACACCCAAGGCGAGCACTTCGGCGACCGCAGTCACTCTGCCTGTCACAGCGTCGGTTCCCCCGTCGTCGCCTACACAATCGACGCCGGTTGCTGTCACTACTTCGGCGTCATCGGCCGCGCCCTCGGCCTCACATGCCGGCGCAGCTGTCGCCCGTCACGCTAGCGGATCAATCTTGGCGCTTGCAGGTGTCGTCGCCGGCGCGATCTTGATGTAAAGGTGAAACATAGTCTGCTGTCCACTAGGTTGTATGATACCACCATCATTTGATGACTTGCCCTATTCACGCTTATGGACTTGTATGGATCTTGTCCCATTACTCATGTAACCAATTTCCTGTCCATTGGAATTATTATCGCTTTTTCGAATCTCTTTTACTGTGATTTATCCAGTCGGCGAGCACGCTCTCGTTGATTGGTGAGCGTGGGAGGAAAGACAGACCCGCCTAACTATGCTCAACTCTTCGTTTCGCATTCTGCTACTCCCCGTCTGCAGACTTGGTCGTACAGAAATCCTGTATAATCCCTACGTCTCAAGAAACATTGCAATCCCCCGGACGATTGTCTTTCACTCCCAGCAACCACGAGACGCAATATTGATTCAATGTTGACATAACAATATCTACTTGGATACAAGATATTTACAAGTTGTTTACAGACACTTCTCTTACATTTACGGTACAGGGCCTTTGAGAAGGCTAAGCAGCAGCTTCTCAAATGAGCCACTTGTCTCGCCCTTGATGCGCTTGAGCAAATCCTTGTCGTACACCGCACGATAAGCCATTGCGACCTGCGTCATCCGCTGTGGGTTCCAATGCGCTCGGAGCATGCGGAAGACGAGCAAAGCGTCCTTCGTGCCGAAACCAGCCATGGTATCCTCGAGCTTGATTGCATCACGGATGTGCTCGGGGTCAAACTGGCTGTGCCGCGGATGTGGCTCCGCGCCCGTGATGAGGAAGAGCAGAGCCCGCTGGGAGTGGCCACTGAACTCGCTCTTGATCATTGATGAGAGCGGCTTGTGGTGCTTCTCTGCATATCGACGACAGATCTGGATCAGATGCTCGTGCGTTCGGCGGGTCAGCACCATGAACATCTTGTCCTCGTTGGTCCCAGGGCGACCCGGTCCGGAGTTGTACACGTCGGCCACGTCCTCTTCGAGCAGCTTGCGATTCTCCTCCATGGACGCGGTTGGGGCGGGGATGTATGGGCGCGCAGGATCAAGCATGAAGCGGTAGACTGAGACTGTCAGCGGAGAGAAAGCGGACAGAGGCATTCACGCACGTTTCTGCACATCACCACTCAGATCGTCCAGAATAGCCTGGGCGAGCGGCTTGTGGTACTTTTGCTTGTATACATACGAAAGCAAGTCCAGATCGTGTGGCGTCAAGCTCATTACGACTTCGTCCAGTCTGTCCTCGTCCGTCCTGAGGCCCCATCAGACCAATCGCATAACAATAGGCTTTCGACTCACCCAGCACCGCGAATGGCCATCTCCACACACCACATGTCATACCTCAGCGGGCCCAGCACCAACCCGAGACACCCGGCTTCCGTGTACCGCGTTGTCTTGCGCTCCACCCACCGATGGAGACTCTCTCCACCGCTCGTGTGTTTGGGGAACTCCTGCGCGATCACCTCCATCTTCAGAGCCCCAAAACGACCTAGAGTCTCCGCCAGCCCCTTCTCGTCGCTCTGGTTCCGCAGCAAGTCATTGATGTCCCGCGCGATCGCATCTGCCGTGTAGTTGTAGACACTTATCCCACCGGCGTACTTTGGGTTGTGGATCGTCGCCCCGCGATACGTAGTGGTCGGGTACTCCTGCACTGATGGGGCTCCGGCAGCGGGTACGGAACCAGGAGCAGAGGGGAATGAAGCTAGAGCAGGCGGAGGCGCGTACCCACCGGGGGGAGGCACGTACGGCGCCTGACCTGGCGGTGGTGCGTAGGAGGGTGCGTAGCCCGGCTGCGGTGGTGGTGTATACGCGCCGTACGCTCCCGGTGGAGGTGGATAGGCGCCCGGGGGAGCCACATAGCCGCCGGGGGGCGCGCCTGGGGGTGGTCCATAGGTGCCGGGTGGGGGAGGATATGCGCCGGGAGCCCCTGGAGGGGGTCCGTACGCGCCAAATGAGCCGGGAGGCGGGGCATACGCGCCTGGTGCGCCGGGAGGGGGAGGATACGAGCCCGGTGCGCCGGGAGGAGGAGGATAAGAGCCTGGTGCGCCAGGCGGGGGAGGATAAGCGCCGGGAGGAGGTGGGTATTGTTGTTGCTGACTTGATTAGATGCTTGCAGAGGAGAGGACCGTGAACGAGACGGAACTCACTCCATAGCTTGGGTACCCCTGGGGCGCCTGATCATACGATGGCCGTTGCTGTTGAGCTCCGTAGGGTTGTGGGGGCTGCGGCGATAGGTGAAACGGAGAGGAGAATGTGAGACACAGCACTCACGAAGGGGGACTGCGGAGGAAGACACGAAGGGAAATAAGCGAGCGGCCTCTGTCGGAAAGTACGCTAGTACTCACGAAACCACCAGGCGCGTTAGGCGGGGGCGCACCGGGCTGTTGTGAACAGAGCAGTGTCAGCCGAAGCCAACACGCACAAATCGATTACGAAAGAACGCGACGCACGTATGTAGAAGCATTCGGCGGCGGCGGGGCTGCCATTGCTCTATTATTCGACGTGTCCGAGAGAGATTGGAGCGAAGGGGGCGATAGACGATGATACTCAGCTAGATCGGAGTGTTTATATAGCGGACAGTGACATGACAGATCGATCAGGCTGTGTCTTCGCACAGCCTCCGCACAGCGTTCCGCTTCTGAGAGCCTTCCTTTTCTGGATGATAGGATGTACCCCCCTCGAGAAGTGGGAACGTATCTTCGATTCCCCATAGATGCGAGGACTGCGAGAATTCCTACCAAATCACCGTTTTCACCTTGCGACAAAGCGGTTACCGGGAGGCGGCAGCACATTAGCGTTTATTTTCACTTCGAGTTATTCAACACTATGAAACGAAAGTTGTCCGCCGAAATTCGGATTCATAGAACAAGCCACCCATAGTGCTAGGATTTAGTCAAATCTATGGCTGTAGCCATAAAAATTGCATTCAAATCTATGGCTGTAGCCATAGCATGGATACAGTCATAGCTTTGACTAATACTGCTATGGCTACAGCCATAGCGTGGCAGGCCTTTGGTCCTGTTGCTTTTCTCGGCATCACCATGGCATGTGCAAGATCATCATTGCCATCAGCACCACCATGATCCCCCAACATAAAGTGTTGATAGGCCTTACTGTCTTGAACAAGCCGCGCCCCTCTGGGCGTGGAGGTTAGTGGTTCAGGCTAGGGTTTGGGTTTGGGTTAAAGGTTAGTCCCCAGAGACGTCATTTTTTCTCGGTTATGGCTGGGGCAAGGTAGCAAAAAGAAAGCCTATTACAGGCTCTGTAAGGGTTGGTTAGGGTAAGAAATATATTTATTGTCAGTTAGGGTTGGGGCAAGGGAGCAAAAAAAAAATCCTGTTAGAGGCTCTATTAGGGTTGGTTGGGGCAAGAAATATGTTTATTGGGTGATAAGGGGTTGGTATAACCAGTACTAGGATAAAGCTTTCCCTCCACTTAGGGTAAGCCGCTTGCGGGTCACCCTAAGTTGAGGGGAATTGCAACTTGTTTCAGCCGTTCAATCCTCACTGAAACCGGTGACCACCGCCTAGCTGTTGGGTGTCAATCACAATCACAGGTTGTCGATCATACTGATCATTGTTCACATCAGCACCGCCACGCCCTATGGCTACAGCCATAGATTTGAATGCAATTTCTATGGCTACAGCCAAACGGATTTGACTAAATCCTAGGGCTATGGCTCAACAAGCTATTGAAATAAAGAAATTAAATAAGATAGGGCTCATCCATCACCAACCAACGTCTGTGGCTGTGTTGTCACTTGTGACTGATTGCCTAGTACAGAATGACGGAGAATAGATTGCACTCGTTCAAGAGCATCTGTACTCGGACTTAAGATCAGCTTGCGGTCGTCTCTTCATATACACTAGAAGTGTCTAAGAAATTAATTTTGAAGCATTAATGGCCGAACTGCGTACAGAGACCTCAAAATACATCGAAAATATGTAAGAAATGACAGTTCCTAAGGTATGCCCAATCCATCCTCGACGAACATCACATGATGTGATTGATGTGACCTCTTGGCTCTTTCCTTTTTGGTCAAGTCTCCAAAACCAGTCGTATTATTGCAATGGGTGAATGCATTGTCTATCCCTTAGGTGCAACTGTGGATATACATTACAAAAGCTTGTACTAGAAAGATTAAGGCATTCTAGAAATTATAGCGGAGTGAATCCCTCAAGATGTATGATTAGTGGATGCCTGCCTTGTCAAGCTCAGCCAAAATTGAAGCAGGGTATGTTCTATGACCGGAGTATTTCTTTGCAGCCCATGCTGCCTGTTTTCCGGAGAGTTTGTGATTTTTCCGCGGTTCCTCAGCATGGTCTCGGCGCGAAGACGCCTCAGGTTTGAATGTGTTCCCATCCAGAGGTAATGGTGGGTGATTTTGAATCAAGATCAGAGAATTCAGGACGCAAATCTTTTCGTATTCACACGCCGTCAGAGATTCAAAGATTAGATAGGATATTAAGGCTTTTTATCTACGCAGAAGGTTTAAATACGCTCTAAAAGTCTTTTGCCATGCATCTCATTTTGGACTGATAAGAGTCATCCGAAAGCGGTTAAAGTCACACTGCCCCACGTGACGTTCGTCGAGGATGGATTGGGCATACCTTAGCTGTTGCGCAGCTCCCTGAAGGCCTCCAAAGCGCCCGAGGACTCAAAATCCTTCAAGTATTCCGTTGGAATCGCCCGGTGACCACGATATTGCTTAGCGATATAAGCAGCCTCCCGCCCATTCATCCCCTTTGCATATGCATCGGCATAACGGAGGCTTCGATTACAAAACCTTAGATACAACAATCAGTCAGATTCGAACAGCAGGAAAAAGAGGTCCTACCGCTTCATGGAAAGTTTAGGGATTGAATCCAGCGCGTTTAGCATGTTCTTGCGAAGATCTTCCTCTTTCGAGGATTCTGGGCAGAGGCGATAGAGCCGTTTCGCGTAACCCCAGCATTGCTCAATAGGGTTCAGCTCACAGTGGAACTTCGGGAGGAAGAGGATCTGTATTCCATGAGCTGCGCATGCATCCTTGAGCACAGACTTCACAGATGAGAAATCCGGCTGATTGAACAAGGTCCAACGCATGCAGCAGTCGTTGTAGCTCCCTGAATCGTTCAGAGGACACTTGAAATCGAGGCATTCAGTCCTCATGCCGCATGCGTTGTAGCCACGTTCCTCGAGAATGACTTGCATGCCTTTGAAGAGACCGGCATCTGGCCCACTTTCGAAGTAAAGTGACTGCACTTGTCCGTTGTGATACGCACCAACCATCGGGATCTTCTCCTTTTTCAATGAGCCGTCAGTATTGAAGATGGGTCGGTTGTCATTGGACAGAGCAGTGCGTTCGACGAGGAAGTTCATCCGCATCTTGCCCTTGTTTTTCCCAGATTTGATAACAGTGGGAGTGGTTTTGGGCATTTTGCGAGCGGAGAGGGCATCATCAGCGCGTTTCCGATGAGTTGTTGCATTGTCGTACACAAAGACGCACTGAATTCCGGGCCCGAACTCAGCAACAATTGAGGCGGCATCGCGTGCCTGCTTCACAATGTCAGAGTTAGTGAAGTATCCCTGGCCAAGAATGAGAATACGGGACAAACAGAAATGGCAGAATGATTTTTACGTCTCGATTTTTCCCTGGCGCCAACACAACTCGGGCTGAACGCTCTGTTTTGGGTCCAATCAACCAACCAAAGTCGGCCGAAAAGAAATCAGCAACCATTAATGATAAGCCTTCACCCTTTTTATACGGTTTGATCGATGCGTCCTTATGGCGCCAACCTTGACGTCGACGATCATGAGCATAGAAAATTCACCCCAGGGACCTCCAATTATTACGTAAAATGGCTTCGAGGCCCCCTCCGGAGGCCATCAAACCACCCCCTACCCCCCCTGATCGGAGGCCATCCTGGAGGCGCCTTCCTAATTGGTACTCTGCCCAGCCATTCATCCACAGCCAGCATGGTAGGCTAGGCATTGACCCGAGTGTTTATATATGCTGTAGTAGTCAGTATAAAGCCTCAGACAATGTCTTAGCTCACAAAAGCTTGTATTTCTTGCTTGCAAATGGTAGACCACTGGGCGCACAAAATTCGGGATTTGAGCACATGAGCACTCCTCAGGTGCATAGAGCGGCAGTATATATGTTAATTCGAGATTGAGCATGAGGTAGCTGTGCCCACACGCAAAAATGAGATGTTGCTGAAGGGGTGGTTTATGGCCTCCACAACCTCCCAGGGGCAGAAAAAAAGGTGTTGGGTAGCCCACAGGCCCTTGAATTCTGCTACAATAGATCAATTTGATGCTTATGCTTTGTCGAAACAACAGCCCAGCATGTAAATTGGATGCTGGAGCAGTGGCAGAACAAGCCTCCACCGCCTCCAGGGCTGGGGACCAAAAGCGGTTATTGTAGATTCAGCCACATAAACCATATTTCTGATGTTGTTTGTCCTAGTCAGAATTTCTGGGTATTCCAGAGAGACAGGTAGCTACATAGATCAGATGCTAGCACTAATAGCAGAACCGGCCTCCATGGCCTCCACAGCCAGTGACCAAAAGTGGTTTTTTGGGTTCAGCCACATAAACCATGTCCATGATGTTGAAGGTCTTCATTATAATTATGAGGGTCCTTTAGTTAAATGTCTCACTACATGAATCAGATGCTGGAGCAAATGGCAGAACTGGCCTCCGCTGCCTCCACAGGTTATCACTTGAAGAGTCTGAATGAGATGACAATGTAAGAGATATATATTCTCCTGGCTGACCGCATTCTGTCATTTCCACCTCTACATGCTAGTTTAATTGCTGCAGAATGTTAAAATTAGAGGATGGGAGACCCTGGAGGCACTGGAGGCACATGCAAGATCCAATCAATGTCATCAATATCATCAGTGCCATCAATAGCATCAAGAGCATCACCGATCATTGGTAGATTGATCAACCAATCAGATGATGAATAAACATCGAACATCTAGTATGTTCATTCCTGAGAGACACAGACTACATGTATGCTCATACTGAAAGTGGATTAGTGGTCCCAGGACATGCCCCAATGACATATTGCATGCTTGTCTCAGGGACATATGATTAAAAATCGGAGTTGGCAAATGAGCTGAAAGTACTCCACTGTACCACTCATCTTCAGTTGACTTTCAGCTCATTTGCCAACTCCGATTTTTAATCATATATCCCTGAGACAAGCATGCAATATGTCATTGGGGCATGTCCTGGGACCACTAATCCACTTTCAGTATGAGCATACATGTAGTCTGTGTCTCTCAGGAATGAACATACTAGATGTTCGATGTTTATTCATCATCTGATTGGTTGATCAATCTACCAATGATCGGTGATGCTCTTGATGCTATTGATGGCACTGATGATATTGATGACATTGATTGGATCTTGCATGTGCCTCCAGTGCCTCCAGGGTCTCCCATCCTCTAATTTTAACATTCTGCAGCAATTAAACTAGCATGTAGAGGTGGAAATGACAGAATGCGGTCAGCCAGGAGAATATATATCTCTTACATTGTCATCTCATTCAGACTCTTCAAGTGATAACCTGTGGAGGCAGCGGAGGCCAGTTCTGCCATTTGCTCCAGCATCTGATTCATGTAGTGAGACATTTAACTAAAGGACCCTCATAATTATAATGAAGACCTTCAACATCATGGACATGGTTTATGTGGCTGAACCCAAAAAACCACTTTTGGTCACTGGCTGTGGAGGCCATGGAGGCCGGTTCTGCTATTAGTGCTAGCATCTGATCTATGTAGCTACCTGTCTCTCTGGAATACCCAGAAATTCTGACTAGGACAAACAACATCAGAAATATGGTTTATGTGGCTGAATCTACAATAACCGCTTTTGGTCCCCAGCCCTGGAGGCGGTGGAGGCTTGTTCTGCCACTGCTCCAGCATCCAATTTACATGCTGGGCTGTTGTTTCGACAAAGCATAAGCATCAAATTGATCTATTGTAGCAGAATTCAAGGGCCTGTGGGCTACCCAACACCTTTTTTTCTGCCCCTGGGAGGTTGTGGAGGCCATAAACCACCCCTTCAGCAACATCTCATTTTTGCGTGTGGGCACAGCTACCTCATGCTCAATCTCGAATTAACATATATACTGCCGCTCTATGCACCTGAGGAGTGCTCATGTGCTCAAATCCCGAATTTTGTGCGCCCAGTGGTCTACCATTTGCAAGCAAGAAATACAAGCTTTTGTGAGCTAAGACATTGTCTGAGGCTTTATACTGACTACTACAGCATATATAAACACTCGGGTCAATGCCTAGCCTACCATGCTGGCTGTGGATGAATGGCTGGGCAGAGTACCAATTAGGAAGGCGCCTCCAGGATGGCCTCCGATCAGGGGGGGTAGGGGGTGGTTTGATGGCCTCCGGAGGGGGCCTCGAAGCCATTTTACGTAATAATTGGAGGTCCCTGGGGTGAGAAAATTGACTCATCGTGATACCAGACAACAACCCGCTCCCCCAACAAATCCGCTGCAGACTGGACAGAGTTCGTGATCTCGTTCCCATCGTTGTCAAAGACTCGCATGCGCTTGCGGAGCTCTGCTAGCTTGGGGATATACACATGGTCACGGTGAAATCGAACATCAGCGCGCTCGTGACCATCCACGTACTGGCCTTGAGCGGGTGAGCCAAATCGATAACCCAGCGCATTCAGATAGCGCTTTGCAGTCGCCAGAGAGATCGGTCGATTAAGACCGTGCTTCTCCATGATATCGGGCCTCGCAAACCAATCACAGACCTTTGTGGCCGTGATGCCTTCCTCTCGTCCATCCACAATTTTTGTAGATCCCAAGACCTGTAGATGCTCAACGAGATCGTTGCAAATGTCTTCGTTTGCCAGATGTGCTTGGTTCCACTCGCCATAAGGGTTGATCGGAAGGAGATTCCGATCAAGAATGTATGCACGTGCAAGATGGCGGAGAACTCGAGCGCAGTATGCGCTGCGATGGAGGGAAACAGCGGCAGCCACAGAGGATTTCTGCCATTTCCCCTGTGTAACTGAGAGGTGGTTGGTGTACATGGCAAGCAGAGTTTGAATGCCTTCGTAACGAGAGCGCGTGAATGGGTCAAATTCCGGGTCAATGTGTCCAGGTCCTTTCTTCCGACGAGGCCGCAGAACGAGATCAATGTCAACAAGAGCTGCATATGCAGCCGCATGGGATGGTGCCTGTCGTAGCCATCCGTTCCGGGTACGAGGATCGACAGGGGAAGCAACCAGTGTGATAGGTGATGTATGCTCGTCCTCAGATGGAGGATCTGGATCAAGGCATCGAGGTTCCTCATCCTCGTCAATCAGGAAAGCAAACTCCTCAGAATTGGCATCCGAGCCGTGTAAAGAAGTCCCGTCAAGCGCCACAAGAGGTTGCATCGAGTACTTCTCCAAGATTGAGACACTGTCATTGTCCCATTCATGGCTGTCCTGAAGCTTGACTGGCTGTCTGCGCGATGGCGAGAAACGGCCCAAGGACTGGGGCCGCCAATCACGGAGATTGAAGTTCCGAAGGCGCGGGGAAGTCGGAGGTGTCACGGATCGAGAATTGTGGAGAAGAGACCGGTTCTGTATTGAGAACAAGCCAAACTTGGCTGTCGATCCTGGTGCAGTGCCAAACTCGTAGCTGACAGGTTCTGTTGCGCCCGGAGGGTCAATGAATGGATCATTGGTGCCGTAGGGAGTCACAGTTTCCTCGGCAGTACCCCGGACAATGATTTCTGGATCCTAAACATGTCTCACTATGAGCTTGAGCCTCTTAGGACCATTATCTCATACATTCTCGTCCCGGCGCCTCTTCTTCTTCCGGGGAGTGACAATATCAATGACACGTTTTGCGGTCTTCTTTACGGCATTAGCCAATCCCAAATTAGCTCGACGTGCCGCGGTTTGCTTCTTAGCAGGTGGCATGAGAGAAGAAGATGGCAACAGTCTGTCGTGTGGTGATTTGAGATCTAGTCATCAAGATCTCATCTGATATGTACCAAAAGTTGATACAATTACTTGTATATACTGTAAAATTGAGCGCCTGCAAGCCGATTTGGTGTGGAGACCCTCGATAGAAATATATTTGAGCTCAAATACTGACCACTGGTCGCATCATTCCAAGAAAGGATGTCACGCGCACAGCCACAGACGTTGGTTGGTGATGGATGAGCCCTATCTTAGGTCTGTGTTATGTTGGCGGGAAGGGATCTCGAAAAATACTTCGCCGCAGGTAACAAATTGGTTGCATATACTTGAAATCGAAAACAAAACAGGACATCAAGCTACTCAGTCAATCTTTCGTTTACTTCTCTTCTGTCCCGAATCTCCCGCATCGTCATCTCTCTTCCTCTTTGAGCTTCTCAACGCAGCAAGTGGCAACAAGATGCTGCCAAGCTCTCTCAACCCGTCCATCACCGAAGGCGCCGCACGGACCGGGCTGGTCTCTGGCCTCCCATCCCGAGGTGCGGGCGGGGCAGTATCACGTGCTGAGACTCCAGACCCAGCTGCTAGTCCAAAAGCGTGCCACAGGGCGAGCGGTGGCCAAGGCCAGGGTGCGTTCCCACCATTGCCAAGGAAGGTAAACCCGTGTTGCACGGGAGGGAGGTGGATCGGGGCCGCGGGGGGAAGAGTCGGCATCAGGGGATGTGCGGTGACTTGCAGGGTCAAGAAGACGTTGACGTGGACGTGGATGGGCGGCGGTAGCTGTGGCGGTGGTACACCGGCAGGTGGAAACTGCACAGGTGCAACAGATGCACTTGGGTTTGCAACTGGGGCGATGGTCGATGGTACAGACCCATCTGTGGAGGTTGGTCGATGGGGGGCGGTCACAGGTGCCGAGGGCAAACTAGCGCTAGAAATCGATGTGGAGGGACTAGCAGAGGACATGTGCGGTTGGGAAGTCCCTGCGGATGCCGAAGAGCTAGAGGAACCAGCGGCGAGGCCAGAGGACCCGGAAGACGCGGTGGCATTCGTAGGACTCAGGTCCTGATCGTCCTGGCTCCGAGTGAGATTCCCTTGGGGACTGGATCACAACAATAAGCTGTCTGGACAGCTGAGACATAATAATGCAGCGCACCGGGAAGAAGAGGCAAGCGACTGTATCGATTGCGGAAGGGAACAAGCATTGCTGCTGCTGGAAAGAGCCGGACTGGACGAAGAGACTGTCAGAAAGACAATAAGTCCAAAATCAGATTCTGATGCTCACACTCGATCACAAACAATAAGGTCGTCTTCAAAGTCGTAGTCTTCACTCGAATCTGGTTCATAATCCGACCTAGGAAGGATAGCGGTCAGTCCCATACGCTGCGGAACATTCGAGGGAAGCTTACCCCGCGGTCCAGGAGACGTCATCATCCGGTGCCATGTCCAGGCCGGAGCTCGAATGATCATTCACTATGATGTCAGAGCTGTTGTGCAACATGGGAGAGGAGACCGATTCGGGGGTTTCGCAGAGAACAATAAGACGGGGTGGGTGGGCTTAAGTAGGGAGAAGGAGAGTTGCTGTGCGGCGCTTTAACATGCCGCAGGTGTGTGTGCTTTGGCCGTGCTTTGACTATGGCCGCCCCGCATTGACTCACAGCATATCACACCACGTGCTGTTTCGATAGGGATTGTTTTGCAGGCTTCAGAGCGTGCATGACAATGAGGCGGGCTGCCGTGATGCGGGCTGAGTCATATCATATGCAACCAGAAATCGACAAAGTTCGTTCGATAACCTTTAGCGCCTCAAGAAACATAGACAGAGCGTCAGCGCAAGCGCAGAGTGCCTGGAAATGACGAGGTTGTCCAGATGCAAAGCGAAGTTTGATATCATCACGCATCGCTTTTGATGTCAAACATCGCTTGGTGAAGCCTGATCCGAGGTCATCACTGCAGATAAGATTGATTGTCTTCCGTCATCGAGATCAATGTCGCCTCATCCTCATTCGTCCGTCCCGCGATGTCGCCTCCACCAGTCTCACACAGATTTCTCAGATACCGCATTCTTTCCGATGCTACCCACAGACCTCGCATCGGGCTCGTCGACACCGCCGAAACGACTGTGACGGAAGTGCTTGGCTACCTCGACCTCTTCAGGCTCATCGAAGCCCATCCGCATCTCGCAGCAGATCACAAGTTCGAAACGGGAGACACAACGCAAATGGAGGATCTGGAGGTGCTTGCGCCGCTTCCTGGAAGGGATGTCTTGTGCGTTTGCTTGCGCTGCTTCCTGCTCTCATACGACAGCAATGCTGAGCGTCGGGAAGGTGTATCGGCAAGAACTGTACGTCGCCCCCAGAAACGACATCAGGCGCGACTCAAAACGGATGCAGACAAAGCTCACGCGGCGGAATTCCACCTCAGCGGTTTTGACAGCTCGGATAAGAACGAACAGCCTGATTTCCCCGTGTTCTTCACCAAGCGCGCGACGTCGATCATCCCTTGTGGCCAGCCGATATACACACACCCCGAGGTCACTTCGAGTCCGGACTATGAGGGTGAGCTGGGGATCATCATCGGGAAGGCAGGACTTGGAGTGACGAAGGAGGATGCTTGGCATCACGTCTGGTGCGCTGGGGAATCCGGGTGAAGGGTGCACTGATCACTGAATGACCTACGCAGGGGAGCGGTCATCATCAACGATGTCACTGCAAGAGAGAGACAGCGCGACCACAAGCAGTTCTACATCGGGAAGAGTCTGGATACCTTCTGTCCAATGGTGTGTTCTCTTACACATTGTCACTCAATCAGGTGCATGGACTAAGCCGAGCAGGGCCCATACGTCGTCCCAGCCTCATCACTCTCTTTTCCCGACCTTCACATGACGACGCGTGTGAATAACGAAGTGCGACAATCGCAGAACACCTCTGAGCTTATCTTCGATGTCCCCACTCTCATCGCCACGGGCTCAATGGGAATCTCTATACAACCAGGAGACGTGATAGCGACGGGCACTCCAGTGGGCGTTGGGATGGGCATGAATCCGAAAGTGTGGCTCAAAGACGGGGACGTAGTCGAGGTGGAGATCCCACCCCTGGGCCGCCTGTGGAATCCAGTTACCAGTCAGAAACCGGCGGTCAGGTCATTGCGTGACGAGATGAATTGAGACTACATAGCGAGTACGAGCCATTTGTGTAACTACTAGATGACAGTCGGGGTCGCCGCTGCCGCAATGACGACGGTGTTCCAAGGCGCGCCGGGATACGCAACCTCGCTGAGAGCAGCAGGCCAGGTCGAATCGTCATAACCTGGTTGCTCCCAGCCCTGGCCGATGCTATCAAGCGTCGACACCCATGTCTGGTCGCTCGTCACCCAAGAACTCGCTGTGCAGTTCGCCCGACCAGTGGGGACCATGCTCACCACCGCCTCGACAATGACGCCCGCGGCCGTATTGGCGCCGACGTTCGTCGCCAGCACCGCAAACACGACCTCGGGCGGCGGATTGGCGAACTGCACCACCCAGTGCTGTGCCGTGCGATGGTCTGTGCCATTACCCACAAGCACGCCATTAACCCAAAGCGAATACCGGTCGTCGGCCGTGATAATCACATCCACCGACGCCGGGCGCTGGTTCGGTGCCGGCGTGAAAGTACGTCGGAACGCCCGCTGGCCCGCGGGGAGCAGGCCATTCGAGGGGACCGCGTTCGTCCAGATCCAGTTCCCGCGGTCAAACGTCAGAACAGGCGGCGTCGACGCGATATTCACTTCCGCCCACGGCTGGGCACCGTACGCGCCAAGCACGCTCGCCGTAGTCCAGAGGGTGTCGTCAAACTCCGGGGCCGCCCAGCCAGCGGGAAAGGTCGGCGACACGCGCCAGGACGGGTCCGTGATGAGCAGGGACTTGGAAAAGTCCTGGTACGTCACGAGAATCGTGGCGATCAAGGCGCCGGAGTTGGTAATCGTCGTCGCGTTCACAGCAAATACGTTGTAGCTCGGGTCCAGGTCGACGCAGTACCGCGGGGCAAACCGGAGACGAGACGGGGGCGTGCCGGATCCGACGAAGTCGCCGTTGACGAACAGCTGGAAGTCGGTGTTCGCCGCGAGGATGATCTCAGCCGCGATGAGCGATCGGCCGCGAGGAGGGGAGAAGACCTTGCGGAGGGCAGCGTTGAGATTGGTCGTAGGAGGAGTCCAGATCCACTTGGAGTTCTTGAAATCGATAGCAGAGCTGTCGCGCGCTGCTAGTTCCATCGCTGGCCGAGACTGAGTGATCTGATGCGGGAGGGTACAGAAACTCTTACCGCTGACTACGAAGCCACCGAGCGAGAGAAGGACGATAAGGAAAGGAATCATCTTCTGTAATGCTAGGCTGTGGTTGGTCCCAGCACCACTCGGTAGATTTGGTCACATACCGTTCACCATTGCCACATGTATAGGTGGTGCGTGTATACTCTGCCATCCCCCGAGTTCTCGACTCCTTATAAGAAGAGGGAAGACGGTGATAGTGCGACATTGTCCGCGAACACATCCGTGTGAGCTTCCGTTAAGCATCCAGGGGTGCATGCCTCACTAGCAGCTTGTCTCGACTGACGCAGTTGACAGACACATCTGCGGTATGACGCGACGGTGGGCTAGCTTGCTTGGGGATCGATACAAAAACCGTTTGAGGTTCCCTCGCGCATGCATTGACGGGTCGACTGGACAGAGAGCGTACAAGGAAAACGAGTAATCGTGAAGTGCAGGAGGCGTCGGCAAATTCCGTGGCTTGCCAAAGTTTGGCACGTGTGTCGCTCGTCACGTGTGGTGGCATTTGCGGTTTCAGTCTAGAACCGCAGACATTATGCACCGATGCCTTGACATGTCGACTCAGAATGAATGGACAGCTAGTCTAGGCGCTGGATGACACTTCACAGACCTTACATACTTAGACTCCTTGTGTGTTCTCTCCTTAAGGCCTGTAGACAAGGACACGGATCTCACACTAGGCAGCGGCAATACAGTAAGAATTGAGATTTAAGTTGATACGATACAACTTGGTATATATGGTATACATGCATAGATAGCAATGGTGGGCACGGTACATGTGATGCCTCGACTTACTGGTTCGATCAACCGTGACTGATGTCCTCCTCACCCGGTTCTCGTCCGGGTCTGCAAGCCCCACCTGGCTTGCCCGCCGTCAGTCACATACCGGCGGAATGCCGAGGAGATTGATACAAACTCTATGATCCCTCCACAGAACGGTGGATCCACAATTGGTCACAGGCCAAGCCCACCGAAAAAAAAAACATTTGGCGCGAGCACTCACCTGCGCAAGCCACTTCCACAACCTAGAAATATCGCTGTTATGGCTTGGCCAAGTTGACATCCAAATCACATGCATGTTTCGCATATAGGCGTGCGAGACAAAAGGACTGATATGTACCGCTCAGTCAAACAACACGAAACGGCTCTTCGAGGACCATCAGACAGATGCTTGCTCAAGCTTTGAAGCTCTTGTGCAACTCGAACACTCTCAACTCGTGCTGGACAAACTTGGACACCACGCTCTTCGCCCAATCGGTGCCGGTTGCGGTCCGCAGCTCGGGCGTCTCGAGGAATCCACCCTTGTCGAACTCGTGGATGGCGAGATACTTGCAGACCGGTTTGCCTTCCATGACAGCGCCGAATTGGTTATACTCGACGATCTTGTATCGCCGGCACTGTTTCCAGCCGGGGACTTTGGCGATCAAATCTATGTGCTCCTGATCGCGTTCGACTCTTAATTGCTGCCTCTACGATCCGCGAGAAAAGGACTAACCTCGACATACCTACGCATTCGGTGTTTGCACAAATCAGCATTCGGAACTCCGAAGGATGGCAGTAATGCGAGACCTCTCACCATTTATTCAGATCGTCCTCGTCCTCCGCAGCGATGTCCAACCCACCCATCAAGATGAACTTGCTCGGCAGATCCTCGTCGGTTACCCCAGGAGCGGTCTGGGACCAGAACTGCTCGTAAACGCGCCGGCTCACACCAATCATCTTGGACGAGATGTCTTTCTCGTTGTCGGAGGCCAGCGCAGCAAGCTTTGTGTACGCATCAGATCCAACTACGGCCACGTTATCGCAGTTGTACAACGTGAGCCAGGTAGGGAGTTGAGCGTCGGACGCTTTGTAACGGGCGACAGATTTCTGCGACGTCGATCGACGAGAGATCGGGGCACGTAAGGTGAAGATACGCACCAGCCCAGGAACCTTCAATCGGATCGGGACATGCTCGTTGTCGTACCAGTCTAGCCGGGCAGTCAGATAAAATTTTACCGGTTATGAGATACTGTAGTTCTCCGCACCGTCCAAACGCTCCTCAGTCACTTCAGGCGAAACCTCCGATGACACAAACAGCATTCCTTGTGGACTTGACATATTCGGTCGTATGAGGCGGAGTATGAAGGGAGATGATATTGAATGCAGTCTGCCCCAATCTTAACCATCTCCTTAAATTGCCCGATCGCGGGGAGATATTCAAGAGGCGGCACGGCCACGTCACCATCTTACGCGTCCATTGTCCGGCATTATTGCTTATCATGTACGTATGACAGGTCGAAGAACGTTGGAACGTTGGAGAGCAGAACCCAAGGGGCGTCGGATATCTGGCTTGGAAGTTGGAACCAAATGATTCTGAGCGATCGTAATCATTATTGCGTCAATGTTTTTTTTTTTTTTACCGCGGAGATCATTTCGGAGCTGATTTCGGACGATCAACACGCACATGACCAACGAGCAGGACGACGATCCTCAAACGAAAACTCCAGTTGACAATAATCTATGGACCATTTCATTTCTTTGTGGAATTTGCTTGGACTCTTGCTTTGGCCGATCCGAATTAGCTTCCAGAACAGCCGATGAATTCGTCCAAGCGGTTTGTCTTTATACCTGTACTTGGTCTGTAAGTATGTCAACCTCCCTATGTCCATCCATCTGACTGCGAATTTCGACTTGACTGATCCCCAACGCGACCTATGACCGGTACGATCCACGGTCAAAACATACAACGTTCCACGCTTATTCCTGCGGCAGGTAGAAGCTTGTCTGCGACTTTGGTCGACTTTACAGAATCATGCATACGATTGCAACAGCGACCGCTAGCCGTTTCACTCAATCCCCACCCGGCTTCAACCAGCGCGCCGATAAGCAGGTTGTAGCCTTGAGTTCCGCGTGCAGTCTTGGACCTCGGGCTCAGGCGGGGAAGGGGATGATTTCTTGTTGAAATGGAGTCTGGACTCTATAGCAGCATATAACAGCGAGGTCATTTGGAGCCATCGGTCGGATACTGTTCACACATGAAATGATGCTGGAATGGACCTGGAAGGCTGATGGAAGCGCCTAAAATCCACCGAAAGTCCATGGTCAACTGTTCACCTTGGCGGACTAATCTAGGACTGCTAAGCGCATGGCACGAATGCAAGGAATAAATGGTGGCAGAGAAAGGAATTTTTCGCCAGTCTTCATTCCCCATGCGCAAACTGTGTTGGACGAGGGCGAAATTTTATCACTCATCATAAGCATGTAAATGGAAGGCGACGATACCGTTTAGGTCATACCGTTTACTTATGTCTTTCTTACTTTTGATTGTGAAATCCAAAAAAGGAAATGGCTTTGACAGGATAAGCCCGCTGCCAAACCCCTAGGTCTTCCCTCCAGCTTGCTGAGAGAATCGCTACTTGTCATCGGCACAGTACGCGCAAGCCTGTCGCCGCACGCTCATCCTGTCTACATCGGGACATCGATTGTTGCTTGACGTCACTCCCGAAATGAAAACCATATAAAACTGCGTCCCTGCTCCTTTTCTCTATCATCCCCACTCACCCAGTCCACTACATCTAATCGAAATGTCTTTCTGGGCACCCCCTGCCGAGCCAGCGACCAAGCTCGGTATCTATCGAACGCTCTCGGCGAAAGCTGGCGTGCATGTCTCGCCGCTGCAGCTGGGCGCGATGAGCATCGGCGACCAGTGGGAGAAGTTCGGTATGGGATCCATGGACAAGGAGTCCAGCTTCAAACTCCTCGACGCATATTTCGATGCGGGCGGGAACTTTATCGACACCGCGAACAACTAGTACGTCGAAGTGGTGCTGCATATATCTGGCCTGCAACTGACGCAACTTCTAGTCAGGATGAGACGTCCGAACAGTTTATCGGTGAATGGGCAGAGAAGCGCGGCATCCGCGATCAACTCGTCATCTCCACGAAGGTACGCGACCGTGCGCATTGACGTATTATTGACGCTGACATCATCAACTCATCCTCAGTACACCACCGGATATACAGTCCGGCAGGACAAGTACGCCCAGAAGGTCAACTATGTTGGCAATAACGTCAAGTCCATGCACCTGAGTGTGAATGCCAGTCTCAAGAAGCTGCGCACCGACTACATCGATATCCTGTACATGCACTGGTGGGACTGGGACACCAGCATCGAGGAGGTCATGGACGGACTCCACAACCTCGTCGTGCAGGGCAAAGTCTTGTACCTCGGAGTCTCGGATACCCCCGCGTGGGTCGTCGCGCAGGCCAATCAGTACGCCCGCGACCACGGCAAGTCGCAGTTCGTGATCTACCAGGGCGCGTGGAATGTGATGGCCCGTTCGTTCGAGCGCGAGATCATCCCCATGGCTCGTGCCTATGGTGTGTCCGCTAGGGCTCAGTCTCACGAGTTTCGGGTCCTAACTCCCTTGTTAGGTATGGCTCTAGCTCCATGGAACGTGCTGGCCGGCGGCAAGCTGCGCACAGATGCCGAAGAGGAGGCGCGCCGCACTTCTGGCGAGAAGGGTCGCACAATCTTTGGAGGGGATTGGGAGCGGAATGAGGACGAAAAGAAGATGTCTGCAGCCCTGGAGAAGGTAGCCGGGCAAGTCGGAGCGAAACATATCACTTCTGGTACGTTTCGCCGTTCCTGCGCCTAAGCCATCTTTCACGCTACTGCTAGTGGCAATCGCCTACTTGATGCAAAAGGTCCCCTACGTGTTCCCTATCATCGGCGGCCGGAAAATCGATCACCTTTTGGCCAATGTCGAGGCGCTCGACGTGGTCTTGACTGCTGAACAGATCGCCTATCTCGAGAGCATCCTTCCGTTCGATCCTGGGTTCCCCAACTTCATGATTGTAAGTCTCAAAGGGTCCCAGACTAAAACTTCGGTGTTGACCTGTTTCTTTTAGGGCGATGGACTGCAACACAGCAATCTCATGACGTCTGTCACGCATTTCGATCGGTTGCCCATTCCCCAGGCCATTCGTCACGGAAAGCAGTAGATTTTGTAAAAGCACTCGGCATAAGTTTGATGTATTCAGATGGAGGGTCCTTTGTACAACGTGATACGATTGCCTGTGATGTTACACGAATGATCCGTGCCCCAGGTGCCCGAATTTGTGATAATCAGCCATCGCTTTGTGAAGGCTGATTCCAGGGCATGGTAGATAGGATTATCTTCTGTTGTCGACATCATTGTCCCCTCATCCTCATGATCATCCGTGCACCAAGCCATGTCGCCTCCACCAGTCTCACAAAGATTTCTTGGATACCGCATTCTATCTGATGCTACCCGCGGATCGCGTATCGGGCTCGTCGAGGCCGCCGGAACAGCTGCAACGGAGGTGCTCGGTTACCCCGACCTCTTCAGGCTCATCGAAGCCCATCCGCTGCCCGCAGCGGATCACAAGTTTAGAGCAGGAGATAAAACATAGGCCAGTGATCTCGAGGTGTTTGTGCCGCTTCCGGAAAGGGACATCTTGCGCGTTTGTCTGCGCTTGTCTCTGCTGTCCTACGGATACAATGCTGAACTTCGCATAGAGAAAGACCGCGCGTGCATTAGCATTTGTACATTGAGAAGAGTTTGAATACCTTCAGCGATAGCGTGTTCTCTTACACACTGTCACGACAAAGACTTTTTAGCTGGGGTCCAGGTGGACGCAGTGCCGCGGTACAAACCAGAGACGAGACAGAGGTGTACCAGATTCGGCCAACTCGCCGAAGACGAACAGCTGGAAGTGGGAGTTCGCCGCGAGAACGGCCTCGACAGCAACGAGCGGCCGGCCACGAGGAGAGGAGAAGACCTTGCAGAGGGCAGCGTTGAGATTGGTCGTAGCCTGTGGGAGGAGTCCGAATCCACTTGGAGTTTTCGCGGCAATCCTCTGGCTTCTCCACTCCTTATAGGGAGAGGGAAGACGGTGACAGGGACAGATGGCCCGTGAACGCGCCCAAGTGAACTTCCGTGGAGCATCCATCAACGATCCCAGTCTCACTAGCAGCTTGTCTCGACTGACGCAGTTGACAGACACGTCTACAGCATGACGCGCCGGTGGGCTAGCTTGCTTGGGATAGATGCTAAGACCATTCAAGGTTCCCTCGCGCATGCATCGACGGGTCGATTGGACAGAGACCGTGCAAGGAAAACGGGTATTCGCGAAATGCAGGAGGCGTCGGCAAATTCCGTAGCGTGCCATTTTTTGACACGTGGGTCTCGAGTCGCATGCTCGTCGGCTCGAGTCTAGAACCGCAAACATTATGCGCCGATGCCTTGACATGTCAACTTAGGCAAATGGAGTCTTATACCTTACAAACTTGTGCCCAAGCCTTATTTAACGGATCTCCCATTGGGCGACGACAATTCAGCAAGAGTGGAGTAATCTTACTCCGTGCATAATTTCATTCATGTTGATACGATACATAGGTCACATACGGCGTACATAGATAGATAGCGGTGGTGGACATAATACATGCTTCATAGACGATCTACTCATGCTGAATATTAACAATTCGCTGCTTGAGCGCACTGCGCAGGGGAGCCTTGGGCATATGCCGGTGACCCATATCAATCCGCACACCCTCCTCGTTCATCCAGCCATTTCCATACGCCGGATAATCTCGGAGATCGGGCGGGTATTCTTGCCCGGGGGGCGAGGGCTTGTAGGCACCGTCATTCGTCCAGAGTTGGTCCCTGAATCGATCTGTCAGTAACGGCCAGATGCACGAAAGAAACATGCATCACTCACCCGCGGCGATTGAACCATCCCTTCCGGCGCTGGTTGGCGAGGACGGGCGACGGCGCGACAAGGTTGTCCGTCCAGCGCACATTGCGGGGCCCGCCCTGTTGCTGCTGCGACTGCTGGGGAAGAGGAACGACGTTCTGGAATCCGTCGGAACGCCGCCGCTGCGGATCAAGGGGTGTTGCACCTGGTCGCGTCGGTCGCGACCCGACAGCGGCCGACCCATCCATATCGGGCTGCGCGCAAGGCATCGGCGCTGGTCCCGGGGCCCGGAGTGGCTGGTCACCATCCGATCGCCGGCGCTGAGGCTCGGCAGGTAAGCCGCGTGGGCCAGCCATGGGGGTTCTCGTACGTGCCATGGATGGAGCAGGCGATGGAGCTGGAGCAGTGTGAACAGCCAGCGGGGGCATCGGCGGGGGCATCCTCGGCACGTGCACAGACGTGTCGATGCGCGGGAGCGGCGGCGTGCTTGACGGCCGTGCTGGCGCCTGCTGGGGAGACCGGCTGCTACTCCGTTCTCGCTGACGTTCGCTGGGCAACACGGGCACCGAGCTGTGCATAGCGCCCGACGAGGAGTTCCTTCGGGTCCGTTCCGGCGGGTCCGAATCTCCATCGTCAGACCGCACAACAGACGGAATCTCCATCGGTCCGCGGGCAAACGCGCTCATGTAAGCCTCGCGCTGCCGGACATTCATCTGCTCATATCTTCCCGACAGCGAGTCTCTCCGGGGCCGAGGACGACTCGGTTCGACGAGGGTGCTGGACGAGGACGCAGTGGACGGTGCCGAGGTGTAGATTTGAGGTGCATGGCGAGGGGTAGTCGTCGGGGTAAGACTGAATCCGGCCTGGTAGTAAGCGGACCCCGCTGAATTGAATTCTTGCGCATTTCGCTCAGCAAGTCGCTGGGCCTCGCCCACTTCCGACTCAGACGGAGGCGGAGGATACATGCGCTCTCCATTCGGCAATTGGACAGGACCGTTCGAGGAGGTGGGCATCATTCTCGGCAGTTCCGCTGGGACTGGAACGGGCAGCGGCGGCGGGATCTGCTGGGAATGTTGCTGCTGCTGCGATGCGCTGCGACTGATCGCAGGCGCCGCATAGTCGAAAAAGCTTCTTAGCGCCGACTGCGCCTGTGCGAGGGACGGAAACCGGGTCGTCGGCACCGGGACGCTCGCATGCTGCGGGGTCGGCGTAGTCTCCGGATCCTCTCCCTCAATGCTGCGCTCCACGACTGGGACGTCGCGCGAAAACGGGGACGACTCGGTCGTGACGATCGACGTCGGCGTGCTGCTCTCCGTCACACTTCCGCTGCCCGTTTCGGTGTCGGTCAGGTCGGACCGCGAGGAAACCGACCGCTCATAGATGAAATCCGCCGCCAGAAAAGCGTGCGCGTGCGTTGCCCCGCTGCTAGAGAACTGCCGTTGCAGGGGCCGGCCTGAGCTGAGCAGTGCAGGGTTGGGGTGGTGTGGATTCGGGTGTGGGTTGTTGTTGTTGGTGGTGGGGGTGGTGCCGGATGTCGCACCCGACAGCCCGTACCAGCTGGGCGCGCAGTACCCGACGTCGAACTTGGCCGCGGCCGTGTGCGCGAAGCTCGAGGAGATGACGGGCGTTTTGAAGACGCGCACCGAGAACCCGCGCGGCGCTGACGTGATGTGCGCAGACTGCAATTTGTCAGGGATGGAAGCTGGTACGCGAGAGGGAGGCCAACACACCTTGGTCTGTGCGCTTTTCGACGGTGCTCCAAACATCGTGCTGGGTGGTAGGGCAAAGGGCAAGGGCTGAGCTACGGTCAATTCTCGAGACGCCACAAATGGATGAACGAAGCGAGCGTTTTATATGCACTCGCATCACATTGACGAGGTATAAGAGACTTGCGCTGACCGCAAGGCGTCAAGCAGGAGCAGCATCAGCATCGGCTGCGATGTTGGCGAGCCGTATGGTGTGGTGTAGTGTGGGATGTGGGGATTCTGTTGCGTTGGGTGGATGGTACCATGCTGGATGCAAGATCCCAGCCCCACCAAGGCCAATCCTGACGCAGACACAGACGCCCAAGAGAAACCGACTCCTGCATGGACTCCAGCGCAGCAATAAACTTCACCCCCTGCTCCTCCTCCTTCCTGCCCACCCACAATGTTGGGGACGTTTTCATCGCCAGACTCCGCATCCTTCTCTTTAGCGAAAATCTGAAACGCAACGATCGGTGGTGCTTTTATGAAGACGAGGGGCACCAAGTGAGCTGGAGGACACGAGGTTTAGGTTCGCAGACGATCAGTCAGCCGGGATCCAGCGAAGAAGAGGGGGATCGTGCTTGCTCAACGCTCCAGTGGGAAAGCAGCTCCATTGTCGTCGAGAGCAGCGCGAAAATGAGCCGGCCGGGGGCTCGTGACTTCTTACCACCATCATCTCCCTCGGGTGATGACGGACGGTAAAGGAAATACGAGGCTCCCCACGCCGCAGCGGGCGGTGGGGACTCAGCGCGAGTACCGGCCGAGACTAAAGGCACCTCGAAGTGAGGATGGGTTGGGATTACCCGGAAGTGCAGTGTGCACGGTACGCAGTACGGCGACTTCGTAGAGGTTAATAGAAATATGAATCGTTTCACTACACCCTACAGCCTGAATGGCTCGCACACCACTCTCTCCCTTGATCCCTCATCCCTCCTCCCCGACCAAGCCCTCATCGACGCTGACACGAACGCCGCACTGACAACACTACGGCGCCACGTCACGCACTTACGACACAACACGGGAACGGCAAACCAGTGGGGGACTGCGGCCAAAGACGCCATTGCGGAGGTATGAGCACCATACGGGATGATACGCCGCTACCCGGCGACGCTACTGGCGACGTGCCACTCCACACCACGAGACACCTGCCGACCTCGCTTATACCTCTCCGCTCAACGCGCTCGCCCGAAACACCCTCTAAGACGACTCTCGACGACAACTTTTGACGACACCTCTCGACGGCAACACTTGCAGAGCTACCACGACATCTCGAGGCTCACGCGAACCGCAACCTCACATCCGACAATCTTTGATCTCTACTGTCGAGCGCCCGACCACCTGGGTCTGGGCCCAGAAGAAGACGCGACGAGGACCGCGCAACCCGAACCCGCCACATCTACCGACTGTTCTATTTGGGAGCAGGACGGGAAACGGGGGAGGGAACGCGTTGTCGGATGAGGTCGATCCCTCGTCTGATAGCGCCGCAACAGCGCGACCTATTTAGGTCGGGGTGCGCTGGCCAGCAGTCCTGGCATGTCGGGGGAGATGAATGCGACGCGTGCCCGAGACACGGTTGGCGCTCCCCCGACAACCCCAAAGGTGAGACTTCACAGCGCCGATCTTAGCGGGAAACGCGCTGTGTCTCTTTGGCTGGCTACTGAAAATCTACAACAACCATCGCAAGCTCAGCGAAACGAGCACCCGGAAGATTCGACAAACATACTGGCACAGGCAACGGCAGCTGGAGGGCGGCAGGGCTCCGCCACCGGCCCAGCCAGTCCCAACGAAGGCAACCGCGGAGGAGGGGAACTGGCGAACCATCGCCCGGAGGTAACCCGGGACGATGGCCAACCTCCACAAGAGGAAGGACAGATGTCCCGAGGAACCGATGATGGGCCCTGGGACGCAACTCCGACTGCAGCGAGCAGATCGGGGGGCACAAGTGGATGTGCTGATGCGCAGAGTGCGCAGGGAACTGAGCAACAGTTACCCAGCCCAGACAACAGGGACAGTCATGCGCAGCGAGCGCAGGGAGCTGAGAGACAGCTACCCCCCGAGAAAAAAGGGATACAGAAAGCGGAAATGGCAGAGAGCCAGATAACGAGAGACACCAAGATGGCAGAGTGCCAGATAACGAGAGACACCAAGATGGCAGAGTGCCAGATAACAGACGCCCAACACACGCACAGACATACCCGGGCCCCACTGGCCCACGCGGCAGAAACGGCCGGAAGAACATGAAAGCTGCCCTGAAAATAGGTGCACTAAACATCCGGGGACACGGTCACACCAATGCCCACCACCCCAAGAACAAATGGCTGGGGGTGTGGCAGATAATGCGAGAAGACAAGGTGGCTGTACTGGTGATTGGAGAAGCCCATATGAATAAAGAGAGGAAAGAGGATATAGACAATCTGTTCGGCCGTAAAATGAAGATCCTACATACGGAAAGCCCAGAGTCAGCAAATGCAGCTGGCGTCGCAATTGTAATAAACAAAAACCTCGCGCGGACAGAAGGAATACAAATGCACGAAATTGTACCAGGCAGAGCCATGGTCATCCTAATGAAAAACGCGGATGAAACACCGCTCTCAGTCCTTGGTGTGTACGCACCAAACCAGCCAGCCGAAAATGCACAATTTTGGAAGAACACCCAAGAATTCTTCACACGACACCCCAGAATCCGAAAACCAGATATAATGGCAGGCGACATGAACATTGTAGAAGCTGCTTTAGACAGACTCCCAGCCCATGAAGATAATGGCCCTGCAGTGGACGCTCTAGACAAGCTTAAAAGTAACCTGAACATGATCGATGGCTGGAGAACCACATACCCCGAGACCAAGGAATACACGTTCCGCCAACCCGCTAACCTTGGAGGATCCCTATCCCGAATCGATCGAATCTATGTGCGTGCAAATGAATTCGAAAACACGTTTGAATGGGGCATTAAGAGAGTGGGCATCGAGACAGACCACGACCTGGTATGGACAAAGAAATCAACCGCAGATGCACCAACGGTGGGACACGGACGATGGGCCTGGCCAGCTTACCTGACTAAAGACAAACAACTATCTGCGTTCATCCACAAAACCGGAAGAGACACACACGCCAGAATCAAAGGAAGCGTGGAAGGGACAAACAGCTACAACCCACAAACAGAATGGGCCTGCTTCAAACAAAAAATAAACCAGAAAGCAAGAGAACGCGCACGAGCCATAGCCCCACACATCATCCGAGAAATTGCTGCCCTGGAAGCAAAACTAGAGAGCATACACAGGGACAAAATGATGCCTGATGATGAGAAACACCTAAACACATCAGTAATAATTGAACAAATATCAGTAATACAGAAGAAACGATATCGCTCAAATAGACTGAATGCTCAGATCCAAAACAAACTGCATGGCGAAATTATCGGACGGTACTGGACAAAGATCAACAAGCCGAGTAAGCCCCGAGATATCATTCGCAGACTGGCAAGGCCAGACCGAAACAACAATAATGACACGGTATATGAAACCGACTCCAAACTGATGGCCGACATGGCCCGTGACTACCATGACCGTCTACAAGGCGACAGGAGAACAACTGAACCTTACAACCGGGAGAGGATAACAGACAAAATACTAAGCAAAACAAAAACACGAACAACAGAAGAACAAAACCAAACGCTAAGAACACCATTAACAAGGGAGGACGTACTAAAATCACTCAAATGCTCAGCCAACTTCAAGGCCCCTGGGCTGGATGGCATACCATACGAAGTATGGAGGACTCTCAATGACAGATACGAAACAGATGTCAGCACAAATAAAACAGGGTTTGATGTAATTGAAACACTATCCATGGTCTTTAACGACATTGAGAAACATGGAATGGTCGAAGGAACGCACTTCGCGGAAAGCTGGATGTGTCCCCTGTACAAGAAAAACGACAAATCAAACATAGCAAACTACCGGCCAATCTCGCTGCTAAATACAGACTATAAGCTCTTCACAAAAGCACTCTCAATAAAACTGGCAAACGTAGCACCAGACCTCATCCATCGCAACCAAGCAGGGTTTGTCAAAGGCCGACAAATCAAAGATCAAATATGGCTCACCAAACGGATCATTGAACTAGCCGAAGCAACAGAGCGGAACGGAGTCATTGTAGCCCTGGACCAAGAGAAAGCCTACGACAAGATCGAACACGACTACCTGTGGAAGGCCCTCCACAGCTACGGAATTCCGGAGGAATTCATTAACACAGTCAAAAGTCTATATAGCGACGCAAATACATTTGTAATCCTAAATGGCGAGACGAGCACTACAGCATTTAAAGTATCCAGAGGCGTTAGACAAGGGGACCCACTATCATGCCTATTATTTAATCTAGCCATCGAACCTCTCGCTGAGGCACTACGACAATCAGATCTCAAAGGAATCAATATAGCTGGCGTACAAGAAAGGCTGATAGCAACACTATTTGCAGATGACACAGTAGTGTATTTAGACTGGCAAGATGACTTCGGATCACTACTAAATATAATTGATGAATGGTGCATTGCATCAGGAGCACGATTTAACATCAATAAGACGGAAATGATCCCAATCGGGACAATCGAACACAGAGACCAAGTCAGGACCAACATGTTTGTCAATGGCATAGACGGGACCATGATCCCAGACCACGTAAAGATTGCCAAAGAGGGTGAACCTGTACGGTGCCTAGGCGCCTGGGTAGGAAATAAAGTCACCCAAGTAGACACATGGAACACAACACTTGAAAAGATAGACAGAACCCTAGACCACTGGCACAGAGGAAACCCATCCATGGAAGGACGCCGTCTAATAATCCTAATGGTCATAGGAGGCATGACGCAATACCTGGCCACAGTCCAAGGAATGCCAAAGGAGATCGAAGAAAGGCTTGAACGCCGTGTACGTCGATTCCTATGGGCCGAAAAAGAACGAGTGACAATCAACCAGGAAACGGTGTATGCGCCAGCAGAATCAGGTGGGAGAGACCTATTTGATATCATTGCACGAAATGAGGCGATCTCAGTGATGTGGCTCAAGACATACCTAGACTTTGGCCCAGAAAGAGCCCTATGGTGTTTTGCAGCCGACGAAATACTTGCCAATCAGATGTCCGCAGAAGGCACAACGGTGGAGGCATCAGTCCGAATCAACTCGTACCTACAATCATGGAAACATAAAGTATCAGCACCAAAGATCGGAAAAGACTTGGCAAAAATGACAGAAGCAGGTGTTAAACATGGACTCTCAATAGAAACTATTGCAGTCTCACGTGAGATACAAGAAAACATGACAATATGGCACCACATAAAGTCGACAACAACCAATCCAAGATTCTGGGACACCAACATACATGTTGTCGAATGTCTCAAGAAAAACCACAGAATCATGACCGTGAAACAAACAATACAACTGGCACGTAACCTCAGAAAAAGTAGACACACAGACAGAAAAGACTGCAAATGTACAACATGCAAGTCCATTAGACGTAACACTGGATGTAAATCACCCAACCGCTGCTTCAAGAAAGCCAAAGATATGCTTGACACCCTTGACCCAAAATGGGACCCAAGGCAGCCGCAACCGGAAGACTACGAAGGAAGGATGAACCCCCAAACCCTAGACACGCAACAAGGGGAAGGAATATCAATAGAAATAGACCAACGACTCACAACGAAGGGCACAGTGGGTGACACATTTCGCATCTTCACAGAAGACATAACCAACAACAGTGCATCAGCACCCAACCGAGAACACTGGGGAAACCCAGACGATATTGACGAGATAGTCGTATATACAGACGGGTCGGCGACAGGCAATGGGAGCGCAACTGCAGAGGCAGGATCTGGGATATGGTTTGGAGTGGACGATATCCGCAATAGATCAATAAAAGTTCCAAAAGAACTGAGACCCTCAAACCAAGTGGCCGAACTCCTCGCAGTAAAGGAGGCAGTAGAGATATGTCCACCAGCGGCCCCTCTGCACATCAAAACAGACTCAATGTACACGATCAATGCCCTGACAAAAAGCATGCAGAAAGCAGAAGACACGGGGTTCCACCTCATGGACAACGGAGACGTAGTCAGACTTACAATCACCAAAGTGCGCAACCGAAGAGCGAGAACAAGACTGACGTGGGTGAAGGGACACGCAGGGATAGAAGGTAACGAAGAGGCAGACAAGCTGGCAGATATAGGGCGGACAAAACAAGACCCAGACATCATCGACTCCCAGGTCGACCCAGCACTCAGACTCCCTGGTGCAAAACTCAAGGCTATGACCCAGTCGATAGCATACAAGATCATCCGAAAGAAGAAGATGATGGCCGAAAGATATGAAGACGCATTAGAAAGAAGAGCAACAAGGAAAAACATCGAACGGGCTGTTGAAGCGACAAGAGATAACGAGACAGGCCACACAGCAACAGAAGGCAAGATCTGGAAGTCCACCAGACATACCGACTTCTCGCGAAGCGTCCGCTACTTCTTGTGGATGCTTATCCACGATGGCTACAAGGTCGGCAACCACTGGACCAAAATCCCGGGCCACGAAGAGAAAGCCTCATGCGCCCACTGTGGAGACCATATAACCGAAAACATGGAGCATATCTTGTTCGAGTGCGAGGCACAAGGCCAGAAAACCGTATGGGAGCTAGCCAACGAGTTATGGATGATGAAAACAAGCACACCACTCAACGTGTCAATTGCTGACCTAATGGCATGCGGCACCGTGTCAAAAGGCAACGAAGGAACGTCCCGCCTCTTCCGAATCCTTGTATCAGAGTCGGCACATCTCATATGGAGAATCCGATGTGAAAGAGTCATACAAGAGAAAGACGAGGCAACGATCCCCGAGATACGGAACAGATGGATAAACAAGATGAACACAAGACTATTACTAGACTGCAAACTGTCCAATGAAGCAAAATACGGTACGAAACACATAAAGGCTTCACTGGTCCGGAAAACTTGGGCCAAAACATTACGAAACGAGGTTCATCTCCCTGGCGATTGGACAAAGGGAGACGGGGTTTTGGTGGGTATAGGATGAGTGGCGAGGATGGAGACGGTTCAACACCGACTCCGGAGCCACCCCTCCTAATCCCCACACAGGCATCGCGGGCGACCGGATGCATCGTGTGAGTGACCATTAGGTCACACAGCACATTTCCTCGTGTGATAGATCCTCAAACGGGCTGGGTTTCATATTCCAAGGCCTCAAAACTAGACGGGTAGATTGTAGACGACTATGTCGGTTATGCCCTACCAATAAACAAACGTCCCCACAAAAAAAAGAAAATGAGCCGGCCCGTGGCCCATCAGATCCAATATCACCGCGCGAAGTTCCTGATCGACAGCGCCGCCAGAACACTTTTGCTTTCCCTCTGACCACCTTGGTTTCCACACCGCCTGGCTCGGACCAATTCGGCAACCTTCACATTCCTTGCGATCTACACACCAACTCTCAGCTACAAACAAGCTGACTCCGTTTCCGACCCCAGGAAACAACTCCAACCCATCATCAGCCCAAGTACACGATGTCGACCCGTCCGCAACATGCGCGTAGCATCCGCGGGAGACGCTCGTTCACCGGCAACCATCCGTTGCTGCCTGCTATGAAGCCTGTGCTGGCCTCGCGTGTGCCACGTGTACCGACATACACTTTTCTGAAGTGGAGTTTTGGACGGGGCAGTGTGGTAAGTCCGCTCTCATCATTTTTGTCTCTTCGTGCCTTCTCCATCGTTGTTTCGCTCGATTCGTTTTATACGCCCGTATTACAGAGATGGAGATCTCACCGAGGTGTAGATATGGAAGATCTGGCCAGCGGTCCTCCTGCACACAGCGTTCGCTGCGGCGATCGTGTACGTTTGGGTTGCGACGGGTCGGGTACTGCAGATTCCAAACGTCATGCTTACTGGCGCGTCTCATCCTTTCTTCCTCTCTCATCCGTCGGTACTGAAACTTGAACTTCAAGTTATGGGTGTTGTGATCGGCTTTGTCATATCCTACCGCGCCGGCAGTGGATACGACCGGTACTGGATGGGGCGCACAGCATGGACAGACATCATCCGTAACTCGCGCACCATGGGGCGCTTGATCTGGTATCATGTCCCCCCGCGGCTCTCTCCGTCCGATGCCCCGCATCAGACGAGCCCGCAGGAGAGTGCAAAGGTCATGGCAGAGAAGCGCATGGCGTTGGATCTGGTCGAAGCGTGCGTGAACTCCATGCGCTTCATTTGGCGTTTCGATACTGATAGTGTGCAGCTTCGCATTCGCACTGAAACATCATCTGCGTGCGGAGCTCGGAATATACTACGAAGATTTGTACGATCTGGTCCGGCCGTTGCATGATGTCTGTCGTCATTTTTATATCGAATTCCGCTGATTTTTCTAGTTCGAGGACACGAACACGCACTTTACTGTCGCCAACGCCGTGCCAGCCCCAGTCTCAACTGAACCAGCTGCAGCACCCCCAACCGCAGCATCCACCAGCAGCCCTGTTTCAGCAGGGCCGGTCGCATCCTCTTCTTCTTTATCAACAACTCACGCCTCCAAACGGCCGTCCGTGGCTGCTGCGGTGGCCTCCACGACATCCATCCACCGCCCGCTTCTGCCTGCATCGAACGAGCCACCCAAAGATGACGTGCTTCGGCTCGTCTCGAAGGACGTCATCCCATTTGCCGGTGTAGCGACGAGCATCGGACGATGGTTTCGCAGCTTCTGGGCAGTGCAGAAGCTGGACGCCCATGAAGCAAGGCACAAAGTGCGTCTTTCTCTACTATTCGTGTCAGATCTATATAGATCAACATGAATTGGAACAGGACCGCTCGAGTCGGATGCGCACTTGGTCTGGTCCAATCCATCCAGACGGTCTGAAACAACTAGAAGAGATTGAAATCGGCGAGAATCTGCCCGAGGAAATTCTTCGATGTCTGAGTGAATGGATTTCCGTGCTGGAGGAACGTGGAACTGTCCCGGGTGCCAGTTTGGGTGCGATTCTCGGCGGGATCGCGACTTTCGAAATTAGTTTGACAGGTGGGCGGTTGTGGCTGTTATTCTTTTTCGAAAGTATGCTGACTAGATATATGAAAGCGCTGGAACACATCTTGACAACGCCCCTGCCTTTGTGGGTTCTTCATGATCGCTAATGAACCATATTGATCTGTGACTGCCAGCGTTTATTCTGTTCACATTCGGCACGTGGTGTGGATGTATTTGTTCCTGCTCCCCTTCCAACTGGTCTCGTCGTTTGGATGGCACACTGTCCCTGCCGTGCGTGGTCCCGGATTCCAGCATAGATTTGTCTCACGTGACGCCTAGGTCTCCGTAGGTGCTTTCGTGTATCTTGGCTTTGTCGCAGCGGGCGAAGAGATTGAGCAGCCCTTCGGTACGTCTTGTCACCCTTTCTCGATCGAAATGTGACCCGCGCGACAAGGCTATGACGACAACGATCTTGACCTCGACATGTTTTGCCGCGATATCATCCAGGCCGACCTGACTCGACTGAAGAAAGCCCGGTGTCTCAACGCATGGTTCCCACCAGCGCCAGCGACTGGTGCAGATCAAAAGCCTTCCAACGGCGCACATCGGAGAGATACGTTGGGCGGCAATTTGTACGCGGCGTCCTTGGCTAGTTTGAGCGATCTGGTGGCTCTCGATGCAGACGAGGAGGAAGATGAAAACGATGGCTCAGATGAGACTGAGGAGGATGGCGTGCAGGAAGGAAATCTAGTCGACGTACGATGAATATACCAAAGGATCATCGGGAATGACGGTCGGATTGCGGAAACGCTTGTCCTCAATCATAAATGTGCAGCGACACTCGGCGTTGTCGCATTGTGGATTATCACCTGTTCTATGAGAGCCGGTCAGTCCCTATCGACCTCACGAGGGCAGCAGTAAGATGGTAATGAATCTGAACGTGAACTAGCATGATTAGTACTGTATGTAGAAGCTCATTGGTAATTAATTTAAGAGGGAGACGAGATCTAGACGATAGGAAGAGCAGAGAGGTGTTCGACATGACATTAGATTGACGAGTGTCGTGGGTAAGATAATCAGTGACCATCATCCTCCACGAGAGCAAGCGTTGAAGCTTCCGGTCAGCCATTGTATCCAGGGTTCTTGGGAGTCGGATGCGTCCCCCAGTCATAACTGTGGGGAGCAGTGTCGTATGCAGAATGGCTGAACGGGTGATACTGCTGAGGGTACTGCGGCGCCCACCCCCATTGGTGAATCTCTCGGCGGGGACCCGGCGCCGCGCCACAATACGATGGTGTCGGAGGGGTCGTGGAAGTCGTGGGTAGGCTTGAGCTCGAGTCTGAATCCAGACGAAGATCCGGATACCGCCCATCAGCGTAGCGGGGGGCGGAAAATGACGGCGGTGGGCCAGTGTACGGCAATTTCGGCACGCGCCCTGGTATCACCAGTGGCTTACTGGGATCGACTGGATGAGAAGCAGGAGGAGGAAGAGGAGCTTCAGAGTACACGTGCTGAGTGGTGCGCGAAGTCGTTGGTATAGCATCGTTCGATTTGTGCGATGGTTTCTCCCACGCAAACTCGCAACGGAGCGCCTTTCGGGCACAGCGCTCGCAGGCAGAGTGTTTTTGACCGCCAGGCAATGGATTGCACTTTGAAGAAATAAGCATCTTCGGAAATCTCCTTCTGACGTGCGAACCAACCACAGTTTTGTGCTCAAGGCAATTATCACACGCAAGGGGACTTTGTCGGTTTTTCGGTGTCATATCGTAGCGATCGGCATTAACCTTGGCTTGCGAGTGATAGCAATCCATGCGAATTAGTGGGAGAGGAAGAGAGAAATACGTTTTGTAAGCCTACGATAGCTTTCCAATCACCTGGACAGGGGCCGTTACGTGTGACCCATCCTACCGTTTCGTCTGCGCGTCAGGGGGACCTTGTGACCGACGGAACAGACTGTAAAGGCGTCAACCTGCTGGGCAGCGCCGATTGAGAAGCGAAGACTTACACGCCAGCCATTCTGTGGGACACGCGAATAGTGAAAATAGTAGATGATGGGCAGAGGAGGGAGCTGTGTTTCGGTTTCGATTCCAAAGTTTAACTCACTCACGGGTCAATTTGTGGCTGTGTTTCCCGTTGACATTCCGCCTTGGCACAAAGTATGTCATCCCACGGAATCATTTCGGGCTCAACGGTATCTACACATATGGGAGGCAAGTCAGACATCGGAGTTCTCCCCGTCTCCGGCGGCCGTTCGGGTCCCTCGCGGCCGAAAAGAAGTCTGTGCTGAGCGCTCTGGCGAGGCGCCCGGCTGTCCAACATGAGCGCTCCTCACAACCGAGGCGCCTTCCGATACTGATCGATATTTCTGATCGGACATCATCAGGGCCCGCGCGCACCCACAGTCCTCCGTAACATGCATAATCTGATTTGAAAACATGCAGTAAGAGTCAGCAGTGTCATATCGTGTCCAAATATCGCACACTCGGAGACGAGGGCAAAGCTAATGATGAGCTCACCTGCCCATCCACAAAGTTTTCGACAGGGATGGTTCGGACGGGAGTTCCTCCTGTTTCTAAGCCTTTCTCACATCCCCAAGGATACAAATCACTCGGTTCATGCCCAGATGAAAAATTCCGGGACTGGATAGAGTGGTCCGGCATTGCAGTTTGCGACATTGCGCTCTGGAAACCTTGCTTGCAAGAAATCCTCTCTCCTGCCCACCGGTCTAAGCACGCGTCGCCCTGACGTCAGGGGTGACTCGATCGTTTGGTGGGTCCGACCGGGACTCACGGGAAATAGTCACGTGTAGACGACCCCTGCTTTGATACTCCGCATTTTATCTGAGACCTTTGAATTCGGGCTGTGGCAACACATATCATCAAGCACAGCCTGTTTCTGGTTCTTATTGAGCTGCCAGATCTATCGATCACACTAGACTCGCTGTATTTGCTCAAGCTTGTCTACGACCTGGAGTGGAGACCCGGTCGGTATATGATTCCCCCTCCTTGATCACTTTCCACACCTGACATGATTTATTTCTCGATGGCAGTCAACCTCCTCAAGGCTCCGGACTATGCGCAACGGAACATCGCAGGAAACCTCTTTTGAGCAACTGACTCATCCAGTGCAATACTGAGGGTGTTTGGCGCCTTCTCGCAGAGGGTATCATCATGACTCCCCGTGCAGAGCTGAGAACTCAGTTATAAATTTCGGTATTCCGAACGGGCAAGACCTTGTACTGCTCACTGTTCATCCACTCGACGACCTATGACAACTGCCTATCCTCACACACCCTCCTCGCCGTCTCTCATCGCTTGCACCAACTGCCGCGAGCGGAAGACCAAAGTAAACCACATGCTCTCAAGAGCAAAGTTTGTTGATTTGATTTGTTCTCAGTGCATCGCACCGGCAAACGTCCAGAACACCCAGCACCCGTGCGAACGTTGTGTTCGGAAGAGTTTACGCTGCCAATATGTAATGAGCGCCGCTCGTCCGTCCCCGTATGATGCTTCATCAGCAATGTCTCCTTCTCCATCGTCTCCTCGTCAACCTGCACCCGCGCTCCCGTATACTGGCCCGCCTCCAACCGGCCACTCTCGGCCGCGATACGCAGACGGACAATACCCCAATCTATCCCTTATTCGCGGGTCAAACCAGTCTCAGTCGCATCATGCCTTCACGGCGCATGCGGGACATCCTCCTCCCAACTATGCAACGCATTATCCGATGGCAGGTGAATATGACAATTGGGGCACACAGGCTACGGTCCCGACGCAGTTTGTTCCGATGCCATTCTTTGCGGGTGCAGACACTGGATATGGGTATGCCGCGGGCCAGGAGGAGTGGACCGCTCCTTCAAATTCTCCGCCAAATTGGGGCGTCCAGCCTGGAAATGCACCAGGAGCTGGCTATCCCAGCGGGTTTGGCTTCTGAATGATGGTACTTCAGAGCAAAGACTATTGTAATCCCTACACATACCTAATGATCGACTCGAATTATTCATTGAACCCGGTTTTGCAACCCTTGCGCAACAATTCTAACAGACAAAATCTGTTCGATGCAAGCTCAGGTTTACATATGTCCCGAACTTGGAGATGAATGATGACAAGATACGCCAATCCGCTCTCTCTGCGCGTGCAGGACTTTTTTTCTCCATACCATCAATTTTCTTATACAAGTAAGGTACGACTGACCTCCGAGAATCATCGGAAAGCCTCATATGGCACATGGGTCGGCGATTATCGCCGAATCGCCAACCACTGATCGGACCATCCAGGGAAATCCTTGATCTAGGTGACCAGGTCTGACGATTTTCATTTCTTGAGTCGCACCATTCGTCCAGCAAACACGCCTTTCCGTAGATTTCCGTCTCTCGCCAGTCGAGAACATGCGGGAATTCTCGGGCGTAGAATCACGCGAAGTGAGGGATCAGATCGATCGATTACACATCCGGAAATCCCCGGCCCCCAAAAAGATTGAAATTTGTGCACTTACCTCATACGTCTTCACTGACTCTCCCGACTATGGTTGCTATCGTCCAACGCCCTGCGCCACCTTTCAAGGCTACTGTTGCTGCAGACGGTCTGATTGAGGAGGGGGTGACGCTCGAGCAGTACCTCGGCAAATGGTGAGTGGGGACAAAGAGATCACGGATTCGGTACTGACATGGCTTTCCGTGCTGAAGGGTCATCCTCCTATTCTACCCGATGTGCGTTTCCATTCTCTTTGTGTATCGGTCGCTTTTGAATGGACACTCTGAAACAGGGACTTCACCTTTGTCTGCCCAACTGTACGCCTCCCGACCATGACAAGTCCGGTCTGGCCCTGATCAGACTATACAGGAAATCCTTGCCTTCAACGACGCGCTACAGTCGTTTACCGAGCTCAACACCGTCGTCCTCGGCGTCTCTACCGATTCTCACTTCTCCCACCTCGCATGGGCCGCGCAGGACCGCAAGGCCGGCGGCCTGGGTCCCGACTTGAAGCTGCCGCTCATTGCAGACCGCAGCATGAAGATCTCGCGCGACTACGGTGTGCTCATCGAGGATGAGGGTATCGCACTCCGTGGGCTGTTTATCATCGATCCCACAGGCATCATGCGGTGCGTCTGGTCTCTGGATCCCATCCGAGTGCGGCAACACTGAATCGAGCGTCATGGCAGCCAAATCACCATCAACGACCTCCCTGTCGGCCGCTCCGTCGATGAGACTCTCCGCCTGATCAAGGCCTTCCAGTTCACCGACCTGTACGGTGAGGTCTGCCCAGCTAACTGGCACGAAGGAGAGAAGACCATCAAGACTGATGTTAAGGGGAAGCTCGAATACTTCGAGAGCAAGTGAGTTTGAAGGTCGATCGGATACGCACATGGGCCCGATCCCCTTGATTGTAGAATTTAGAACGTAGAATCTAGAGTTTTAAAGCTTGCTAGAACCTAGAGGTTGCTTTGATCTGCCTGTTCAAATCCACAAAGTCGGGTTCAGTCGGATTATTATAGATGGTCCTCTTTGATTTTGTGACAGGTGTTACTAGCGAATGCGACTATACTTGATGTCGATTGCCGGTGCATAGACTGATTCTAGTCATCGGAGCCGCGGCACCTTTCTGATTTCTTAGAATCATGCGATGGATGCTTCGAACAAGGCGGATTCTAGCGCTTTCTTCCTGGGAAACGCAAAGGACTTACGAGTCACGCTAGAGAGTGACAGGCAATCAGCTGACCGTGACCGAAAAACGCCGCTTTACGCTTTGCACAGCCCTAGTCTTCCCTCCCACAGGCCCAGCCACTGGCCCAGCTGCTTGCTCCCTCAAAGACCTGTGCCCTCGTGCTCCCTGAGCCCACGATCATGGCTTCCGTCTCCCATCCACCTACACCTCAGAACGCGGCTTCCTCCGGACCATGGGCAGATCTTGACGTGCGTTGCCTGGCCAGCATTTCTCTCGTCTCCGCATCAGCACCGCACCTGCTTCATGGTGCGGCGCACGACCCGAACCAAGTGCTATATGTGCCACTACCATCCCTTCCTCGCGCCCCCTTCCTACGCTGTGCTCACCTCCCTTTCGCCGTCGCTGACCATCTACCCCCTTCCCGCAGGCTATCAGCAACGCGCTACCGTATTTTACCGTGTCCGACTTGAAATCGATCATTGAGGGCGTCAACATGCGCTGTGCAGCCGTTATCCGAAAGAGCGGGAACAAACCCGACCTTGTCGACCGACTACGGCAGACCTTCAAGCGCTGGCGCGATGCGGGGCAGGTGAACGAGTGGGAACTTGCGCGGAGCGTGTTGGAGAAGAATGGTAGCGGGCGGTTTGTTGCTACGTGAGTGTTTTCCCTCCCCTACCAGTCAGCTCAGTAGATGTATGCGGGATGTGCGCTGATTTCCTGCAACGGATTCAGGTTCAGCAGGAGAGACAACCTCCACGCGCAGCAGCAGCAACGAGCTGCGTACCACCCACCCAGTATAAGCGCTCCCGGACCAGCCGCACCGTTACGGCCTGCAATGGCTTTTGCTCCGCATCCACACGCCCCGATAGCGAAACCTGCATACATCCATTATCAGCCTCCGCCACCCGTTGTTCCCAGTGCGTGACAGTCGATTCATCTGTCGGCGTTTCATTTTTTGACACGGAATTTTCTCAGCGTACCGCTTCAAAGACTCTCCCTTCTTCACAGTTGAAGAATCCGTATGTCCGATGCTTGAGTGTCCAGGTTCGTACCTACGTGTCGTGATCTCATCGCCGTTCCAACCAGCGCACAGAGTCGTTGGGACCTAGCGATCGCCGAGATGTTGAGCTAAAATTCAATCTATCTCCCGCACAACTAGAGAAACTTTCGTCGGTCCAATCTACCTGCTTATGTCCGCCGTGTCTGAACGATCCGCAGCTCCGGCTGCCAAGCCCATCTTTTTTGCACATCCTCTAAATTCTACTCCCCATCCCGGTCGACCAATGCCGACTGCCTCATCGACTTCCCACCGACATGCGAGATCTACATCAACAACGTGCAACTGAAAAGCTCGCTGGTCAAGGGCATCAAGAAAAGACCGGGCACTGCGCCTCCGCCCAACATCGCGCTCAATGCACCGGGTGGAGGGTCCGTCCTGACCGCCCGGAATGTGGTGCGGATGATTTACATCGATAATACCGGGCAAAATGAGACAGTGAAGCCCCCGCCCCGGGTAATTAGCCTCGCTGTTTGTGCACATCGATGGCTCACCTTGATTGATCCCGCAGAAATTTTACATGGTCGTGCAGATCGTTCAGCCTCGCAGTGTCGAGACACTTGTTGAGCAGGTCCGCACCAATAATTCGGTATCAAGTGCAGATGTTCGCAAACAGAGTGAGTTGTCGCTCTGTTACATGTTGTAGAGACTGACCCCGGACAAAGTGTTTTCATCGATGTCTGATGATGATGACATTATCGCGGGCTCCATCAAGTTGCCGCTCAAATGCCCGGTGCGACTGAACAAGATTATGTGCTGGCCTGAGCTCACTCCTCTACAGCTCAGCTTTATGCGCATTCGGCTGCCATGTCGTTCACGCAGATGTAAGCACTCGCAGTGTTTTGATGCGACATCGTGGTTTTCTGTCATGCAGCAGACAACGACGTGGTGGGTTCTTGAGTTACTACTATGCAGGTCTGTGATCCAACATCTTTCAAGGCAATGTCCCGTTTGCGAAAACATGCTCGATTGGCGAGAGTTGATTATCGACGGGTGGGATCTGTGGCTCGTCTTCCTTGAATTGTTCTAACATCTCAACAGTTTTTTCGTAGAGATTCTAGATACGACGCCGGACTCAGTCGAGGATGTGATCCTGGATGCAGATGGGGTGTGGCGAACTCCAGATGGGCGGTATACCTCCGCCATGATCGGCACGGGGGTGGTGAAGAAGTCGGTCGAATACGAGTATATCGATGACAGCGACGATGACGATTGATGCATGCGAGCGCGATGGACTGCGGGTTGAGGCTTCCAACTCCGTCCCAGGTTGAATGATAGGGCTATGATCACATTGTAAAACGCACTACATGTCTTGTATGAATTTCGCACGGCTTTTGGTTGGTTAATGAGGGGAGGCCATCGATCATCGATTTGATGAGGTCTCGCGATGGAACACAAGGAGTCATTGACCAGATCATGTATCGACCGGCGCGAGTGATCGCGCATCAAGGCGCGCTTCATGGTCACAATCGAGTGTCAAGTAAATTCAAAAAATAAACCAGATTTGTCTCTGAGAAAGTACCCTATCGCATTCTCCTCATCCACAGACTATGTTTCCGGAGATTGCTTTGATCGGGGCTGTCCGTTCTCGCTGAGTCAAAACTTTGAAACCGAGATCGATCTAGTCGCAGTGGGCGCAAGCCGCGGGTGGACCCACACTGACCTCCAATAGGTGTGGGGACAGAATAATGAAATCGGGCCCCTGCAGGCTTCGTCCTATCGCCGTGCATCGCGAATTTGGTGGCTCAGGAACGCTACTCGCATGGCGATGTCAACCATTGAACGGGCAGTAGGCTGATCGAAGGCACTGATCTGTCTTGCGAGTTGCTTGTGTGTCCCCAGAGAACGTGGTGTGGCTGATGATTCCGAGCGAAAATGAGGTCGTCTAACGATAACAGAGGGCAGCGCGGTGGCTTTGAATTCGACTGGGGTGTCTCGGCTCTACGATCACAGACGCGGTGAATTCTCTTTGAAGACTTTCAGAACACTTCCAAGTCACTGCAGCACTTGGTTTATCTGTCTGTTCGCACCAAGCGGCATGCGTGTCGTGGCTGTTATCGGATATACCCGATCATATGCTGCGCCTCAAGGTTCTCTCTCCTTCTCTACGACCACAGCTTCGATTACGAGTACAAGCCAGCGCGTGTCCTACAGGCACAACCTCAGAGGATGGCCAAACAATGGGCTTGGCAGCCACTCACGGTTTTCGGGGCGGTCTCCGCGGCATCTCGGCCTAATAAGCTTTTGAGCTTCGAGAACACTGAGCGTGTGTACATAACCCGGTGAAACGAGAAGTTACTTCGTCGCTTGACCACGACCCCCAATTCTGAGCGCTGCCAGCTGTCGCTCTGCTAGTGCTGCGCTGTTCTTCCCGTCCTCCTCCTCCTCCCCCCCTGCTCACACTCGGCATTACAAAACGATGCCGCTCTGGAACCAGCGGACGTCCGATAATGGATGGGGCAGGTACTTACGCTGGGGAAGTTTGCTCGTTGCTCTGGTTCGTCGTAGCGTTTCCTGATCAAGAACGGGGATCTCAAAGCTATGAATGGTACTCAGTTAGCCTGGTGTACTGCGCTTGCAGCGCAGATCGTATCAACCACAATCTGTGGGTCTTAGCCTTTATTCGTTGGGGTACGACTCTTACTTGATCTGTAGTGGGTCGAGCCTCGGTTGGCCCCCTGTGGTTCGCTATCCTCCTCCAACTTATCGTCGTCTTGGGCGTGCTCAGGCTGATCCCCCTCTCTTCCCCAACTGTTGCCCACTCGGCGACGGCGTGCATTGTATTCGGTGTTCTCGCCGTCGACTCCCACCTTTTCTCCTCGCGGGTGATTCAGAAAGCGTTGGGCATAGCCTGGCTCGTTCTGACTCTGATTGACATTTGGTGGGTCGTGCGTTTGACTCACGTCGCCGATGGCGCCGGAGTAGAGGGTCGGAATGCTGATGCCGCACCACCCGGAATCGGATATTATGTCCACAAGCACGGGAAGGACGAGGAGACCAACTCAGATTCCCGAGCGAGCGGGAGCGGTTCTCAGCATGCCTCGCCAGTGGGGCATCCAGAGCTCGCGCAGTTCTCTGATTTAGTGGGGCGCAGCATTTATCCTCCTCCGCGACCGGTGATCGAGCCAATTGAGGAGGAGGAGGATTCGCTCGACGTTGAGATCGAGACGTGTCCCCGTCTGCACTCGGTTGGAGTAGCTCCCACCAGCCGTCCATCAAGCATGAATTTCGGCCCTCCACAAGCTCCATCCGCCGCACATAACACCACGCGCACTGGGCAGTATTATCAAAACCAGCGTCACCTCTCGACCATTTACGACACGAGCCACATCGAAGCGGAGCCAGAGATCGATACGGTCCAAGACACTAATGCGACGACTTCAATATCTGACGCGCATTCGGAGTATCATTCGCAGCCCAGTACCTCCAATCTTCATTCGACGCCCCTGAAACGCGTCTCTGCCACGAGTGAATCCGACTTCGAGCCAGTTCAGATCGCTGCCACCGAGTATCCATTCAGGGTCAGGGCGAAGGGAAATTGTGCGTCTGTTTCCCTGCTTTAAGCTATGATATCCACTAATCCTCCGATCTTAGGGATCCCGAGAAGTGCTTCCGAACTCAGCTTCCGTAAAGGCGAGATCATGCACAGTGCAGAACGGGATCGGAAAGGATGGTGGAAGGTTCAGAGGGCTGACGGGATGGTTGGATCGGCACCTTCTAATTATTTGACGATGATGGAGGAGTGAAGCTGCAATAAGCATCTGGACAATATTCGCTTCTTGGCTCGATCCATGATGGAATGATTGGCTGCGGAGACAGCCGGGAGTAGCGTCGTCGCTTGCACGTGATGGTATTCCACTTTAGGAATTCTCCTGTTCAAGTTCTGATCCCACAGGAATTTTCTCCGCGTCCAGAATCGTTTATCTTCAAATTATTCGATTAGATAAATGCTCCAGAAAATCGTGATAGGACATCATTCCCAACAGACGGATGCTCGGACACAAATGCCATGATAAACGCGAGTATTATCTGCTTTTTATGGCGGAACTGTCCGGGCCGCTGAACCACTGATAAGGAGATCGCAACTTGTTCGGTGTCTCAATGAACGTGATATTGCCCTTCGCGGGCCCCATTCACTCTGCAAAGATCGTGGCACTTCCAAGTGTTCAATAGATCTACCGATTGTCGATCCTGACATGCGCCTTCATTGGGTCCCATAGAGCCCGGTCCGGACGGTCGATGATATCTGGGCCCGCGTGACTTCGAAGAGTGGTCTAACTGATGCAGACCGAATACCACCTGATATCCGTGGTTGATGCGTGAGACAGTTCGAGTCAATTCGGGCAATCAGTTGAAAAACCTCAATAGGTCATGGGACGGACGGTCGAAGGTGTGTCAGGGATGTATCCAGGCAGTGAATGTACTTGCGGGTGCAGAAGGCCCCGTCTCAAAGGGGGCATCGTTCATGATTACAGCAGTATCAACGAGCGGGGTTGATCAGGGTTGGCACTCTCGGCGAACCAGACTGTCCGTTCTGGCTGCGATGGCTTTGCATTGCGATTCGAGTGGTGCAAATACTGGGAAGATTGATGGGGCACAGACCCAGCCGATTCGGAAGTGGCGAAAGATTGGATCTGGGTTTTGATTACTTTTTTTTACAGTACCATAGTTTCCGACACTGCGGATCGGGGGCTACAGCAATTTTTGAACTATGGTGCTTCGAACGGTGGTGCTTCTGAAAGCCAGTGGAATGAAACTCTCACACATTGTCAAACGGGCTTGGGAGGTGCTCCCGGTCATCCGCTCACTAGTAGAAGACTGCCCGAGAAGCATCTCGGGCCATCTTTGTTGGGACTGAGTCCATCATTTGCGAGGCTGGACGACCGGCTTGTTCTCAAACAAGTTGATACACATCCTGGTTACTTCTACATGCAACGCATAAGAGTTTCGGATCCCGATCACTGATCGACATGGCACGGGCAGCCGTGAAAAAGCTTTCCTCTTGAAATGGGCCGTGCCATCACAGCCATCGGCAGGAGTGTGAGGTCAGCATGAGCTGGTTCAAAGAGCTCGCTGCTGCAAAATCGGACGCATGATCTCGGAGTCCAAACATTGTGATCCGTGGCTTGAGCGGCCATGATGGAAGTGGGAGGACGAAAAGATCATGAACTGTCTAATAAGGAGACGAGCCACGAAACAAAGCCCAAGAAGGAACTCGACCAGGAAGAGATACGCCTCGCACACACGAGTTTCGCTCTGCTCCGTGTGCGTTCTGAGTTGCTGCTCGGGTCATTCCGTGTCGGTGAGATCTAGATGAGACCGCGACAGGTGAAGATGGTGAAAACTGACAATGAGACTCGCATAGTAAGGAGTCTTTCTCCGTAGTATTGGCAGTGCGCCCACGTGTCACTCGCAACCGTAGAATGCATGCCCCGTATGCCCGACTGTCATGTAGCCCGATGGAGAATCTCGCGAGGGTCGGTCTGACATCGACGTGATAGCCGAGGGACCCAGACGTAATTTTTCTCCGATGCGCAAGGGGACAAGGCTCCGAAGGGAGTAGGTTCGGTTGGGTTGGTGGATGAAGCTCCGAATGAGCGCGCAGCTGTAGCGCCACTTCTGCTTATATCTTCTATTAGGAAGATGAAACATTTTGAGCCGGTATGTGCACATGACACGGCATCGGTCATCTTGCGGGCAGCAAGGGACATGAGAAGTCGAGGATACGAATTTGAGACATGCAGAGACTCTCGGCTTGTGCCCCGATCATGTTCAGTTCCCGTCAGCCGCTGAGCCCGTCGAGCTATCCTGGCCCCGCAGCGGGTAACAATCAATTTTCGCAGATGGTTTTGAGCACGCGACAATGTCTATCGTGGAAACAGGTTGATGTCCAAGCGCTGTTAGAGGGACGGATGGCTCACTTTCCAAATCGGGCTCCGCCTAGCAGATAGCGATCCCAGAGCTGCGGAATATCGTTATGAGCCACTTACGCCGACACGAAACCCAGGAGCCCTCTTTTCATTACTGGAAGATGATCAAGAACTCAAAGGAGCGTCTGGAGATAACAACCGCCGAGACTTGGGGTCCAGCGCTTGAATTGGAGTCAGGATTCGATATGCTAAGCACATGCCATCTACGTATTGTACGCTGCTCTTCGGAGACTATGATTCAAGTCCAGCCCCCTCACATGCCCTTCCCAAGGCTCTGTTGATGAGACGAGTGTCAGGCTTCTGGGTGATTAGCTCATGACGCTGGGCACACAGCCACACGGACATGGCGGTGTCCTCTGCCACGACCCCGGAGCGGAGAATGAATGCGCCAAGACTGCTGACTTCGCGCGTCATCTGGGACTGGACGAATCCCAAGTGCTGCGGACTAGAACGCAGATTGAATCACGATAGATTATTAAATACAGAGATAAAAGTAGGTCAACATTTGAGTATGTGGGGTGGTAATACAGTGCGAGTGAGGACACGGAAAGCAGTGCAATGACATGGACAGCGATAACGTAGACATCTACAAGGGCAAGCGGCCGAGCAGCACTGTCGGCGGATGCACGAGTGTTCCCTCGTCGACAGACCACACGTGCGTGGCGTTGTCCAGGAGGGAAAGACCCAACGTCGGGGAGTGAATCATCACACGGGGGTCGTACGTGATTCGGGTCTTCGCGAACGTGTGAAGGAAGCGGATGATGTCGGAGGCAACGAGTCGGGCGCCGCCAACGTCGATGAAGAGAACGACAATGTCCCCTCGGTCATCGCCGTTGTTGACCAGCACGGTGATCATCTTGTCCACGGGGAAAGCCGCACCGTAGTCGAGACGGGCCATTTTCGCCCTGCTCAGGCGAGCCAGTTGGATGGGGAAGAGCGAGGGTGGGGTATACCCCATGAGTCGGAAAGAACCCTCGGTACCGGGGAGAGGGATGAATCGCGTCTGCGGTGCTTGTGGGTACTAGTGAGGTGGTCAGAAGTGGCGAAAAAAGCCAGTTGAGTGACGTACTGCCAACTAGAAACAGTGGCCGACAGAGTTCAGCCCGTCGTGCGGAGGCCGTGAGAGTAGTCTTACCACGTCGGGGGCCGTCGAGCCCTGCACTCAATCAGCACACAGCACATCAGATGGAGCCAGGCAACGTACTCGTTGGAAGGCGTGTTGGGGCTAGGCAGCAGCAGGGTGTCAGTGACTCAGGTGAAGACGGAGGCATGCGTAACCAACCACTTTAATGATGCGGACGATCTTCAGACGATCGTTCAGTGCGTGAGCAAGACCAAAGCAAGATTTGGACATACGGGCACAGAGTTCGTGGCGGCTGAGTTCATAATGGCGGGGAGCAGGACCTGAGGTAGTCGTCAGCCGTGCTTCGAGCTGAATCGGTGGCGGCGCGAGATTACCCAGTCCCAGTCGCACTGTGGGATCGACGAAGCCATTCAGCGGGTTGTGGAGGGAATCGTGTGTGGCGAGCTAGTCGGGATGCGTGGTGAGAAGAGGGTCTGAGTTGGGGATGCGAGAGGGACAATGGAGGTGGTGCAGAAGGAAGAAGTGGCAGTATCGCATGTGGGAAAAACATGCCTTATAAAGAGTTGGCATGTCTGTTTTGGGTGACCCCGATGCACCCTGCGCCCAGCAGCCTCGAGGCAAATCTCCGTCGTCAACCCTCGGCCGGATCGTGCATGCGGACCTTGACGTTCGTCCAGCCACTATAGCTTATCGGCCGCGGAGCTGCGCATGGCGCCCGTAATAGTACATCGAGGGATGTGTCGGAGAAATAAGTGGAGCTGCAGGAAAGAAAGAGTGAAAGATCCCATCACATCTGGGCGACATGGATAAGTAAGGGTGCACAGACCAGGGCCGGCAAACCCCGTCCGCTTCCCGTATCAAAGATTATCACTGCCAGTCCGCCACGAGTTCGATGCGAGCAACGTCTTGCAAGGGGTCCGCCATTCGTGCTTTCGACTTTGGGGCCAAGTGGTACAGAAATGTGGCCGCGAAGTTCGAGTTACGGGCCGGCCCGGATACCTCCAGAACTCGGGTTGCCAACCAGATTCATCGGAGGCAAAGTCAAGATATCATGGCCAGATGATCCCGAGATCGATCTGTCTTAGCGGCAGAGCCTCCGTGTCAAAGAAGTCTGGACTCGGTAAATGCGGCGAACGCCGAGGAAAAGGAGTACATATCATGATCTTTTCTAGCCTTTCATCAAGATCGAAAATTTGCTGGGACTTGTGAAGAATTCCCGCTGCCCGAGTACGCCTTTGACACGAAGCCAGACGTCCAGCCGAACGCCACTGTCTCTGTTACGACAGGTGACTCATCCAGACTGTGGAGGCTCTAATAGCCCTGCGCACCTGATGTTTCAGGTCTCACTCAAACATGCCAGAAAGCCCGTCAGCGCAGGAATAGATCTCTCCTAGTAGACGACAGAAGTAGAAACCGGGGGAAGGGGTATACAAGCGCAGCGCATGTGTCGTATTGAGGAAAAGAAGCGGAGATTACTGCTAGTACGCATCTGAGTGGGCTTGCTGGCTCGGTTTCAGGAGTTGAGACTCTGGTATTCTTAGCGACGGAGCTAACATGAGTGGGATTCATATCAGTCAGGAAGAAAGCCGTCGCTGATGCGTTTCCTGAGCAGCAGCATGAGGACTGAAGGCACATTTGCCGGTGAAGGGTGTGTGGCAAGTGGAGCAGGAGGCAGGAACAGTCAAGCTCGGTGCGGGGCATGTGTCGCGGCTTCGGGATGTCACAGGATACGTCACATGAGATTGCACATGCAACGCGCAAGGGTCCACAGACGATGACAATGGATTGTGAGAATACAAGGCAAGTAGCTGTAGAGATTACAAAGTTATACAGAGATGTAGGTGGAAACATTGTCTGGGATTTCAGAGCAGTCGTTTGGAGAACTTAATCTGAAACTGCAGCGCATAGTCAAAGTATCACTTGAGCTTCAATCCGCGCAGTCCGCGCACGACATCATCCATGGAGCGGACGTCGCGACCGCCCCATTCCCCAGACCATCCCTCTTCTTCACGGTGCATGGTATAGCCTGGAGCCCAGCTCCGGGGTACAGCCGCGTCGGGGCCGGTGGCGATCGCAGGATCACGAGACAGCGACACAACCTGATACGACCGCTCGGTGGCAGACGAATCGATCGAAGGTCGGACAGAGCTCTTCCTCCTCTTCAGCTTGGCCCATTCCGCGCTGGAAGCCTGGTTGGTGGGACGTGCGGATTCGTATACTCCTGCCGACAGAGTGCTCGCTCTGCGAAGTGGGGGTTTGCGCGCGGCCGATTCCACTGCGGGTGCGGACGCCCGGATATCCAGGACCTTGGGGTCAGGAAACACCAGCTCGGGTGGCACGTTCTCGCCCAGTGTCCTGCTGAGCTTTGCCAAGACCTGCCTCCTCCTCGCGGAACTCTCGTCCCCCGCGGTGGGTGTGGTGAGGCCTGCCGATATCGGTGTCGCCGGCGTCAAGACAGGCGACTCGGCGGGTGTCGAAGGAGATGACGACCATGACGTGCGATGGGAATCAAACATGTGAGATGGCGGGAGATTGATAACGAGTGTCGGTCGAGGATCCATTTCATGGTGCGAAGAGATGCTGAGGTTGGCTGGATCGTGGCCGCGCGCATGGCGGCGCACATAGATTCCGACGCTGGTCCGGGACATAGTGCTGGCCGATGAAGCGGAGCGTTTCAGTGTGGAAGTTGAGGCATAGGAGGAAGTGCTCGGGACCATCGCCGGGGGACCGCCATCGAATTCCTCCCCCGGATCGTCTCGTTCTATGACGAGCGGGGTCTCGCCCAGGAGTGCCCCGAGCTTGCGGGTAGATCGCATCAAGCGCAATCGGTGTGAACGGGGAAGTGTGTGGGAAGTGGGAGGTGGTGCTGCAGCCATGGTATTGGTTCCCGAAGCCATGACTGAGGGAGCAGAAAAAGGATAGAGAGGTTTGGGAAAGAGAAAGAGGGACAACACTGGCGAGATATTGTGTATCTTATAGAGACCGAGCAACGGTTGCGTAGGCACCACCCCACTGATGCTCCGGGAGTCTGACAGCGCCCTCATTTCCACGTGCGGTATGGTCCTCTACTTGCGAAATAGAAATGCGTCACATCGCATAGTTTGAAAACCTGTCCCCAGAGTGACAGAGCAAAATGCGTCGAGGGATGGCTAAATCTTGTATACGCACCGGTTTCAATCGATATCAAGACATGATAAAGAACGGCGGACATCGGCCCCTTGGAAAAACACGATCCGGTCGTCCGAAAAACAAGCCTGGATGACGGCCTGACTTCTCCGCGGGCCCTCAACGCCCAGACCGTCTGCGCTCCGACTTGCTTTGCATCGAGACATCCTGGCGCAACCGATGAAGGGCATCTGGCACGTCGCCGCGCAAAAGATTTCGATTGGTCTGAAACAGTGTGATCGGGCCAGAATTGGCAGGCTCATCTGGAGCGACGACGGAGGAGATGATGGAAAATGAAATCTGATTGGCCTTGCTGCGCTGGCAGGTGGCGGTGCTCGGTTGCGGGACGGTTTGGTCCGGGCAGGATTTATGCAAAACAAGCCCCGGCCGTGGGTGCTTCACAAAGATATTAGGCAAAAGAGGATTAATATCTCGAGGCTCAACGCGTAATTCCGTGACGCCCAGCTCAGGCCAAAAAGTAGCTCCAATGCCCCGAATGGAAGGTAGTCGGACATGAAATGAGGAGTGATAGACCTCCACCTCCGATCCCGATGTTCGACAAGAATTTTTGTTTCTCTCCATGTCCCAAAATAGTTGTCATCGGCTTAACGGGTTACGAATGGCTTTGGAGGTGTTGGAGGGCTCCCGTAGTGCGATTGAGCTGTCCGAAAACGACACTGCCACCTGTCAAGATCATCAATGTCACTCTTGTCACACACGCACCTTCGCTCTAGTCCACCGTCATCCATCTTCCTCTCGTCGTCGGCTACGTCTAAACATCATGGTACGGTTCTATTTCAGCTATTTTCAGAGTAGACTGACTCCTTATGAACATTCATAGGCGCGTAATCAAGAGAAAGCCCAGTCCATGCTCTACCGCTTCCGAGAAGCGCAAGCGGCAGAGCTTGGTCTAGGTACCCGAGCTGACCGCCGACCCAAGATGGCCAGTGCCTGTAAAAACATGCGCGAGTGTGAGAGGTGGCGTGGTGAGCTCCTCAGGGAGATTAGTCGCAAGGTCGCGAAGATCCAAGATGGTGCGTGCCCTTTTCTTGCCCCGCCTTCATGTGCCCTTGGCTGACGAGCGGCTCGCGACATCCAGCTGGTCTTGGTGACTACGAACTCCGTGATCTCAACGATGAGATCAACAAACTCATGCGAGAGAAACGGCATTGGGAGAACCAGATCGTGGCATTGGGTGGAGCGAATTACAAGCGTAATGTAGCGATGCTGGATGACGACGGGAAAGAGGTCCCTGGGACGAAGGGATACAAGTCTGTGCTCCACGTTATTCGCGTGTCCCTTGCTCATCCCTCACCCGCGGTTAGATACTTCGGTCGCGCGAAAGAACTACCAGGTGTACGGGAACTTTTCCAGGGTCGTAAGAAGGAAGAGGAAGAAGACAACCTGGCGATGGCGCATTACCAGAAGTTCACGAAGCAGGGGCCTTCATACTACGGCGATCTTGACGAGAACGATGGAACGCTGCTGGAGTATGAGCGTGAGGCTGAAGCAGAAGGTGCGGACAACGGATAGCGAGCGCGAAGGACTTGCTGATTCCGGCGTAGAATGGGAAGAAGCGGCTTCCAATCTGCGTGAAGCACTCGATCTTCCCCAAGACGCTGCCATTCCAGGAATTCCACCGTCAACTTCTCCGGCGAACCCTGATGTCGAAATGCCAGCCTCGACAGTCGAAGCTGACCAAACCTTGGCACACGCGAAGATGCTCGTTTCCTACATGCCCTTCCTCAAGCCCGAAATGTTACTTGCACCGAAATTGCCAACACCGAAGGAGGTCGAGTCGGTGTTACTTGTCCTGCAGAAGCAAGCTCTCGTCGAGGAGTACTTTGGCGCGACTGATGGAGCAATCCCAGCAGCAGCTTGATCTTTACTCTGCTTCCCTGTGTATGCATTATTCCGGCATCCCCATCCGGAGGAGGGTCTCCTACGCGCGTACTTATGACCGTCCGCATGAGATTTCTGCACTGTGCGGATCGCAGAACACGGTACCCGGATGCCTAGGCTTCTACTGTGACAGTGCTGCTCTGTGTCGAAGCATCTAGACCATTGAGAACGCTTGCGAAGCATAGCCAATAGAAAAGACTTATCTCGCTTATTTCATTTTGTCTGGTGACCAGTATGCAACCTGGTTTTGTTTCCCATTACGCCGTCCTCGATTGCAGACTCACTCAGTGAGCACATTTCATATCTATGACATCGATGATGAGTTTGTGCATGTAGGAATGAATGTGAAGTGCTTGCGGTCTCGGACGGGATGAAGCATAACCGACACACTTTAAAATGTAGATGTGTTGACTAGAGACTAGCAGCTCGTCGTGTCCCAGCTTCGCAGTTTTGACTGCAGATCGTCTCTTGCGCTTCCTCTCAAGAACAAGCCATCTCTTTGCGAGGATGTGCCAACGCATTGTGTGAGCTACCCAAACGATCATGCTGTAGAGTCTCACTCATCCCTCCAGAGAAGGCACTCGCTGGACAAGATGTGGAGTACGCATCAGCCTCATTCCAGTGTTGATTCTACTGATTTATCGAGACGCTGGTCAGCATTTTGAACGTCAACTGGTGACCGCCCTGCTCGACTGCAGATCAAATCACTGCGAGCACTCTGTGTACCATCCCGAGTGGTGTGAGCGCAACAGGTGCTCACGTGTGCGTCCGTCTTGCTCCAGTCTCTCCGGCAGCCGCTGACGCAAGTGTTGCTGGATCTACAGAAGTTCGGACCGGAAATCCACAGGGACGTGCGACGGATAAACGCGTTCTGCCACGATTGTCAGGAATCTATCCGACGCGCTATTCGAGACCGGGAACGCCGAGGCCCGATCTATGTGTACGTTCCAAATACCCTCTATGAAGAGAGCGACAACGAAATCGAGGGGTGCGGGTGTTGTTCGGGATTTGAATCCGAGGAAGATGGGCCTGACGACTCAGTTACCTCTGAGCCGGAGGCAGAGGTAGAAGCCAATGCCTTGTGCTCGAACAACGGGGGATCGTGCGAGAGGAGGGGTGATAAGGCATTGGGCAGAGCCGGAGATGTCATCATTGAGGAAGTAGATTGATTTTAGTTTCCTGAAGTTATCGAAGGAGCGCACAGATTCTTCGTCACAAGAGTTTGCATAACATGAGAGGAGCACGCCAAGGGCAGGTGCAGCGGGTCAGAAGTGATCCGTTGAACAGTGATCGACGCACTCTTGATCCAAACCTGAACCCCCACAATCCTCGTCCTCCGATTACCTGTTTCCCGCCCGGGCGAGACAGTATAAACCTAGTACATAACCTCGCTGGACCGTTAGGATGTACTCGCGTTTCGGCAAGCCATGGTGGATCCTCATTTGCGGCCTCGTCTTGATTTTGCTCTTCACTTTCCGAATGGGCGAAATGAGACCGAGCATACCTCGCCGGCTCTACTCAAACATGAACTCACCATTTCACAGAGGAAGAAGAGTTTATCTGAATGCCGCCGGGCTCGGCGGTGAGGGCCTCGGGGTGCGTGAAAGCCGTCGGTCACAGTTCCTGCAACTGACGAACAGCATCGAGTCGGCGATGCATCACTTCAAACAGAGCGTGATCTTCGCTGAGGCGTTGGACTCGGAGTTTATCCTCGCCAATGAGTATGACTCTGAATTCCGGTATTCGTTGTCGAAGATCTTGAACGGCCCCGTGTTTGATAACCAGTTCCTCGATTATGATCTGCGCAATTCCTGCCGCGTGAACGACTTCATAAAGGACCACGAGAGAGAGAAGCTCGCACATGGCATCTGTGAGGGCGCGGAATGGGCGTCCGAGCGGCTCGAAGAACTGACGAGCGAAATGATGGCATGCACAAACATCCTCGATACATTTAGCCACGAGGTGAGTCTCTTGGTCCTCCTGTTTTTCGAGCAGCTGCTCAATCGCACTGTCCTAGATTACGCAAGACCTCAACGGCTGCATCACACCTTGGTTCCGCTCGCGTTTGCTTCCCGCTCCATCCCCAACGCACACGCTTCCCCTCCTGACCTATCCTCCACAACGCCCGATCCGCATCGGAGTCCACATCCGCTGGGGAGACACTTCTAAGACCTTTTCATCTACATCCGAGTTGCTCTCGCATGAGTTCTATGGCTCGTTCGCCATGCCCAATCTGATCACGGCTCTTAACGATCTGCGCGAGCTGGCCGGCCCAGCCGGGATACACGTCCAAGTGGCGATGGAGAATGCCGAACAGCGGGTTCTGGACAGTCTCCCTCTGCACACGTCGGAGCTTACGGTCCTGGACTCCCGGGCCGATGACGATCTGGATGACCTGAGAAAGCTGAGCGAGAGCGATGTCTTGCTCGTGGGCGAGTCAAGTTGGGCGGTGATGGTGCACATGCTGGCTCCACCGGGACTCACCATTGTTCAGGACGGAGGACTGTAAGCATTGGTGTGTTTGGATTATGTGGCCTCGCTGACATGCTTTAACAGGGGCAAGTACAGCAACACTACAGGCTTTGGGAGAGATGTCATATTTTGGAAAGAATACTCGATTGAGAAAGTCCGTCATGGTTTGTTTAAATAGCTAGAAACAAGATATTTGAGATGGTTATGTCCATGCTAGCGAGGGATTCAATTGGATCTCGATGCTATAATGAGACGAGCAAAAGCTTCTTGACGGATGCTCACGCATGGGCCGGCAGAAAGCAAGCCCTATTCTCTATCTTCTTTTCCAGGATAGGGATCAGGGATTGTTTTGGAGGCAATCGATGCGGGATCTCAAGAGCTGGTTTGTACCGGTTTTCGCGTGGCGTTGATGATGGGAATTAGCTTGGTGCAACTGATCAACGCTCTAATATGGCATTGACATAAGAAACTTGGCATGTGGTGATGTGTGTGGGCGCATCGAGTGTGTCGCGTGATAAACACGTGGGTACCTCTGTCCTTACTCACGACCCCCCATGAGTCACCAACAACACCATGAGTACTCGCTGCCCGCAGAGCTCTGGACCATAGTCTGGTCTCATGCCTCCCGTCGTCAGCTGTGTAGACTCGCTCTCGTCTGTCGTCTCTTCCGCGCGATCGTACAACCTGCACTCTTCCGCAGGATCGAAACAACGATCAAAGACCTCTGGTTTGAGCCGAAGCGATGGGTCGAAGTCACCCAGCATCTCTGTCGCATCGCAGCGCAATACCGTGCTCTTCCTTGTGGAGCGCTTGTGGAGGAGGTTGCCGACATCACATTCAGAGGAAGCAGCGATGGATACAGGTGCTATGATGGGCGCTTTCCCTGGATAACGAATCTGGAACTTCTCATCCAAGCCTACGGGCGCGCATTCACCAGCTTCCGCAACTCTCTACCTCATTTCAGGCACCTCAGAGTCTTGGAACTGTCGTCGATTACGGTCGATACGTCCCTGCGCCAGATATTGGGATCCGTGGAATCCCTCAAGACCCTTCGGCTGTGGCGATGCGAAATAGACCCGCCGTGTGGCCAGCTTCTTCTCTTGGAGAATTTTACCCTGCATCATCACGAATACTACGGACGGGGGATAGATCCCGAACCTGTCGTGACAATCTGCGCTCCGGAGCAGCTTCGCGAGCTGAAGATGAATGTGCCTCGAGTGCTTTTGAACGGATTCCTGAGCCTGGGCGTGACTTTCACGCGTCTCCAAACCTTGATCGTCACTGATTGGCCTAACGAGGACTTGTTCTTCCCATTTTTGCGGATCTGCCCCAATGCCACAGAGTTGCGCATACAGTGCGGGAGCTGGAGCCTATCCCCTTCTATCCGGCAGGACCCAGAAGGCGGGAAACTGCTTCCGATGCTCTCCTCGCTATCTGCACCACATTCCTGGGTGCGATATTTCGCACGGAGCGCTCCGGGCCGCGATATGACGGAAGTGAACCTACGTGGCCTGCACTGGGAAAGCAATGCGCCGGATCCATTCTCGCCGTATCGAGACACGCTTGAAGTGCTGCATCAGTGCGACATTCCCCTGCGCACACTCAGATTCACCCTTGCAACATGGATGCTTCCGGAGCTGATCCGCACGGTCAGCGGCTATTGGCCCGGTCTGTGTGCGCTCGACATCATTGCCTGGGATCAATGGGGATTCTCGTCTCGGAACAGTGGATTTGGTGATCATGGCCCTCAAATTCACTCCCCGTCCCAAGGATCTCCGGATCTTCGCACCGTTGATCTCGACTCGGACTATACTGCACCAGAGGCTGATACCATTTCACGTCCGCCGACACCTCATCAGATTAGCTATCCTTCAGTTCATGCGATGAAGCCCAGCCATTATTCTCAGTTGTTTCACCATGAAGGTGTCCAGAGACGAGAAGAGCGCCAGGAGCCTGCCTGCTTCGAGGTCCGTCGCATGCCAAATGGCTGCTCGCTGTGCTGATTTCGTTCAAGTCACTTTTGACACTGATAAAAGCGGGTGGAATCGAGTTTTCGCCGTCTCTCGAGTGCCTCGTGTTGGCTTCCCTGCATTTGGCTCGCTGCCATGACGAGCCGGCCGATATTATCACCAGCCACGATCTCTATCCCACTCCACTTGCTCACGACGTGATCCGTTTACTTGGAGCTCAGCTGCCTGCGCTGCAGAGATTACAGCTTGGTGATACCCAAAGATGGTGGACTCGTGACGCGCGTCGACATAAGAATGCATGGTGGGACGGGTGCGTCGATTTGCTTTGTGCGGATAATTGTGCACTCAATACTTTCCAGAATCGTCATCATTTGATCATCGGATGCCTTGGTTTTTTCTTCTAAAAAACGCACCGTGTGTCACTCGTTGAAATCGTTACCGACGAATAATCAGATTATCAGTAATCACTATTCTGGCTAATTTCAACATCAAGTCACACGTGATTATGACCGGAAACTTTTGTTCGCTCTCGCTTCGATTCGCTGTGTCGAGCGAATTAGGCGCTTTTTTCTTAATCAAATTCTGATCCAGACTTGAGCTGCACAAAAATTTCTGCCCGCTATCGACTGAGCTTCGAAATGATTATCTGGAAGTGTAGGGCCCACGTGACAACAGCCCGATCTAATGCTCCGGTAATATGCGGTCCTGTCTTTGGTCCTCCTTCACACACCGCATTCTTCTCGATTCCCGCGAGCTTGTTCAGCTGATCTCTGTCTGATCCTGCGCAATGTCGAACAGTCAAAGTGATCCTTCCTTCCCCCTGGACCTGACGATGATGGGAAACGATGTTGCAAGAAAGGTATAAAGGACATCGCTGAGGACACAAGTGTAGGCACTCTTCTGCCAGTCATGTTTTCAAGCGTCAGAGTTTCAAGTTTGAATTCCAAGTTGCTCTGTATCTTAAATCTTCTCTTGGGACCATCGACAGCTGGTGCGTACCCGAGTGTCATCTCATCCCTGAAGGACTCGTCCGAGACTGACTCCTGATATGAGTTGCCCAATCGCTCAATTTCTCTGCATCCCAATGGCTTTGGATTACACCCGTCAACCAGCAATCGATCCAGGGAGCCTTCCGCAAAGACTTCAGTCCTCCGTTTGGTCGCTCCCTGATTGCAGCAGAGATCATCATCGCAACTGCAAGCACGGACATGAACTTATTCATGAACGGCCAACTTCTGGGTCCCGTTTCGCGACCGGATCTCTCGGACCAGTCTACAGCTTCCCACTTTTGTGTCGACACAGAGCCCAGCTCGAACGTATTTGCAATCAACTCAACCATGATCGATCACTTCACCACTCCAGGGTTCATCGCGACGATTCTGGTCACGTACGACAATCTCCGCACAGACATTCTCCTGAGCGATCCGTCCTGGCGCGCGTCTGTGACATCGCCCGATGGATGGCCCGAGCTGTCCTTTGACGACACGGCCTGGATCACCGCGTCCGCAGCGCCAGTGAACGTGCCCGCTACGAAACTTGCCTCCCTGCCTCTCTCGTTCGATGGATCCGTGTGGATCTGGAACCGGGCCGTTCTTGGAGGACCGATCCCATCCGGCCCGTGCTGGTTCCGGTCAACCTGGACACCGACGGTCGCGAACCAGTTGCCCGCCTCGGTCGACATCGCCGTCCTTGCCGTAGATCAGTACACGCTCATCGTCAACGGCGTCATCCTCGGCGGCGGGAGTAGCAACATCGTCGCCGATCACTGGGTCGTCCACTTCACCTCGCCCCCGCCCACAATCGTCTTTGCCGCTGTTGCGCAGAATAACGTGAACGGCGCCGCCGCCGGCTTCATCGCCACTGCGGTGATCACGATGCGCTCGACCGGCCGGGCAAACTGCACCGCCACGCTGGCGGTCCAGACGCAAGAGATCGGATGGAAAGCCACGTCGAATGCGAGTTTGGTGACGAGTGCCTGGTTCCAGATGGGGTTCGATGATTCCGCGTGGCCGGAAGCTGGAGACGAGGCGTCGTACGGAGAGAGTTTTTTGCGTCTGCCTGGAACGGTCAACATTGCTCCTGCCTCTCCAGCTGTCGTTATTCCATGATTTCGTCATCGAAAATAGTGTGTACTTTCTTCTTCGGGGATTGGCGTAGCGGATGCAGTTTTTTTTTGGCTATCTAGCTTGTATTTCGATGGCCTCGTTGGATTGAATGGAATGCCTTCCAGTTAAGTTGCAGGGGCTTACCTATCAATAGCCATTAAGTAGAACGAATTTCTCCGAGCATACCCTAATTTCTAGATCAGGCATGGCGGATGTGGGATCTTCGCCTTGACAACCAGCGCTTAGTTTGAGGCCCGCCACCCGTGCCGCGGCCGAAAGGCACCGTGTCACCCATCATTGATGTCTTTCAGCACCATGACTGCAACCGCGCGAATCGACCACCGAGCCCTTGATGCAGCAAGATCCTGCGCATACTTTCCCCATCACAAGTGTCCTTGAAGAGCCATCTCGTAGGCTGTTGCCAACAACGCGACACTCGTGATCGCGTTTGAACTGCTTCCAAGTCGGCCCATTGCTGAATCTCAGGGAAGACTGACGCGCTCCACGCAGGAAGCGAGCTCGCTCATTTGCGCTAAAACTTTCTTAAGCGGTTGCACTCCGTGTCCCCGATTGCATAGCGATCGAGAGTTATGCGGGTAAGTAGGCAGAGCTCGACCCAATCGGCGCATAACGACCTCACGTTTTTCAGCATCGAACTGTGAGGCAATTGGAGTAACACGCAATCAAATCCTTGGTTTCTAATCTTGAACTCCCGGAAATGAAAAGAACTCACTCCCACGCGGCAGCGTCAACGTACAGCAGCCACGTGAGGCTGCGACAGCTTTTTCAGGTTTGCGTTATTCACAAGCCAGAAGAACTCGATCAGGCTCGTGAGGGCTTGCTATTGAATACACTTGGCTTCGCAAACACCTCGGGGCGGAGGAAACTCTGCCGGACTGGTCAGGCAGGTCACCCTCCTCAGCTCGTGATTGCCCAGATTGTCCAGTTCTTGCTGCAGGAAGCTCTGGTCCTGCTCTCCAAACAGCAGAGATGACGCATCCTTGCCACAGATGGCCCGGTCGTGCCTCGAGACCCCGCATGCTACCGTCGTCGAGGACGTCATCTGGCCGCTGATCGCTGTTATTCCAGGTCCGGATGAGCTCAGAGGATGGAATCAGGCTCGGCACCTGACATGAAGGCTGAATTGGTGGCTTGATCCTGTGCAGGTGGAGTCTGGCGTCTGCTATTCCGCATCGGTGCTCAGCTCAGGGAAGGCTATTTAACCAGTGCACCACTCGCGTGTATGTCCCTCACAAGCAGCGATGACTTGGCTGTCCCTACTCCTCCTTACCGCTCTCCTTTGCATCTCTCCTCATGTTCGAGCACTGCCCAGTGTCCCAGAAGCCCGGCAAACGGACAGCAAACTTGTTTTCTGTCATTTCATGGTGGGTGTCATGACCCAGCTCCAGGATCGCAACCCAACCATCTGCAGATTGGCATCACGTCGGATCGCACGAGCTCCTCTGCATACGACGATGACATGCGACGCGCGAAGGCGCTGGGAATCGACGCGTTCGCGCTGAACATCGGGACCGACCCGTACACCGACCAGCAGCTCGGCTTCGCATACGCGTCGGCAGCGAACAACGGCATGAAGGTCTTCATCTCCTTCGACTTCAATTGGTGGTCGACGTCGCAGGGCTCTGCCGTGGGCGCTAAGATCGCGCAGTATGCGTCGCTCCCCGCACAGCTTTACGTCAACGGCCGCGTCTTTGCTTCGTCCTTCGCGGGAGACGGGATCGACATCGGTGCGCTCCGTGCTGCGGCGGGCCGCAACGTGTATTTCGCGCCGAATTTCCATCCCGGTCAGGGCGACTTCAACGCGGTCGACGGCGCGTTGAACTGGCTCGGCTGGGACAACAACGGCAACAACAAAGCACCCAGCGGTGGTGTCACGGTCACGGTCAACCAGGGAGATCACAACTACGCTTCGACCCTGGGTGGCAAGGGATATATCGCCCGTCAGTCGCCATCATTATTCTATGTTCTCACGGGCTCACTTACAGCAGCTGCATCTGCATGGTTCTCCACGCATTTTGGGCCCGAGGTGTCCTACAGCAAGAATTTTGTTTTCCCCAGCGATTTGTTGTGGTATCAGCGCTGGGTTCAGATTCTCGCTCTTAGACCCCAGTTTGTCGAGATTGTGACTTGGAATGAGTCAGTGGATTTTTTGGTTTTGCTTATGAATTGTCTCATCTCGCATAGTTATGGAGAATCTCACTACATCGGACCGCTTTCTTCGCCACACACGGACGATGGTGGCTCCAAGTGGGTCAACGATATGTGCGTCGGGGCTCATTATTCGTTCTTTCTGCAAGGTAATTGTTGATTTAGGCCACATGGCGGCTGGCTGGACATGGCCAAGCCATTCATAGCCGCTTTCAAAGCTGGTGCTTCATCTCCGAATGCTTTCATCACGAGCGACCAGATCATATACTGGTACCGCATTGCTCCCAAAAGCCTCAACTGCGATGCTACGGACACAACTATCCAATCAGCGAACAACGCTTCCGGAAACTACTTCCAGGGCCGTCCGAACGGTTTCAACTCCATGGCAGATGATGTGTTCGTCGTTCTGCTCCTCACCGCTCCAGGACGGGCCATCGTCAATTCGGGTGGGAAAGCGTATACATTTGATGCACCAGCGGGCGCCTCGGCATTCTCCGTCCCGTTCCACGTCGGGTCCCAAGCCTTCTCCCTCGAACGCGGGGGCGCTCAGATCCTCAGCGCGACCAGCCTCAAGTTGATCCAAAACACGTGCCCGTGCGGACTGTACAATTTCAACGCGTATGTCGGCACGGTCCCGGAAGGACCGCGGGACACTTTGCAGCCGGATGGACTGGCTGCATTTTCCAGCGGACTGAAGACTGGGTGCTCGCCGGTCCCTTCTCTGCCGGCGTACCCACCCGCGGTGACACCTGCCACGACCACGATGGCAGCCACTGCCGCTCCCACCTTGTCTCACTAAGCTGATGTACTTACCACTCGTTCTCGTGTAGCATTTATTTTGTAATTTGCTCATGCTTGTAGCCAGTTCGTCAGCCCGTGATATCACGTGTTCAAATCGTTTTGCCCAAAATATCACAGCGTCCTATACTACAGCCAGACCCAACCACAGTCTTTTTGTCTCCGAAATTCACTTACAACATTGAAAGCCACGTGCATCGTTAGTAGACTGCGACACACAGGCTGCTCGCGACGCGCCGTGGGCCGCCGGGCCGCCCGCCTCAGATGGTCACGCTGGTCGGAATCATTTGACTGACGCTTCGAATTCTCTGACGCTGTATAAGGGAGACCCATGACCGAATAAACACGACTTTCCCCGACAATGTATGTCATTACCTTTCTCCTCATCGGAACCTACGCTCTCCATGGCGCACATGCACAGTCGGCGCCCACGAAAACCTTTCCCATTCTCCTGAACTCGACTTCGACGCTCACTTTGGCCGTGCAGCCCTCCTGCGGCTCATTGAAGACTGCGAACTTCACCGAAGTCAACACGGGGATCCAGCTGGGCAAGATCAAGACCGTAGTCAGTTTCGGGGATTCGTGGACGTCGACGGGAGGTGACTGCGCCCAGTCCATGACTCCGGAAAGCTGCGGTCTCACTCAGATCCAAAACAGCGAACGGCACCGTTCCTCTACCACCTATCCTCCATCCACCTCTCCCGTCTGCAGGAGCTGCGAACTCCGAGAACAGGCGCGCCACGAACGGATATATGTGGACTGAACGGTTGGCGGCTGACTTCAACGCCAAGTTGCTGGATGTGTGTTCTTTTTTTGTCGGAGATGAAATGGTTATAGAAAACACCTAGTATTCTTGGGGTGGAGCTGTGATCGACAACTTTGCGTACAACACGACCAGCCCCGCAAACGCCACGGGCAAGCCACGATCTGATTTCGTGGCGCAGATGGGGCTGTTCCAGCTGCAGGGCCGATATCTCGACGCGCTTGCACCGAGTTCCACACTTTATACCGTTGCGTTTGGGATCAAGTGAGTGCTGTGAAGTGCCTCGAACACGTGTGATGCTCAATCTATTTTCCCAGCGACAATGGACAGTACGGCCTGGGTTTGTTCCCATGCGTAAATCTGCCAGCTTCTATGATACTTACGGTTTCCCAGGGGGAGGTGATATCGAGACTGCGATCAATACATACGTTTGTTTCATCCCTTCCCTCTGATCATCCTCCCGCTGCAACTGAGTCTTCTGTGCAGATCCAAAAACTGTCGATCTTGCAATCTCAGTTCAAGGCAACCAACATTCTGATCCACGGGATGTACACGTCGCATTCGGAGACAGACCACCTCCAGAGCCGGATCTTCGAATATCTCGTCGCCTCGCACCTGACCAACGGCACGAATTTCGCGTTCGTCAATCTCCAGAGGCTGTTCTCGACGATCGCGGCACAGCCCGCGGCGTTCGGATACATCGGGAACGCGACGTGCTTGGTCAGCGCAAACACTATTGTGGGGGGATGTGCAGATCCAGACACGAGCGTGTTTTACATTCGTGAGTTCCCGGACTTGGGTGCCACCCGGGTAATTGCTGACTGAGTTTTGCTTACCAGCTGGTCATCCGTCGATGATGACTCACGGGTTGATCAATGACTACACGCAGGCGGTTGTGGACGGATGTGTCCTTAGCAGTGGATAATGGCAGTCAGCTGCCAGTTAGCAAGAGCAACTGCCTTGTGATAATCATGCTAGCCGCTGAAAAAAATAACAAGTACTCGAACAAGTGGTTGGATGTGTGAATGACTGGTAGCTTTCTGGCTGTATTACTTCCGACGATTGAATCTAGGTGCAGTTCTCCGCCCAGTTCGCAGCCGCATGTTTCCAGAACATGACATCGGTCTGGACTCGGGACGTCCCAATTTGACACCCCCGCTGGCGACTTGCGTCTCCCCTCCTCGATACAGATACCGTTTCGTCGCCGCCTCCATTTCAGAAGACTCGTGGTGCGGGAGACAAACAGCGGGGAGCTTAAGCCGCTGGTGGTTCACCACTCGACGAGAAGCGGGAGTGGAACTGCGACCCGGTTGATGTTCATCAGAATGCCGAGAAGATGCATTTGGGCAAGAGGTGATGGTGGCCCGTGATGGTAATGAGACAGAGGAGACGGAGTAAGACGACGTCGTTGATAGACGGTCCCAGTCTGGGTCTGATGAAGGAGAGCCTGCCCGAGAGAAGCCGCTCGAGTCCGAGTCGGCGCTGGAGGAGGCCGGCGATTCAGCCCATCGCCGGTCCCAGCTGGGGGTCGAAGGAGGGCAGTATTTCTGATGTAGCTGGGTGGAGGGTCCTGCTGCTGTTGGGGCTGACGCATAAGGTAAATGCTCTTGCGAGTGGCGAGCGCGCGCCGAATCCAGCGTGGCGCGAAGCGAGGAGATGGAGATTCGCTGGCTGGTGCCGCCGGGAAGACGTGTAGGGAGCATTTGGACGGTGAAGGGTGCGATGGCAAGTGAGGGCGGAAAGTAAGCAAGCAGACGAGCAGACGAGGCTTTATTAACATAAAAATAGAAAAGCTAGCCCGAGCCCAGGAGTCTTCGCCCGCCGTGACGCGAGTCTAGGCCGTTCGCGTCCGATCTGCCACAACGAGAGCGAAGAGGATGATCATGCATGGACCGTAGGATCACACTCGCGCTCGGAGAGTTTCAATCCCTCAGAGTTCGATCAACGGAGAGTGGCCAGAACTGTAGCGTCGGGGACCTGGAGCTTCTTATGTCAGACATAATCATGGTTAAGGAGAAAAACCGGGTGAAAGCGTAACTATCCGCCCTGTCACAGTGAATGATGTGACTGATACAGTGCCGTGTCAATAATTCGTCCCGACTCCCGACTCCCGACCGCTGGCATGGCCGCTGCTCCCCCTCTCTTCTCTACGCTGGCTCTTCATGAACGCGCCTTCTTGATTCTGGCCCCAACAAGCATGGCATACGGCGACTTGGCGGACTCCGATTGCGACGACAACATCTCCATTGGACCGCAAGAGCTTTTCGGCCCGGGCGTCCCTCGCTGGTCCACTGAGAACGGCAACTGGGAATCGTCCTTGCGCGAATTCGCCCTGTTCTGACTGCTAGGTGCCTTGACGTAGAAGACCTCGTCTCGTTCCATGCCTCTTGTTTGCTAAAAGGTGCACTACTGCAATCGCGAACTTAGAGCTCATTCTCATGATGGCTTTCAGCATACGATTATGGATTTACATTCACAGGGGCTCCGAGGAGCACTGGGCAGTTGTTTCGCTTGAGGTCCGACTCTCCCCATGCATTTCATGCCAACTCAATTTGCTTCTTCTGACGCCGCACTCAGCTCGCTTCTGGCTCTCTTCCCTTCCGGGACACGTAAAATGGGTGAGCATTGGGTACATAAGGACGTGCTGTGTCACTCTCGTCGACTCGCCTTGCGGTTCTTCTTCTCCCCCACCCTCGTTTGTCTTCGCTGCCCCGACTTTACAATGTTCTCCACAACGAAAACCAGGTTTGTGCCTGCGTTCTTCTCTTTGGTGGCCCAGTAGTAGCTGATACGTCCACGCCTAGCTCTGCCTTGCTCGCATTTGTTGCCTCTGCGGTCGCCGTCTCCAATCTGCAAGCACCTACGTCCGTTCAGCCGGGTCAGAGCGTCACCGTGACTTGGTCCTCCGACAGCACGGATACGTGGGTCCAAGCTTACGATTGCCTATTAGTCGACTCATCTGCCTCAGCCAGCCTGCTGTTCTCATCATGTACAGCAAGAAGACCTACGTGAGTAACTTGTCGCGTCAGAATACGGTCACCGAGCGTTTTTAAGAGCGGAGCATTCGCTCTGGCTGACGACATTGATCTTCAAAAGAACAGTCTGACAGTTGATCTGCCCCAGGTCTACACTGGGTCTGTATACTCAGTTGTGCGCGCCGATTTGGCTCAGCTCTGACGCCTTTCCACAGCGACAACTTCACTTTCGAAATCGTCAACAAAAACGACCAGAGCAAAGTTCTTGCCCAAAGTAACGCGTTCTCCGTGGGCGGAACCCCCGTGGCATCGACCATGTCCGCTACTAGCACCGCAAGCCCGACTGCGACGGCCTCCGCTTCTGCTTCCGCCAAGCATGCTTCATCTGGCACTCATTCCGCGAGTGCCACGAAGACGATGTCAGGGTCTATGACTCACAGCGGGTGAGTGTCAACTCGTGCTTCCAATCCATCCCTCTGACTGCGGGCAGGTCGATGACGGCCTCGGCCCATCCGACGTCGTCTTCTGCGACCTTCCCGTCGGGCACCTTCTCACTCGTCTCGTCTCTCGCGTCCACGATATCAATGGAGAGCTCCGCGGCTGTGGCCGCGTTCTCCTCCGCCACCTCCATGATCGCATCCTCCGCCTCGGCCGAGTTGTCCCACATCGCTGCCTCGGCCTCGGCCTCTTCGAAGAACTCCGCGCCGCACGGTACCAAGCATGTTTCGCGTTCTGCTGTGGCCCTCGTGGCTGGTGGCTTGTTGATTGGCGCCCTTATGGGGCTGGCTTGAGTTTTTCTGTATCGGTGCTGGCTCGGGCATCGACAGCGGTGATTGGCTGTGGTCTGTCTTTGTCAGATATGAACTTTGTGTCTGCGATGTGTGCCGCGAAGGGCGGAAGGAACACTGTTTATTATGAACTGACGAAGTAACTTACCTACCCTTCAAGCTTGCTACGTACCTACTCTCGTTTCGATCCTCCATGCTGTTTGTTTGTTAATACCCACTTATCTCGTACGATGCTCGGACTCTTCACCTCGGGAGGCCCTGGCTGATTATCGCACGCGCACCTGCCTTCGGTCCGGTTCATCGCAAGTACGATGACCCCAGCCTTTGAGAAAAAACATCCCCAGAAGGAGCCAGGAGGTACAGCGCCGAGACAGGCCGGTTCTTCCCCGGATGATAAGCATTTCGAGAACCAGCTCCGTTTGATTGTTCAACTCGAAAAGCACGTACAACAAAAACATGACTACAAAGGTTTACAGTGTCCGTCCATACGATATATACTTTTAAATACACGATGCAAAGGTCGAAAGCACGAAAGAGAGAAAAAAAGATCGGGTGGGAACCCGGAGAAATTGATGAAAGCGGGACAGAACCCTTCTCCATCAGGCGAGTGGTATCTGGTCCGGCCCTCTATTGTTGGGGATCATCCCCGCGAGAGTGGGGTCGGCTGGCCTGGTAGTCCTGTCTCGAAGCAGGCCGGGAGGCAGATAGGCTCTCCACCGGCGGCATGCGCGGGCTGGGAGCGGCGCTTGCGCGGGCCGGAGGGGTGCTTACTGCCGCGCTGGGCGCGGGCGCCGGAGCGGACACGGACGTGGCTGGGGCAGGGAGGGGCAGTGTCGGGCGGGGCGGAGACTGCTTGACCAAGCTAGAAGCAGCAAGCGATCCACGGCGGTGGGGGAACTGCTCAGGCCGCGGACGCGCGTGAGTTCTTTCGAACAAGCCGCATTTGTTGCACAACTGAACGAACGAACATATTGACCCCATCAGAGTCCGATCGCGACTGATCGAGCAAAATCTGACTTACGACTTTACCGGGGCTGAGGTTGGATCGCCGCCAGGTGCTGGTCTCGGTTGTCGTGCAGTTAAAGCAGCGGCGCCGGACGCGGTCTGTGACGCGCGTAGCGGCGTCGTCGGTGAGCATGACCTGTGCAGCCGGGATCGCGGCGGTGGCGGCGGTGGGCCCAGAGAGCGACACAGGATATGGCACATAACGTGCATATTGACTGTGGTAGGAATGCGACACGTGCGAGTGGGCGCTGCCAGTCGGAGCCGCGTCGTACCGGGGATCGGTGTGTGATTGCTGCGGCGGTGGCGGGGGAGCGTAGACGTAGCCGCTTTGTGAACTGTATTCGCTGCGAGGCATGGGGAAGGAGGTAAGGTCGGAGCGAAAGAGCAAAGCGGTGGATGAAGTGAGTGACCCGTTGACTCCGTTCTGATTGCTTCCTGGGCGGTATTTATCAGAGCACGCGGCTCACTAGTGACTGTGGGCGTACCAATGCTTTCCCAGCGCCTGTATTCATGCTCCGGTGCGGCCCAACACGGCCATCACGCTTCTCAGCCAATTGAAGTGCACAGAATCGTCCGGCTATGCCTGATGCTGTGGACCGTGGGCAGATTTTACGGTCTCTGCTGTTCATTGATAATCTGTCCGACCTGTCCATCCATCATCCCGCGTTCATCAAACAAAGACAGCGCCTTAGGGCAATCTCCCATAACGGAATCCCATCCTTATTTTTCGCATGCGGCCAACTCATAGGCGCGCAGAGATGTGCTCCGAGTTTCTGTTCTAGGAGGCATGTGTGCAAGACGCGCCTGTTTCTCCGCCGATGGTACCCCATGACGGGTACTATCAGCGTTCTGATCATCGAAAGCGTAAGAAATCTCTTTGACCATCGCTGTGGCTGGGCCCCGGAACGGAATCCCATCTGGTTTCCAGATCAGACGGAGCCTTCTCTTCCATTCACTCGGTACTTTGGCTGCCATGAATGGGCGACCGTATTTGTTTTAGATTGGCGCCAGTCCACGAGCTCGCCCATCCATAGCCTCCCCCTGCGTGCATCAACCGATTTGACAGTCTCTGCTATATCCAACCTGCCGTTGCTGAGGGGAGTCCATTCCCAGCTTGACTGATGCCATCACGGCCTTGGACGGTTCCCCGCATCGCTCAATCACGCGTGTTGTGAATCCGCATGGCTTCCAAGGGGCTTCAACTTAAATACGCGCTGACCTGCGGACATCGACAATCGCTCCCTAAGTGACAGCGGCCAGGGACTGATTGCGACATAACTGACCCTTGGAATGTGCTCGTTATCATGTAAACCGATCCGGAAAGCCTCTGCCCGCGGTCCCATTTCTGTTTAGGACTTTTTCCCACGCGATCTTCCAACGTTCTACGATCTCCGAGAAAACACATGATGTGATCAGATAGATGTCCGAGACCACTTGTATCTTGAAAATCCCTGCTACCATCAGAAATCGTGCGGCTGATGCAAATTGGGTGGGTGGTACCAGGTGGTACCGCGAGAGAGAGAGCGAGATCTCCCATACGAAACGAATCCGGAGATGCCCTCGATTCTCCCGAAAACGCGGATCATTCGTGTGGCGCGGGAAACAAAGTGGAACAGCTGATACCTGATTCCCTATCGTGAAACCGGTTCAGTTCGGACCCGGAATGTCTTGTGGACGGGACCTTCGTACAAGGTGTTCTCACCGAGAGTAGCCTCTCGGAGGACCGATGGGCTGGCTGCCACTGCTGACTAGCCGACGTCGTTTTATTTTCGGACGTTCACAATTGAATCCTCCGAGCAGGTTACGATATTGACTGCAGCGATAATATGACCGCATGCAACGGGGACGTACAAAGCTGCCACTGATACCTATCTCAACTGCATGCATAGCTTCAATCTGTGCCCTTCCCGAGGACCTAAACCGGGCAGAGATCCGTTGCAGATCCCTAGCTCCTAAACTTCAAACATGATTGAGCCTGGAGTGCTGTGCAGAATGATTGATTGATCCTACCATCTCAACGACGGTTGATTCCTCGCATAGATAAAAACGGAGCCCTTCTTGCATTGCACATTTGACATGCAAGCAATCCCATTGAGTGGAGGTCGTTATATTTGCCACTCCTCAGCGACTACTCGCTCGCTTTGCGCCATGCCAACAAATGACAGCATAAGTCTCAATCTTGGAAGCACAATTCATTAAGACGTGGGTCAGCATCCTGAATGGAAGCGCACGGTAACTCTCAGATGCGCATGGTATCCAGAGGGTTGCTGGCGACTTGGAAATACGACCACTCGACTCGGAACAAGGTTGTCATTGCAAAAGGCTCTAGATCTCCAACTCTGGATCCGAGCAATAAGTCGAGTGTCGAACTGTTGTTGGATTCGGTCTCATGAGAGGTTCAATACTTGACTTGGAGCTCTCCGCTGTCTCACAGACTCGCGAATCACATTCGATTTCAACTCTCGTGATTTCTTGTGGTTCCAGTAGTTACATAAGTAACTCGATAATTAACCTTCGAAAAACTGCCGCTGGCCGTTCCGCATTCGGTCTGATGCACAGAAAAGCATGAGCCACCCTTTGATTCTTTCTTTTATTCAGAAGGACCGGTATAATCTTGGTCGATTTTGAGCGCATGCTTTCTCATTCGAGCTCGAAATAAGAGTGTTTCTCATTCTCAGCGCTGTGTGCATGTCAATCTTGATTACGTCACCGGATCATCGGAGCTCCAAATGATATCACCCGAAAAACAGGGAGCCACGGCCTTGCCTCACCTCGTCGTCGCCCACAATCCCGCCACCCCCTCCCTCCCCTCCCTCCCCACTTCTCTCGACGCCCTTCCTCTTCTGGGTCTGAAAGCGAAGATGTTCATCCTCCCCGCTCAAGCTCTCCCCTTCGTGGATATCTCCCTGCCTACCTCGGCGAGCACCACATGGCGTGTGGGCGGATTGAGCTTCAGCCTAAGCTACACTCGGCTCCTGCTCATCCTCCTCACCAACATCGTATTCGTCTCACTCGTTCGCTCCGCCATACTATCGCGGAAACGGACACCCATCGCCGTGGCTGTTATCGAGAAGGCGGAGCAGGCCGTAGTTTTGCCGGAGGCGAAGCGAGCTGGGTCTGCGCCTGTAAACATTGGCGATTCTGTCCCGGCGTCGCCGCGCAAGTGGTCCAGGCTCTTTTCCTTCAAGTCGATGGCTATGCCCACTCTCGCTGAGGCGCTCCCGATAACGCTTAACCCGCCTCCCCCACCCGTTATGCGGGGTGGCCATGTCTACCGCGGTGGCCGTGGTGTTGGATTTGCCTCGCGGAGATCTGGCTCAGAAGCCTCGCGGTCGCGAGCTGATGCTTCCAGTGCGTTTTGTCCTTCTTTGTCCTCATCAACAACGGGCGCTGACGCACATTTATCCTTGTCTTGCAGTGACCGCTGTTTACGACTCTGAGACGCCTGTTTCGATGGCGCAGATGATCATGAGTCGGCATGTTAGTCCTCCCATCCACTCTTTCCTTCGTTCGCCGCTTATCGTCATGGGCAGACGTATCGCCGCCCTGCCAGCCCTAGCCCGCGACGACTGGCTCCTTCGTCCCTGAATGTATCACGCCAGGCATCTGTCCCAGACTTGATGCCTTCGCCCTCGGCATCCTCCGTCTAAGAGAGCCCCCGCGGGTTGCATGGGCCTGCAGAGCCCGAGATGATGAGCCACGATGATGTTGATGAGAAGAAGATGACCCCGACGGACGACGACGTTTGCTATCTATCGCTATCTATTCAGCGTGCGGTCCTTCGACCGTGCCTGCTGAGCTGTTTGTTATACCCATTCTACCTGCCCACGACGCACACACTTGCTACCTTTGCGCTCAGCTTTATACCACCAACCTAACTAACCTCTTACGCTACAACCCGGACTATATCTTTTCGCACAGACTCTTAGACGACGTTGGATCTCGTGTTTCCTGTAACATATTTGCTATTACATTCGCTTCGTTCGCCACTTGTAGCTGCCAGCTACTTGTCATATTTATTGTGTGCCATCCGGCTGTCGACCAAGATGGCATCCATGGAATCATCAACCCATTATTCAGTCGGTGCGAGTTCTACCGCGGTGACGCAGGGCAATTGGTCGCTAAGCGGAAACAAATTCGCAAGCCTTGGGGTTAGGACATCCGGAGACCGAGGACAAGGCAGAGCCGATCCGGGCACTCGGACACCAGTTTCGACAATTGCAAGGGCATCGCCTAGGTGCAGTGGGTATCCTCCGACGGGATGAGGCCGCTTGTGGAATTCGGCATCGAGAACAGCCGAGTGGCTGGAAAGTCGATCTCCAGAATAGTGCACGGCGTCGGTCGAAGCGGGCGGCCTGAGCGAAACATCGCAGCGGGCCCGAGTAAATCCTGGCATCTGTTCTCGCGGAGGGCCCATTGGTTGTCGAGCTGGCGAGGATGGGTGACGATCGTGGAGGATGCGATGTGTCCTCGCCGGTGTATCAACCGTGCTCCATTCACATTCCACATATTGAACCTCGCCGAGCGCGAGGACGGGTCTATGCTTGGACTTCTGCTTCAGTTTCTGTGCAGGCTTCTTGCCGAAACGAGTAGTCTTCCCCCACGAGGGGAGGTCCTTTCTGCGCCACTTCGGCGTCGAGTCGAAAGCGGGGATGAGCTCGGTGCAATCTGCGGTCATTGTTTCCTGCGAGGAGCGGGACTCGGGGATACAAAGGAGGATTCGAATGAGATGACAGAACCCATTCTCAAGCGTCCGCTTATATACCCGCCGTCGACACAAAGCTCTGGTCCATGCGTGCAGGCCCCATTCGCCAAACATTCGATCCAGGCATAGCCAGAAGAACCAGGCGGACAGGCCTGTCAGTTTCAGACATTTTATGGCATCCGTCGTTCCGCCTTGTTCTTCGAGTGTCCTTGTCAAGGTTCTTGTTGTCGTTGGGGATGTCCACGACGTGGGCGTCGTCACCGTGACGGCAGCAGTCCAATTTGGAGAGACACAGAAAGGTATCGTTTCTGGCTAGTGGCAGAGCTTCAAAAGCGCATAAAGAACTGAGTATCCGAGATGCCCCGCTTGAACGGCCGAGAGTCACTGTCGACAAAGCTGAGAGTTGCTCGCAGCTGATATGAAGCGGATTGGACGGATGATGATTCGGTACTTGTCACGTGCAACTCAGTTTACGCGCCTACACTAATTCGGGCCAAGATTTGCTCCTTGACAATTTTCGAGAAAATGAGGCTTCCCAAAGGGAAAAAGAAATGTAGCGCTCTTATGGATGAGAATCAAGAGTCAAATCAGTCGTCTCTGATTAGATTGTGCAACACCGAAAATGAAAGAATTGTTCTTCACATCTCTTGTTTCTACCCAGTTGAGAGAGAGATGGCTTCTTGAATAGAAGGAGACATGTAAAAAAGCACCTACATCCTCATCTTCGGAGTATCTCTCAATTTACTCCTACCCATCTTCTTGAGAAGAAAATCGTGCTCAAACAGAATAGTAAACGTGCAAGCGACGCGTGAGGTTCAGTTCACTGAGGCAGATATACTCTGAGATGGCAGAAAAAGTGTGTACGTAGTTTATTGTATCCGCTCTTCTAATGCTATTTGATCAGAATCCGCTCGGGGGAAATGAGCTCGGGAGCAATGTGAACGGTGAAAAACACCGCACAGTAACCGGTGACGTGCGTGTTTTCCGTCCAGGCGTCATTGAAGTAAGTCAAGAACACCCGGTGAGCAGAAAATTGTCGTCGTCTCCTGGCGGCATGCTCGCAGTGTTGGCCCCGGCTCTGGTGTCGAGCTCTGGATCGCGCAAATTGAGCATCAGGTGGGACTTCATGAAGGAGGATATTCTGGTCAATAATTCGAGAAGTTGAGAAACGATACACTTACTTACGTGCTGATCAAAATGGCCTGGACGCGTCGAGCGAAGATCTGTGAATCTCAAGTGAGAAAGTAGGTCTATGACAGTCGCGCGCATACAGACCTTTCCGATCTGTTCAGAACGTTGAAAATAAGCTCATATTCCGGTTTGGGTCGGAGTCATGCTCGGAGACTTGAGAGGAAGGTAAGAATGTTTCCGAAATTGATCACGACTACCACACGGCAGTGGTGTTGAGCGTCAGCAGAATGCACGACAGCTTTGCTTACCTGCAGTATACATATACTGTAGTTCCTAGGTCAAAATTGGCGTGAGTACTACATAGTATCAACAGGCGTGAAATTAGTGACGAGACGCGCCATCCCTGGGCAAGTAGAGACAGAATGCGTTCATCGCGTTCGTTGAATGAGCATGGCTTGATAGAATCGAATCACAACGCTTAGCTTGGCGCATCCGAAAGAAGGGGACCGACGCGCGCGCACCGCCGATCGGAATTTGGATGATCACCGCGAAGTACTCGTGGTCAGCCAGCGCTGTGTCGCACTGCTCATGGTCGGCCGAACTCAGCTGCTTTTCTGCCTTGTGACTGACTTACATCTGGGAAGCCGAGTCGTCTGCAATTCACAGCACGCGACCACGACTTTCCTCTCGGAGCTCTTGGCTTCCCCGAAGTTCTGCACGACCACGGGGGCGATTCCCAACTGGGTGATTCAGCGGTTCAGGAAGAAGAGGGCGCTGGGCGCCGAGGACTTCGACCACCAGTCCCGGCTGAGATCCCATTCCAGCGTGAGGTAATAGTCTTAAAACAAGCGATGCAGGCATCGTGGTGAGTACTAGACATGGTGCTGAAAGGCCCAAGGAAAAAGGGACTGAAAGCTAAATCGCTGCTGCGGTAGTTCTAGTTCCTGCGGGACGCCGGCTCGGGTAGGATGTGAACCATGCGTTGGGTTGGAACCCAGAGGTGCTTCCGGACCTCAGCACCCATCGGGTGCGAGAAACCATTAGGGAGAAGGAGAAGTAAGAACGTGATGACCAGGTTCACTGCAGCGATACAAGGAGCGACATTGCCAAGTGGTCGTATGTTCAGGAGACTCTCTCGGGAAGAAGCTTGACCGGATTCGGGCCCGGTTGATCGGCTAGGAATAGCCTAGGCCGCCGTGGATCCGCACTGATCAGGACTGTTAGAATTCATGGGGGTCAATTCACGGCAAATTCTCTGTAGAATGTCTCTCTTCACAAGGCTGTTGTTCACGGAGAACAGATTCCCATAAGTATTGGTTGCTGCAAAGTTTGTGGTACACCAAGGTATCTTCAATAGGTACAGAATGAACTTGGACAAGAATTTCTGCAAGGCTCGAATGTCCTTTTTGAAAGTGACAGATCAGGGTCGTCCTCCAATCTGCTACTTCGCGCTGACGATCAACACACTGGCGCTCAACGGCGGGGTATTGTACGTGATCGTCTTGCCGGCGGTGAACGTGATGCTCTTCGGCACGGCGGCGTTCGGGCTCGAGGGCGTGTTCATCGTTCCCGCTGCGGCGGTGAGGATGGACCCGGTCCCGGCGGTCGACAATATGGTGATGCTCGATGGAAGCGTGAACACGATCGTGTTGGTGCTCGTGCCGGTGTTGATGGCCTAGATGAGATGAGATTAGATGAGATGCCGGGAGATCGCTTGTGGTCGTCGGATGATGAATCACCTTGAGGAACAGCTGGTTCCCAGATGTGTTTTTCGTGACACTCCATTGGACGGGGCTTGATGCTGCGTTGGTGGTCGAGTTGAGATAGGTGTCACCCTTGTAGACGCCGAACATCTGCAGGGGACAGTTCGGTCACATACTTCGAGGATCAAGACCGTGAACGAACCTGCTGAACGTAGTACGAGGTGGAGAGAATCAGAGAGTTAGGCCTGTGAAATATATGAGCTGGAGCCCCTGGGATGAACGCGAAGCTTACGTGAAGGTGACCAGATTGGGTGTCTACGGGACTTGATTCAGTGCCCAAAGCGGATCGAACTTGTTATCACCCGGACTCACCCATTGAGTGCTCGACACGTGCTAAGGATCAATCAGTCACATGTCCCTACAGTCATGTGGAAACAAACTCACGTTGAGCAATGGAGCGTAGGACGCAGCGAAAACGATATCACTGTTACGGTCGAAGCCAGCCATGTAAGCAGCTTCGGCGATAGATCCTACAGCCCAAATCTGAGGATCCTGGTGCAAAAAGTAATGGGGATACCGTACCGTCAATGAACGGATACGCGATACGCGATCCCGAGTTGGTCGTCGTCGTCGCATATTCACCCTGCCAATCATATGACTAAACTGGGACAAGTGATGATCAAAAGCGTACACACCTGGAAGAACTGCAGCCCGTTGCGGGGGAGGATATCAAAGTTGTATGCTCCATTCGTAAAGAAGTCTGCGTCCTCAGTGAGCAGAATGTTCGTAAGAAGACGGACCCGGACGCACTGGGGTTGGAGTAGATGTGCAGATCCCAGAACTTGGGTGCGGGGCCGGTGACCGAGGGGACGAATCCACTGGTCGCGCTGGTCGCGATGAATTCTGATCGTTCGATAAGATAACAGATCGAGATTTGATGACAACACGGGCATACTGAGTTGGGGGAACTGGGCGTTGAGCGCGGTGTAGAAGGCGGACCAGCGGTAGCTGTCGTAGCTGGATGTCGCGAAGAAGTCTTCGTTGCCGATCTCAATGTACGTCAGCGCGAAGGGCGCAGAGTGGCCCATGCTCGCACGGATGGCGGCTGGAGGGAGTGAGCACGACTTGGAAGAACAGAAAAATGATGGTGCGTACCGTATTGATTGGTTGATGCATCTCCGATGGCAAACTCGATCTGGGCTACGGTGAGTTTGTGTCAAGATCGAAAATACAAGCGAGCGAACTTGGTTGATAGCATCCTGGATGTACGGGCCGAGAGCTGATTGAGCCTGAGACGTGCCGTCCAGAGAATAGCCTGTACCAAATTGAACACCAAAGACTATGAGATGAGAGTCAAGTAAGCACATACCAGCCCAAACGGCCATGATAGGCTCCATGTTCATGTCTTCAATCCATTGGAGGTATTCGTAGAGACCGAGACCGTCGGTGTTGATATATCCCTGGTAGGTACGATCAACACAACACTACGCAAGCAGAAGCAAAGATAGCCCACCCAATCTCCTTGTCGTCCGGGCCGGCTCACGAGGCTACCGACAGTGTTGCTCCAGAGCCACCGGCTTGCCGCAGTCTGGCCTTCGAGATCTGCGAAGCGGGTGGCCAACTCAGATCGCGTGATCCGACGCAAAAAAGAATGCACACGCACTGTTGCCACCAGGGAAGCGGAAGAACCCGGGGTTCATCGCGAGCAGCGCGTTGCTGATGTCCAGTCGCATTCCATTGATCCGGTTCTTGAACGTGGGCGGGAAGCACGTGAGCATCGCGAACTGCACAGACCCTCCTCCGCTCGTCACCAGCGATCCGGGCAGCTGCACGAAGAACAGGTTGGCGGTCCCGCTCGGGGTGGAAGTCGGCGTGAACCGGAACGTGATCTGCTGCCAGCTCGAGGAGGACGTGAACGCGTAGCTCGCGGCGGCGACGGCGGTGCCGGCGGAGTTGAGCATCCCCACAGTGAAGTCACCTGACACGGCTTGGCTGGGCGCCGAGGGGAATCGGAAGTAGAACGATCCGTGATACGTCCAGTTGCTCTGTACATTGATGCCTGTGATTTGGCGAACGTCAGTCCCCAACGAGGGATGTGAGTGCGGAGGGACTCACCGAAGTAGCCCGAGTTGGTGATTCCGACAGTGGAGGTGGTGCCTGCAGTGAGCGACAGAGCGTTCGGAAGCGCACTCGAAACGGGCACGTTCGCTGCCACGACAGCGATGTGCGAGTTGCTGTTGAGCCCAGCCCACGCTGTGAGCGACGCACTCGTCCCTGGTGTGACCTTCTGGAAAGCGCGGTTTTGGAGCAGTTCGCCGTATAAGCCACCGTCTCCGCTCTGTGTTGAACATCAGAAACCGTCAGCGACAGAGACCACAGATGGCACTTACATGCTGTAATAACATCGGCATCCGAATGAACTAGAAATTAAGGAACGCACGTTGATATCCTGTTCGCAGTTTCCGTAAGCGTCCCCTGGATGAAAGACAAAGGCAGTGATATACCTCGTACATCATGCCATACAGCGTTTTGGGGACAGCATGCCCCGAGGTTCCAACAGCGACATTGAAGGTCGCCGAATGGACGCCTTGAAAGGAGGCACAGGCCAGTAGCAGAGGAAGAATCGTTTGAAACATGGGGCCAGAGACACTCCATGTTGCACCACTGTTCGTCGTTATAAACAGGATCCTACGAAGCCCAACCAATGTCGCGTGAGCAACGAGAGAAGCACCCGCCCCCAGTCAGCTGTACGGGCTGCGGGATAATCATCTCGGGGGATCTTCCGTGGTTGAGGCGCACGTTGTTGCTTGCGGAGCAGAAAATGGGTCCAGTCGGAATTGAATGGTCTGCAGCGGGCGCGGAAATTGTGCCTTGGTAAGGGAGATCGATTAGAACAACAAGAGCACAGCAGCAGGCGGTCGCGGTTTTTGCAATGGACGACAAGGACACATTTTCGGAAGCGACTTTCTTCTCTGCACGAATCACCAAGTGATGCACATTGCATGAGACAAAGGCAGGTCAGATGTGTCGATTTGCACGCGTTGTCGGTATTCCGGATCTAGGCCGGGCCGGAGGGTTACCCCAAATAGCCACCGGGATCAAAACATCTAGAGAGAGCCACAGATTGAATCTTATGTACGTAAAGTACTACAAGGCAAGGACAGACCAGACAGCGAGGCATATCAACGATAACAAGACAAGATACAAAGAGACACACGCTATAGAAACAATTTATGCATGGCTAGTAAGCACTGTTATTCTCCGTCGCCCTCGGCATCCTCGTCATCACCCTCGGCCGCCGGCTTCGGCTCGCCCGCTGGCGCCGCTTTGACCGGTTCTGGGGGAGCAGGGGCAGATTCGGCTGCAGGAGCAGGAGGCGGCGGCGGAGCCTGGGTTGGGGTAGCCGATGTTGACGTGTACATCGGAGCTGGATAGTGCCCTCCGGGCGGAGCTGAGATCGATCCAGGGGGTCCCTGAGCATAGGTCACTGGAGCATAGGGAGCCTGCATGACATGTCAACAAGAGTGCACCAACAAGATTAGGCAAGTACTTACCCCGGGAGGAGGCGTCCGAGCGCGAAGAGTCGTCGAAGCGAGCGGGCCTCGTTTGTGAGGGAATTGCTCAGGACGAGGCCGGGAATGAGTACGCTCGAACAAGCCGCATTTGTTGCACAACTGCATCCGATCAGCGTCGATCAAGCTTCAAAATACGCGGACACAACGCACCACTTTGCCCGGATTCAGGTTGCTTCTTCTCCATGTGCTTGTATCCGTCGTGCAGCAATTGAAGCACCGTCTCCGAACGCGGTCGCTCAACTTCGTCGCCGCGTCGTCCGTGTGCACAATCTGCACAGCAGCACTCCCCGGTGGGCCAGGAGGAGCATTCGCTGGCGGTCCACCAGGCGCACCTGGCGGCGGCATCGCCGTCATCATGGGGTACGGCACGTAGCCGGGGTGGTGCATGAACGGGGGCGGTGGCGGCGGCGCGTACCCGGGGTGCCCGTGCGCTGCATACCGCGGGTCGTCCGGGTGGGGCGGGGGATGGTGGTAACCAGGCGGCGGCGGCGGCGCGTACATGTAGCCCTGAGGGTACCCCCGCGGCAGCTCGTAAGCAGGGTAGTGGTGGGGCGGCGGCGGTGCCGGGGCCGCTGAGGGCGGTGGGGGCGTGCGACGGCCCGGTACAGGAGGGGTGGGTGCTGCGGAGCGGTCAGCGCCGGGCGCAGGGGACCCTGGGCCTGCGGCTGAGGCAGCAGGGGCTGGAGCTGCTGCTGGTGGGGGTGTCCGGCCTTGACCTGAGGCTGGACGCTCGTGCGGCGATCGACGATGTTTCGCAGGCACGGTCGTGGGAGGCGGCGCGTATGCGTACGCGGGCTGGGGCTGGGCAGAGGCCGCAGTGGGAGGAGGGGCAGCTGCGGTGGACATCTTCACGTCTTCTTTGTCTTCGTTTGGCGTGGCACTGGTGGTTTCGCCCTTGAAGTTGTTGTACGCGGCGGGATCGATGTTGCTGCGCGTATCGGACGTTGGTGGCGATCGCGTTCGCACTTGCTCGTCCTCGATCTCCGGGCTGTGAAATCAGATGCGGAGGGAAGGGAATCAGTTGGGGGGATGTCTCCGTCTTTTATAACCAACCCACCTTCGCTGTGGTTGCTGATCCATGATGTGAGATCTGATGATGATGAATCAAAGGAGAGAGGCAGAGAAAATTTTCGGGCGCCGGTTTTTGAAGCCTGCACGTGTTGTGATGAGCTGGCTCGTACCGTTGTTCTGGGTCCATCGTGATCCCCATCAGGGAAATAGTTCCCATCGAGGTCCTCGGATCGGCGGCCATCACCGGGCGACGCGCACGCACGTTCTTATCGCAGCGGGAGTCGCGGAGAGTAAGCGGAGAATCTCCACACACGGGTCCTGGCCATCACGGCATTTGAGCCTGCAGTGACCTGCTGATGCGTGCTCAATTTGGCTTCATTTACTCACGCTCTCTGTCCTTGAGAGTGCTAAACTCCGTGAGCCCGCTCAAAACGAGCGAGCGAAGCGCCAAAGTATCTTCGCGTCCGCATGGCCGTCAGCGCCATGGACCGGTCCAGAACACGAAGAACTCTGCTATCGATCACATCTGATTGGTTGATGATCCCTATCGCTGGCATGCGCCAGCCCGATTCCCTTTCTGGGATGAGATCAGATTCGCTGATTGCGTCAATTGGTCCCGTCTGATTCGTTCGCTGGCTGACGTGGGAGCGCGAGATGCGCGGAGATGACTGGCTCATGCTCGGGCTGCGGTTCCGAGTGTCCCTACGTCCGAGCTAATCCACGCAAACTGGCCATGAGCCCTGGCACGAGGTGTGCTGTACCTTGCAGTGTTTGATGCAGCATAAAGCAAGCCGGCCGGAACTCCACATCATGATGATTCATCAGCCCGTGATTTCGCTTAGCCGCTTGGCATGCGGGGCCACAGTTCCCCCAAGATTCCCATCACCTGAACCCACCGAAGCCGCAGCCCGGATAATTCAGATCCGCTTTCCCGACCGGCATGCATTCATTTTTTCTCAACACGCACGGCATACTTGACGTTCCAGCTGCGATTCGAAGCAATTCCAAGACAAATACATTGATGAGCAGGCCGGTAAGCCGCCACTCTTTACATCTAGCAACCCGGCAATCCAGAAAGACCCGACCCGCAAGCGTTGGTATAGCTGTTGGCTTTGGTCCCCGAAAGCGAAACGCCTTTGAACTGGGAAATGCGTTTCGTAAATGTGTGACGAATGAGAATGGGAGAATGGCTCACCACAATGTTCTTGCAGGGGGTGGCCTTGTTGCAGTTGAGCAAGACTGCAGGGCGAGTGGGTGTGCCAGTTCCCTGCAAAGAAGTCAGAGACGTCGAATACAAGCAGGTTGTTGGGCGCACCGTGACTCCGTTGAAGGTGACGTCCGAAATCTGGAGCTTGCCTGTGTCCACGCCGTTGCCGGCCCAGAAGGCGCTGATGTCTAAAATAGACCTGTTAGCGCCGCAGAGCTCAGGTTACTTCCTGCACCTACACAGCGGGTATGCAGCCTTGCTCTGTAAACGGATGCTGTCAGAATCAAATGTCCTAAATAATCGATTGCGGCACGCACGAAGGTGAAGTGGTTGTAGGTGATGTTCTTGACGATCCCAATGTTGTCCGGGTAAGATTTGATCATGATGCCGGCGTCCGAGTTGGATACCGTCACGTTCGTGTATACGACATTTTGAACATTGACGGTAGTGTCTCCGCCGCCGAACGAGCCGATGTTGCACCCAGCGGTGTTGATGCATTGAATGTTCTCCGCGCGGAAACCCTGATGGGACGGTATCAGCGAATAAATTCGACGGGACGATATCGCGCGAGGCTGACGTTGGTTGGCGTTTTGACAGTGACACACTGGATTGATGAGTATTATGCCTCCTTTTAGAAGGTGATGTTTCCGCACCTCATCACCGTTCTGGACGCTGACGTCGTGCACGTAACTTGGACCTCGTCAGAAACAGAGTCGTCATCCCAATCAGGGATCCACATACTTGTTGTTTCCGCTGATATCATATCCATCCGTTTCACCTGAAGGGACGATCTAAACTCGTGTACTGAATGGCGGAGACCCTAGCCCTTACCGACAACGGTTGCTCGGATGGCCATGTTATGGACAAGATTGCTAAGTAACGGCGTCAGTCGGGACATTCATGAGACGCTTGCTCACACACTTGTCGCCGATAATGGTCACATGGAACTGGGGAGAGTCGAACAGCGTGATCTGGGTAAGCTCGACACTTGAGGACGAGAATCAGCCGCCGCCGACACATGCAACAGAGTTAAATACGCACTTGTTGCAGCTCTGGAACCGCAGGAGCCGAGGACGACCGGGGTGGAGGGTCAGCTACTCAACACGTAAGCCCCAATACGCTGTCGCCAAGCCACTCAACGCACGTCGTTGTTCGGGCGGTATCGCAATCCATTCCCGTAGATCGAGCCCGGTCCGTTGACGAGGATGTTGTTGCAGTTCTGGAGGAAGATAGCCACATGTCACGATCGTCCATGATATGAACCGTGGTTGTTTCACACACCTGCCACTGGAGCATGGTTCCGCCGAGGTTGGGGTCGTACGGCAAATACAAATTGCCCGCGAGATGCAAATTCCAGTTCGCGGCATGGTTGAACAGGACATTCGACGCCAGCAGGAAGTTTCCGGCCGGCACGTAAAGCAGAACGTCGGTGGCGACGGTGGTTTTCACGTTCGGAATAACGCACTGTGTCCACGTCGCACTCAAGGCAGGGCCAATATCCGTCTTGTTGTCCGCAACCGCGCCGTAGTTCAGCACGTTGCACTCGATAAATGCTTGGGCCGGGACCGCGAGGGCGAGGACCGCGAGGGAAGCGAGGGAAGCGAGCATCGTTTTCGCTACTAGATGGTGATTTTAGTAGTCGTTGGTCCTTCGACGAGAGGCGCAGCTGGCTTTTAAGGATGATGAATATCCTGCTTTTATCCGGTAGCAAACACGAGAACGGACCTGGTGATACCGAAAACCGCACCCGCTAAGGATATGGGCCTACTCCTCCTTCATGTGCTATACTGCCGGCCCGCTCAGTCAGGCGTTGATTGTCGCTCCAGAAAGCGGTGGACCAACTTCTCAGGTTTCTAGCGGGCCCCGAATCGAGAACAGACTCCGAGAGTTTCGAACCATGATCTGCGACGGATGTACCATGTCGACTGTAGGTTGGCCGCTGGCGACGGGTGACGACTCCACTTCCAGATTTGATTGGTTTGAGGACCTGGTGACCGGTGTCAACCGATTTCCGGATGTTAGTTCGAGACCAAACATGGTTGTTTTCCGTCCTATATTCTCTGATTTAGTTGGTTTCAGGCGGAAACGGACAGAAAGGTGCGAAACCAAAACAAAACTGGAGAAGAAGCGAGTATCAGAGATCCTGACAAGATTTTAGCTTTGTTGGCACTCCATCCGAGGCGTTAGGTAACAGGTGACCCGGTCTTGGATCGGTTGAGAGGTCCCTGGTGACCGGTGACCAGTCCAACTGATGCTGGACAGTGGGGCTGGTGTCCAGTTGGATATCGCATCCTTACGAATTCTTTCTGATGCTCCTGTCTCCTATAATTACCCAAAATTTTCTGGAGGCGCGATGCAAGATAAGAGACAATGATCGCGAAGACGATTAAGGTTGCGAGAGAGAAAGAAGACGCACGGAGATCATTCGGGGATACCCGATCGTGGCACGAGCGTGATGACATCATCCGTGTACTGTATACACCACAAGTGAAGCTCGGACTCTGTCTGTGCGCAGTTCTCGTGTCGGATAAAAGCACTAGCGGGGGTAAGGACTCCTTTGGATCTCGTAACTAAGCTTGAAGGGGCTTCAGTCTTCCCGCATATCAGTCAAGCGGGATTCTTCCGGGCGGTTCGGGTAAATATGAACGGAACGAGTCAGAAAGATGACATCAACGGCCGAATACTTCGTCGATAGACTCGATACTCATAGTTCCAGCAGAACATTACCTCCCACCACCGAAAATACCAAACCCAACACCCGACCATTCAACAGTTCCGTCGCATGGGTGAGAAGAATCGCGCCGATATGGAGACGGATCAGTCGGTAACCTCGGCAACACCCTGCTATAAATAAGCGTAAAACACGTCGTCGGACGTCCCGCTGGTCGCATCAGGGTCTCTTTGCTCAGGCCCCCAGCCACTATCTGCCAACACAATCCGAAATAGTACACATCAAAGCTCCAAAATGGCTACATCTCAGTTTGGGAAATAGGGCAAATCAGGCCGAGAACCTCTATCTCAAGTATATACAAGACTTGTAGGAGTGGGATTGCGTTTTGATCGAGTAGGACTCGGCTCCGGTCCCATTTTTAAGAGGAGTCCTACTGGGCGCAGTCCCATCATGATCAGCGGAGGGGGATTGATATTCCCTGGTGATTGAAGTCCAGTGACATCCGACAGCACAGCTGATGTTGAAGACTACACTAGAATACAATCCAAATCTTCAACCCTATACTTTGTGGCGCTTATTATTTGAAGCCGCTTCGATGAAGGGAGGATTCTGTTTAATATTTTCATGTGCTCATGTCCAACGCAGACTGCGGCGTTTCGGAATGTGGTGCTATACAGGCCAGGCAACCGGAGCCACGTGGATTGTGTCGCAGACAATACCGCGCAGTGGAGATACGACCAGTAGCGATCACCTAAAGACACAGAGTCTCAGCGAGTGTAAGACACAGGAGCTATACATTAGCTGTACCTAAAGACACAGAGTCTGTGGTACAAGTCATAAGTAAGGGTCATTAGATCGTAAGGGAGAATGCATACCTCAGCGAGTGTAAGACACAGGAGCTGAGGATATGGAGCGTATAGTACTAGGTTTATATACCAGTCTGGAGCAGATATCATGATGTCATAGTGGAGTAATGATATCATAGATGAGTAATGGATGACGCAATAATGAGGTCAGGTATGAGGTCATTGTGGAGCAAGCCAAAGTAATCTAAGAATACTACTTATGATGTCATGTCTACATACTGTGATAGTCGCTAATACAAACAAGCTTCAACACTCCCACTCGACTAAACAGTCGGATCACGAAGACCCAAAGACAGCCGATGTTGTTGGAACTTCACCCATGCCAGAGACTTTGTGAGCGTGTCGGAGATCATCGCATCAGTCGGCACATGGTAAAGTTGGACATTGCCAGCTTTGACGGATTCTCGTACGAAGTGATAGCGGATGTTGATGTGCTTCGTCCTCCTATCATGAACTGGATTTACTGCCATAAAGATAGCGCCTTGGTTATCAACACAAAGAGGCGTGGATGGCAAGTCATATCCGAGCTCAGTCAACAAAGTGCGGATCCAGGCAATCTGGCGCGTAGCATCACTCAGAGCCATGTATTCGGCCTCTGTTGAGGACAAAGCGACCGTGGGTTGGCGTCTAGAAACCCAGGTCACTGCACAACCGGCGATGAAGAAGGAATATCCCGTGGTTGAATGCCTGTCGTCTTTGTTCTCCACCCAATCAGCATCGGAATAACCGATAAGGCCTGCGCCAGTGGAACCATCATAGCAAAGTTGGTAGTTTTTGGTGCCCTGAAGGTACCGGAGTATGTATTTTGCCATGTTCCAATGATGTTCTGACGGGTTGCTGTTGAACTTTGATAGACGGATGACTGCATAGGCAATGTCGGGGCGAGTACCAAGCATGGCGTATAGAAGGCTGCCAATCAGTTGCTGGTATCGGGTACGACGGTCTTCATCAACTTCTCCATCATGCTTCTCGAGCACGATGCCGGAAGGCAGGGGAGTACGAGCTTCTTTACACGAAGACATCCGGAAACGTTCTAGAACTCCTTCGATATAGGAAGTCTGATCGATCCAGATTTTACGCGCTTTGCGATCACGAACTATGTTCAGACCAAGGAAATCCTTCGCAGGACCAAGATCTGTCATTTTGAAGCGGTTCGCTAGCAATGATTTGATCCGCGCTATCTCCGGCAGATTGTTGCCCATAATGAGCATATCGTCAACATACAGCACCAAGATGATGACCGTTGAAATGCTGAGGGCGTGCTCACAAGTGAATCTACTATGAAAGTAAACCCAAATATAAAACACGTTCACACTCCTCGTAATCAGCTTCTCAGTGTGTGAAAGATGCGAGGGCTTCGGGGTGGACAGAGCGCCAGTATCACAACTCTCAATAGACACAGGTCCAATAGTCGCGGAGGCGAAGTCGACGACAAGAATTTATATATAGCAAACAATGGTATCTCAACCAATATCTTCTATACGAACACAACCAACACTAATCCAATCCACAAACAAACAATATAACAAGTCAGAACTTAATACGAAGTATTAAGATCCCTTGTAGCGACAGCGTCTAGATGGTGACGCAAAGCCCAAATATCAAGTCGACGCACTGCCAACCGATGCAACCAATATACTGAGTCGACGCACTGCCAACTAGTAAACCAAAATATCAAGTCGACGCACTGCCAACCGATGCAACCAATATACTGAGTCGACGCACTGCCAACTAGTAAACCAAGATGCCGCGTCGACGCACTGCCAACTAACAGCCAATATCCAATGTCCAAAACCCGAGCACAACTTGTCGACGCACTGCCAAGCAAGAAGTGTGGAACCAAAGTTCTCAAGTCGACGCACTGCCAACTGACCAAAACAACCCGAGCACAACTAGTCGACGCACTGCCAAGCAAGAGGTGTGGAACGATCTCAACAAAGCCCGAAGGCGACGACACTAAATGCCGCGACTAGACCAGATGCAGCGAATCCGACTTTCTGATGTCTCAACTCAAACTCAAATCACAGTAGCTACAAGTGCTCAGGGAGCAACTCGTCGCGACCGGGCAGGGGTAGCAGAACTTCTTAGGGTGGAATCACGCGGCACGCAAATTGTACAAAACAATCTGAAATGAGAGTGATTCACAGTCCGGGGGAAAGCTTTTCAATACAAAGAAACGTCGTGCTACTTATACTGTCTACGACGATGCTTAGTAAAGTCCTGTACAACTGCATAGTAGCTACGCTATCTAAGATCGGTTGCCTTTTAGGGTAATTGAAAGTTGAACAATCGGACAGGTCCTGAGTGATCAGGACCCCGCCCCATTGTCCATATGATACTTTTGATGTGGGCCAACTCACCGCGTCATACTTTTGGAATACGACGTGCTGGATTGGCCAACGGGTATATCTTGGCATGTGAGACCAACGTGGGCGCCCCAAGAAGCCGTATGGCCCTAGGCACGCCAGTCGTCCCCCACATGGTTCGGTTCACGGATCTAGCCGTGTCGATTTCTAGTGCGTTTGGGTGTTGACGCGAATCGCCGTGGCACTTGGGAGTGTCACCGCGACGCGTCCTCAATGTCCCGTGATCGAATGGATCCTGACATGTGACAAGTCGTCGTCGTGGCATGATCTGAGGAAACGTCCAACTCAAAACCGGGAGTTGCCGCGACAAGATGGTTTAAGTCTCGTAACGCCAAGTCCTGTCCAGTAGTCGTTGTATTATTGAGAATCGTCGCACATTGCTCAGCCCTTCAGCCCAAGTTCCCATCTGCAGAGAATGACCCTTTTGAGAAGTCGACGCAACGACAGATCCCCTTTCTGGGGAATGGTCGCGGTCCAAGCGTTCGTCACTAATGGCCCTGAGCCTGGTGTAGACTCATAAGACCAGTTCCACAGTAGTGGTCTGACTGCCTTGCTATCGTCGACACTATCCACAGTCGTCGACTGGGCAGTAGACCCATAAGTCCTACTGAGCGCAACACTGTCAACCGCGACACGATACACCGAGTGGTTCAAGAGTAAACTCTGTAAAAAGCGCAAAAATACGCCCTTACAGAGTTGGTGCAGAGCGCGTCTGGTAGCCAGCCTATCACCGTATCTCCCATTTGTTGGCGATATGTGTAGACACCGGCGTCGGAGTATGTCCGAGCAAAACCAAGTTCGAGGAGGGCATTGTGGATTTTGATATTCCACTGACGAGACGCCTGTTTCAACCCATAGAGTGATTTACGAAGGCGTGCCACCTTTTCTTTTGGCCATGACGAGAAACCTTTGGGTAATTCCGGAAGTTACATATAGATTTCTTCCTCCAGATCCCCGTTTAGGAATGCCGTTTTGACATCCATGGCATGAATCTCCCAATCTTCGAGAGCAGCCAGAGCCATAAGTATGCGCAAAGATTCGTAGCGCAATACTGGCGAGAAGGTCTCATCATAGTCAAACCCATGAACCTGAGTGAATCCCTTGGCAACAAGTCGTGCTTTGAAACAACCGTCACGCTTCCTGCTAAACACCCATCTGCATTTTACAGTCTTTCGACCGCGTGGAAGGCTGGTCAAATCCCAAGTACAGTTTTCCTCGAGAGAGTCCAGTTCTTCGCGCATCGCGCGCTCCCACTTGAGTGCATCCGGGCTCTTTGCTACGTCCCGCACGTTTTGAGGCAAGTCATGTTCAGCTTGGGCAGCTGAAAACATGGACTCAATGCTGTTAGGCCTCTGATACGTAGTTCCATCTGGCATAATGCGGGGCTTATTCCGACGAGGGCGGCGATGGGCAATCGGGCGATCGTCTATTGGGCCAGGCATTAGGGGTACTTCTCGCGATCCCGTGACAGGACCTTGTTGCGTGAGGGGTGCCGGGGGCGGTGGGAGAGCAGGAGGTGGTATGCTTGCATAAGGCGTTGCAGGCGCAGGATTATTGATAAGGTCAGGGAAGGTTTCCTCGAATGGTGTGAACGGCTCCGGTCCAGAGAACACATTGCCGGTGACTAGCTTGGACTTGGCAGGGAATACTCGCTCATCGAACTCAACATTTGAAGAGACTCGTATTTTGCGTTGATTCGGATCCCACACTTTCCAAGCTTTTGTCTCTCGTTCGTATCCAACGAAGATGTGGTCGGGGCGTCCATGCTCCAGCCCTTTCGGGCGTTTTTCAACATCCACATAGAGAGACGCCTTGCATCCAAACACACGGAAATAAGAGACGTCTGGCTTCTTTCCAAGCCACAGTTCCGCAGGTGTTCGCCATCCCAATCGTGCCATAGGTTGTCTATTATGAACGTGGACAGATGCATCCATAGCACATTGCCAGAAGCCTTTGGATAGGCCGGCATCGAGGCGCATGCATTCCGCTTTCTCGTAGGCTGTGCGATTCCAACGTTCAGACCTCCCATTTTGCTGTGGTTTGCGTGGCGCGGACTTAGGGTGCATAATACCACGTGCATTGAGCCAGGCTGTGAGTTCATCGGACATATATTCACCTCCACGATCTGACCGGAAGGCCAGTACTTTTGTGCTGAGCTGACGCTCTACAAGGGCAACAAAGTTTTTAATCGCGGTAGAGGCTTGGTCCTTTGATTTAATGAACACCATCATGCCAAAGCTCGAGAAATCGTCGTAGAACGAAATTGTGTAGCGTGAACCTTCCAACGACTGAGTAGGCCAGGGGCCCATCAAATCAGTGTGGATAAGCTCGAGGGGTTTGCTAGCACGTTTCTCTGATGCAGGGTACGGATGCTTGTGCTGTTTTCCAAGCATACATCCATCGCACATGCCGCGCTGGTCTTTATTGCGTCGCAAGGGTGGGACACCTTCAACTTGTGTCGGCAAGTGAGTAAGGGTCCTCCGAGCCACATGACCAAAACGCTTATGCCACAATTCACGATCGGTAGTTTCCAGGGAAGCGAGCGCGGTAGACTCGTGAGATGCAGACACAGATGGTGCCACGAGCTCCTCGGGGTAGTACCAGTAGCAGCGATTGCTTGCTCTAAAGGTCATCAAGACATCCCCATG